TGGATATTTACATCTACAACTGACGTCCTATCATCTGTCTTAAAATTATAACAGGTCTACTGTAGGCCTACAGTAGCCAGCAGTCTAATAAATCCTCAGCTCACAGTTTTTAAAGCCCGCCATAAAAAGTTTTTTATTATTAAAACAAACAAACCCAGCCCAGTAAAATAATATCACGACTGAAATTATTTTATTTAAAAAACGAATCTCTTTTTCTACGGTGGATGATTTTATGTGGTTTACTACCGTATCTGCTGATGAACGATTTGTTCATTACATTTGGATAGAGGGACGTCTGTTTCATTCGTACCGGCACTACGTATTCCCCAGTTCCTTGCAACTGTTCCTTGTTGTGTACCAGTTCAACTGTTCCTTGTTGTGTACCAGTTCCTTGCAACTGTTCCTTGTTGTGTACCAGTTCCTTGCAACTGTTCCTTGTTGTGTACCAGTTCCTTGCAACTGTTCCTTGTTGTGTACCAGTTCCTTGCAACTGTTCCTTGTTGTGTACCAGTTCCTTGCAACTGTTCCTTGTTGTGTACCAGTTCCTTGCAACTGTTCCTTGTTGTGTACCAGTTCCTTGCAACTGTTCCTTGTTGTGTACCAGTTCCTTGCAACTGTTCCTTGTTGTGTACCAGTTCCTTGCAACTGTTCCTTGTTGTGTACCAGTTCCTTGTAACTGTTCCTTGTTGTGTACCAGTTCCTTGCAACTGTTCCTTGTTGTGTATCAGTTCCTTGCAACTGTTCCTTGTTGTGTACCAGTTCCTTGCAACTGTTCCTTGTTGTGTACCAGTTCCTTGCAACTGTTCCTTGTTGTGTACCAGTTCCTTGCAACTGTTCCTTGTTGTGTACCAGTTCCTTGCAACTGTTCCTTGTTGTGTACCAGTTCCTTGCAACTGTTCCATGTTGTGTACCAGTTCCTTGCAACTGTTCCTTGTTGTGTACCAGTTCCTTGCAACTGTTCCTTGTTGTGTACCAGTTCCTTGCAACTGTTCCTTGTTGTGTACCAGTTCCTTGCAACTGTTCCTTGTTGTGTACCAGTTCCTTGCAACTGTTCCATGTTGTGTACCAGTTCCTTGCAACTGTTCCTTGTTGTGTACCAGTTCCTTGCAACTGTTCCTTGTTGTGTACCAGTTCCTTGCAACTGTTCCTTGTTGTGTACAAGTTCCTTGCAACTGTTCCTTGTTGCGTACAAGTTCCTTGTAGCTGTTCCTTGTTGTGTACCAGTTCAGCTGTTCCTTGTTGTGTACTAATTCAACTTTTCCTTGTTGCGTACAAGTTCCTTGCAGCTGTTCCTTGTTGTGTACGAGTTCAGCTGTTCTATGTTTGTACAAGTTCAACTGTTCGATGTTGTTCCCCAGTTCTTTGCAACTGTTCCTTGTTGTTCCCCAGTGCCTTGCAACTGTTCCTTGTTGTTCCCCAGTTCCTTGCAGCTGTTCCATATTGTGTACCAGTTCCTTGCAACTGTTCCCTGTGTACTGTACGTACACGAGTTCAATGTTTACAAGTTGAAGTCACGTGATACAGGACAAACGTAAGAACGGGTTTACCCCACATACAGCTACGTCATTTCACATATACCGGGGGGGAGGGGAGGTTAAACTCAGCCCTCACCCACACCCTCGAGTGTAAGGACAAAAGGAACATTGTTCTAGAAACTCAATCACGTGGTTGGAACACCTACGTTTTTTTTCTGGGTTTTTTTTTCAGTTTTTTTTAAATCGCATTTTGATATTTAGATCGTGAGAGCGACATGGGTATTTTTGGAATTATTACCTTTTGGAGATACTTATAAAATCGGCTTGTTTTGTTTAGTTTTAATTCGAACTTGGCTTTTTTTTTTTTTTGCAATTGTTTTTTGGTGATCCACTCTTAAGGTTTGTAGAGCCATTTTTGGCTGTGTGCAGAGTTTCTGGCACCTCATATTGTCTATCTCCAACTGTCACACGTTCAAATGACCAACTGACGCTTCACTGGCCCGCTGACCGGCGCACGTGACTGGTCAACTCGTTTTTAATTGGCCGGGTTATTTGATGGGTTCTTACTTCTTGTTTCTGTTTGACCAATGGCTATTTCCTAACTTCTGCATTTATCTATTCTGTTGGACCTATTTTGGAAATATATATTAGTTCGCGTCATCACAGACTTAAGTTGGGTGCTCGGTGCAAAACAATTAACGACCACCCTCCCCCCCCCCCCCCCCACCCCGACCTCCATTGGTGTCAAAGCTAGGCTTTTGTCGACCCGACTCTGATTTTCTACTTTCAGTAGCTTCAATACTCTGCTGTCAGTTACATCGTGTTGGTAAAGTCAGCCCTAATCGAATCCTAACCCCGTCCTTTTTTTTTTTTTTTTTTTTTTTTTTTTTTTTTTTTTACAACACTGGGTAACACTTGTTTTCGATTTTTGTTTGTTTGGTTAAGTTCTCCTGTTTCAATAGCCTGTTCAAACATCCAAATAGTTGTGTGTGTGTGTGTTTCAAGACGACTATTCTATTTAAAATGTTTTATTTTATTTTGTTGATTTTTAGTTCATTCACATTTAAACATATTTCAGTATTTATTCTAGCCCTAACCCTGACCCTAACAAAAGCATTCGCAGATCGTCGAGAACTTATTACAGAATGGATACATTTCTGCTATATCCATGAGACTGGGTATCATTAACATCCATAATGTATATAATTTGCCAGCAGTTTCCATTATGTATCACGTACTTGATAAAACTTTGCAGCAACATCAGGTCAATAACTGGGTACAATAATTTGTGAACAAAATATATATTTTACAAAATTGATATAGTAATATAAACACAATTCTCAGATATGATAAGTACTCTGGATTGGACATTATTGGTCAACATATGATATATATATATATATATATATATATATATATATATATATATATATATATATATATATATATATATATATATATATATATATATATATATAATATGAAACAACCAGAGATGGAATGGATACAATATTTTGACAACATCCGTCATCCCGCTTCTGGTATGAGGAGATCCACGGACGGATTGTAATTAACTAATTATTGGATGGAGCTTTAATTAGGAAGAAACCTGGTGCCCCTGTCCGTTGACGTGGTGTCACTTTCAGGTGACTCCCACCCTATGCTCACCCACCCCCCCCCACACACACACACCACCACCCCACCCCCACCACACACACACATCCCACACATACTTTCACAACTCTTCCCCCCCCCTCCCCGACACACACACACTCGACCCATATCTGCTTCACCCCAAGCCGTCGATGTTTTATTTGAGTGGGGCAGTGGGTTTGTCGGGTGGACGACCGGTGGGGGGGGGGGGTGTTGAAAATTACCATAAAAATCTCATCAATGAGCGATTTTGTGGAGAGACTTCGGCGTGACAAAAAATTATTTTTGCTCTTCTGGCGATTTTATTTTAAATAACTTCTGCACAAGATCATGCTAATTGTATTGGCTTGCTCGTGCATCAAATATGTAGTGTCTGTTTTGTTCAATAATTCTGTCCATCCCTTAATCGCCTCACCATCCTAAGTGTGTTTGGCACTTGCCATTTTAAAATACTCACAACCACTTTACAACATTCACAACCACTTTACACTTTACATCATAAATATTTTACACTCAATATCAGAACCAATTACACTCCACATCACAATCCCTTTACACTTCACATCGCAACAGCTTCACACTCCGTACTACAACCACTTTATACTTCACATCATTACAATTTTACGTTTACATCACAACCACTTTACACTAACAATGACAACCACGTTACACCCAATCTATAGCAGTTCTACACTCCATATTTAGCCCTTATTTAGACCACCCTGAACCTAAACCCAACAACACCATCCAGCTGTATCTAGCACAACACCACCAAAAACCCCACCAAACAAACTCTACTCTCACCAGCTGGGTTACATAACGGTTTGACGGTCACGTGATAAGTCTGGTCCTTGCTGGTTTTATCTTTGATAGAACAGCAAAGTACGTCGAGCAGTGCTACACAATTATTTGCTGTATAGCTGTTGCTATGTTACATGGGCCGCTTTGCTGCGCACTATTACATCGCACTTCCCCGATAACGATGCGAAACATCACATTCCCTGTTAATCTTACATCTGTGTGTGCCGAGGGTGAAAATATGTTTTTCTGTAAGTTTTACTTTTGGTCTTTTTTTTTTACTTTCTCTTATACGAAGCATAGAGAAAGTATTGTAATCGTGCAAAAAAAAAAAAACGAGACGACGTTTTACACCTCCCTGAGTCGAAAAAACATGGTTTTCAAATCTTGTTTCTCTTGGAGTTGGGTTTTTATTATAATTTTTAAACCCGACTTTTATAAAACAACGGTAGAAAATATTAAGATATACTTTAAAAGCGTGTTGTCTGTAACGAAAAAAAAACTTTAATTAAATGCGGATTTGAATCAGAGGTAGAAAGGGAAAACCTTTTTTTTTATAAAAACTGTGTCATTTTCGTAGATGTAAGCAGCTAAAAAATTAAAACCAGCTCTAATTGAAATAAACATGGATGGATATTTTGATAATATAAGTGAAAAGTCGTCACGTTCACTCATGGCCACCCTTGCCTCGAAAACCTGGCTATTTTATACTTGCGATGGTGGGGTCTTTTTTTCTCTTTCTGATCAACCCAAGCATTCTGAGGCTTGTAATGAGTTCATCACAGCTGAAAGAATAAAGCTACGGATGGGATAGCACTCTTAATACTAACCGTCTTTTGAATTATGTTTGTTTTATGAACCTTTCTCATATTTTGTTTTACAGATTTACATTTACTTATAATGATGGGCCTTTATACCGTGAAGGTTTCCACCCTACAACTGAAAGCAATAGACCTCTCATTTAGTTCCAATACTCCCAATGTTATTATCAAAAGACCTCCTCTCATTGAGTCCCCAGACTTCCAATGTTATTATTTTGTCCCCAGACTTCCAATGTTATTATTTTGTCCCCAGACTTCCCCTGAAGCAAGCACTAGAGGCCTGTAGATAGAGGACGATGGCGGACGCAGGGGAGCCAATGATGAGCTCGGACCAGAAGAACTCAGTCCGTGTGAAGCCAGTTGATTCCTGCGTCTCGTGTGTCAAAAGTGTGAGTTGTATGTGTGTGTGTGGGGGGGGGGTGTAGATTATATGGGAATTTTGTGAGGAGAATGTTTTGTGGGGGGAATGTACACTGTATGGGAAGTTTTGTGGGGGGAATGTAGACTATATGAGAAGTCTTGAGGGGGAAATGTAGACTATATGGAAAGTTTTGTTGGGGAATGTAGACTATATGGAAAGACTTGTTGGGGGAATGTGAGAGTATATGGGATGTCTTGTGGGGGAATAGACATAAGGTATTGTCGGGGATATCAGAAGTCTTGTTTGGGAATAGACATGAGGTGTCTTGTGAGGTAATAGACCCGGGAAGTCTCGTGGCTATACACAGTACTATCCACCATGAAATTAAAGTGTTTTATTCTCCTGGCTGCTCCAGACACCGGGATGGTGCAGAAAGAATTTGCTGTTGGTGCTGACCATAGCTGGGGTCATCCTGGGAATCATATTTGGCTTCTCCCTGAGATCAGCCCACTTATCGGGAGATACCATCATGCTCATCTCCTTCCCTGGAGACCTCCTAATGAGGATGTTGAAGATGTTGATTGTCCCACTCATCATCAGTAGTATGATCACAGGTCAGTCAAAAGTTCACTAGCAAAATCAAAATTACTTGATTACAGAATTTTAGCTGATTTGATTACACAATCCTGTTGACCTGATTACACAATCTTAACTGACTTGATTACAGAATTTTAGCTGATTTGATTACACAACCCTGTTGACCTGATTACACAATCTTAACTGACTTGATTACAGAATTTTAGCTGACTTGATTACACAATCTTAACTGACTTGATTACACAATCTTAGCTGACTTGATTACACAATCTTAGCTGACTTGATTACACAATCTTAGCTGACTTTTGATTACACAATCTTGGCTGACTTGATTACACAATCTTAGCTGACTTGATTACAGAATTCTTGCTGGTATTTTACACTTTAAAAACATAGGATAACATTAAAAACATCAAACTTGAGTCTTGTGGTAACTCTTCCAGTGTAGACAACAGTTAAGTGAAACATTTGGGAGTTGATTTTAATGTACTGCATGGCATTAATAGTTATAGTAGTAAAGCTTGTAAAGGGACACAACTCTAAATAAATTATTCTACATACCACTATAGTATAGTGATCCTAGCTCTGTTGTCTATGATCTCAGTCCAACTAGTTATTTTATTTAATTCATTTACTTGAGCACCTCAGTAAATATTATTTTTGTTTCAGTGTAAAATATTTTTTTAAATCTTTCCATCCCCACTCAGGCTTGGCCTCGCTTGATGCAAAGAACTCTGGCAAAATGGGTCTCCGTGCCATTGTGTATTACTTATCAACAACTTTCATCGCTATCATCCTGGGCATCATCCTAGTGCTGAGCATTCACCCAGGTGAATATGACGGGGGCATCAGAAAGAGGAGCAAGAAGCAGAAGCACCCACCTTCTTCATTGGACGCTTTTCTTGATCTCATAAGGTATCAATTTGTTTTGTGTATTTATTCACATGAAATTTTGAAGCAAATGAAAAAAAAATCTTTTCCTATTCTTTTACTGATTAGCTTTTTGGCTTTGGTGATATTGATTTGGTAAATTTATGTCATTAATTGCTCAAGACTTTTGTTCAGATTTTAGGCATGTTTGTAAGTGTCTGTCAAAATTTAAAGTAAATCTTTGACATTAATTTTTTTTCAAAATAAATATTACTTTCAAGTAATGTAAACTTTATCATGAAGGCAATTTAAAAGCAATATATTTGAAGATTCTACTCACTAAAAGAAGTGTTTCCTAGACTGCAAATGATAGCTAGCTTGTTGGTTGAGTTAGAATTCTCATCTACTTGAATTATTTAATTCATTCCATGACTTGCATTTCAATAAGTGAAGGAGATATGAGAAGGGGGGAGGGCTTGATATTGCTGTCTTTACATATCCCTGAAAAAAAGTGTAACTACACTTTAAAAAACAGCTGAACTCTACCTGTTCTATTTCTAGGAAAGATGTCCAAACTAAATGATTCTTATAGACGATAGCTATTTTCTTAATATAATTTAACAAACAATGATTGGACTTTTCTTTTGCCTTGTTAAAAAACAAAACATTTTTTTCTCCAGAAATATCTTTCCACCCAACATTCTCCAGGCCTGTTTTCAACACACACTGACCGTGTACACAGTGGACGAGCCGGAGGAGTTCATCACAACACAGCCCAACACAACCACCTCATCAGATCTCAACACAACCCTCGCCACCACCATCACCACCATCATCACCACCACACAGAGGACCATCATTGACAACTCCACCAACCAAACCATCATCACAGAGGAGGTAACTAAATGGGTGCGGACAACTCCAATGGCCGATGGAGTCAATGTGCTCGGTAAATTCTTATCTCATTTTTTTTAAAATACAATTTCTGCTGACTTCCTTAAAGATGTATAGCCTGGCTCATCAAGTTACGCTTGTTTTTTTTCTAATTTATTTTCTCTGTTTTTAACACCCAATTTTAAAGGTAAAAAACCAAAAACAGATATTAATATGATGAATTTATATCTTAAAAATTTAAGCTACTTTCTCATTTGTTTTGAAAATATCCTAATATATTTTTAAAGTAGACTAAATACATTACTCAATGATTTAAAAAAGAACTGTTTACCAAACTAAATTATCCTTAATTTTTTTAAAATAATATTTACCATTTGGTCAGCATTCTCAATCATTTATTAAGGGAGACAACTGCAAATTTTAAAAAATGACCTCTAGTGATTCTTTTTCAGGAATTATTACCTTCTGTACTGCCTTTGGAATCCTCATTAGCATCATGGGACCCAAGGGGAAGATCATGATTGATTTCTTCCAGGTCCTCAATGAAATCATTATGAAGATGGTTTTGATGGTCATGTGGTAAGTATCTTTTTATACCTTCAATTTTAAATCTAACTTCTTCATATGTAGGTCTGCTGCATATGTAGGACCTGTATATGTATTTATGTGTACATATATATATATATATATATATATATATATATATATATATATATATATATATATATATATATATATATAATATATATATATATTTAATAAACGCGTATATGTATGTATTTAATTATGTATATATGCATATATGTATGAGTATTTATAATTATGTCTATAGATATATATGTTTGTGTGTGTATATATATGCATCTGTGTATATATATATATATATATATATATATATATATATATATATATATATATATATATATATATATATATATATATATATATATCTGTATGTTATATTTATAATGCATATTTAATTAACAACTGTGCTGACTTGAATTCACAGGTACTCCCCAATAGGTATCATGTTCCTGATAGCAGGTAAAATTCTTGAGCTGGACGACCCAGCTAAGGTGGGCCAGCAGCTGGGCATGTACATGATCACCATCCTGGTCGGCCTGACCATCCACACTGTGGTCGTCTTGCCTGGGATTTATTTTGTCATCACTCGCAAGAACCCTTACCTGGTCATGTGGGGAGTTATCCAAGCCTGGGTTACGGCCCTTGGCACGGCTTCCAGGTCATTGACACTTACTTTTTTTATATATTTCTTTTAACATACACAAAAAATACTGCTGATAATATAAATATAATTGTAAGGGAAGGAAATAAATGATCTTGTACACTTGGTGAGAGGGTTGGTTTGTCCCTTGGTTAGAGATGAAGTGACAAGGGGGGGGGGGGGGGGGGGGGGGAGAATAATCTAAATGAACCAGAAAGCAGGGTATCACATTTTTTTACACTTTAAAACTATTTGTATGCTGCAGTTAAGCAGTAATTTTTTTTATTTTTGTAAAAACTAATAAACATTCAGTATTCAAATAATGAACCGTCTCCTTTAATATTTAAAAAATAAATGGTTTCTATTTCCATTTTGTGGAGGGGAGGTAATAATTGTCCAAAAAAGGTTGTACGAGTAGGCATTATTCTTTCATTGCACACGCGTGAATTTGAAAGTAGTCTGAACCTATTCTGATTTATTATCCTGCAGCACAGCCACATTGCCAGTGACCTTCAGATGTCTGGAAGAAAATCTACACATTGACAAAAGAGTTACACGTTTTGTTCTACCTATTGGAGCAACCATCAATATGGATGGAACAGCTCTCTACGAGGCAGTCGCACCAATTTTCATTGCCCAAATGAACGGAATGGAGTTGTCTTTCGGGAAAATAGTAGCAATCAGGTTTTGATTTTTTTTTTTTATTTCTTTAAAAAATTAATCAATTCTGAAATATTTTTTTCAGTACCAGAACAATTTATTCTCCTTTTAAAATTTTAAGGATACATCACTGTATTTAATCAAATTTTGTTTAAACAAAAAAAAAAAAAAAAAATTCAGTATAGTAACACAACCTTTTAGGTAAAGCTGGGATTGTTTTTAATAAAAGAAATGTTGCATGCCTCTCTATTCAACCATAATCTTGCAAGTTGTAGTTCAACAAAACTTGTGTTGTTGTGTTTTGATAAACCAATTATTCTCCCACAGTCTGACAGCTACGTGTGCCAGTATAGGTGCTGCCGCCATACCTAGTGCTGGTCTGGTTACCATGATCATGGTCTTAACCTCAGTGGGGCTTCCAGCTGATGACATCAGTTTGATCCTAGCAGTTGATTGGTTCTTGTAAGTTTTGCTTTAGACAGTAATTAGCTGACTCATGTTAACAATTCAAAGGACAAATGTAGACCATAACGTGGGGACAAAAAACATATTCAAAACGCAACACTTGTGTTCCTTAAAATTAAAATTTACAGATTTTCGTTTATGAGAAGAAGTAGAGAGGTACAAATATCATTACCATAAAAACCTGATTGCTTTTGGGCTAAGTTATCGTCAGGTAAAAGGGCATGTTAAGTTTAGACTCTTTAGACCAGAATTCAAATATTTTCAACATCCCTGTAATCTAACTCTACTAGTTCGCAACATGAACTTGAAAAAAAAAAACTTTTTTTTCTGTCATGTGACCATTGACACTGATGGATGCACTATTTATAGTGTACCAAAAGTTGTTTCTATTTTTTCATTGAGTTTAACAGACTACACAATATACACATAGTTCAAATGATGTTGTTATTAATATTTTATTTACATTTTTAACATGTTTTTTTCAATACTCCAAGGATGACTACCCCACATCTACTCATTATTTACACTATATATTTTTTTAATCCTCTAAGGATCACTACCGAACCTCTACCCATTATTTACACTACATTTTTTTTAATCCTAGGGATCGCTTCCGCACCTCTACCAACGTTCTGGGAGACAGCTATGGAGCTGCTGTTGTTGATCACTTATCTCGACATGAGTTGCAGCTTGACCGTCATGTGATTGATGACAACACTGATTTTGATATGCATGAGAACGGAAAGAGAAAGTCCCTAACCAACAGTCAAAAAGGTGGCATCGAAGCGCAACTCTAAATGGCTTCTATCAACTCAGACAATGAAATAAAAACAGTCATGGGATTTTTAGCTTAAAGAAATATTAAAATAACTATTTTTAAAAACAAATTTTAAAAACAGGTTGTTGATATTATTAAAATTTTATATTTACATGAATGAAGTGAGAAGATAGCTTTAAATACGGCAGATGTAAGAATGGGTAGTAGGCCTACATAGTACAAAGTAGAAGATATATATTTTATTAAATCTTAACATATTTTTATAAAAAAACTTATGACCACTAAATGTTTAACATCACATTGGAATATAGATTTTATAACGTGTAAAAATATTTTGCTGGTAAGTAAATTAGATGTCTGCGGTAAATTAGTTGAATTTTTTCTTGGGGTTGTGCAGTAATCAGATTATCAAGATTTTGTTGAGCTGTTATGGTCAGCTGTTGTGAATATCATCTTGTACAATTATATCACAATTGCACATTTTCATGCATCTTCAACTTAACAGTTTGGGCACCTTTCATGGCACTCACAAGAATATTATTAAGTCTATTAGTCACAGTCAACAGAGTTACTCATATAACAAGTTATGGTAACGGCTACAGGGGTCGTAATTATGTTTCCTTTTATGTTCCTTTAGAGTTTATATGTATCTTGATAGATAATTTAGTTATTATCAGTCACTTAAATATGTTGACCAATCCTGCAAAAGGCCCATTTCAACCCCATATATAATCATGCATGATGTTGCTAAAGAATTACTTCTAATTAAGATTCTTCCACTGATTACTAAAATAAAAAAAAACCTAGTACACTGTGAACTATCATCTTGTCCACTTTATTATGAATGTCTTCACCTTCCTTTGATCCAAACACACTGTTAACGTGTACGTGATCAATTTTATTTTAAATAGAAATGGAGAAAGATTGTTTCACTTTACAATAACTCTGAAACTTTATATAATAAATTGCATTGTGATAATTGTTTTTAATTACCATGATGCTAAGCATGATTTTCATTTTTTTTAACCTTGTATATGTAAAAAAAAAAATTAAAAGCTTTTTAATCTTATTCTGTTTTATTTTGGGGTAGCAGGTCTTTCACTATTTTGAGGCCATTTCTAATTCTAAAAAAACACTAATCCATTCCTTAATTATTAATTTCAAGTCAGTTCCTTAGTTCAGCAACTGAATGTATTTGAACTTCTCACTTTTAAAAGTTGTACACTCTCAATTATTAAAATTATACATTTATAAAATGTCACTTTTTTCGGTAATGATTGAAACCACTTGAATAATTGTTTCCATATTGTAAATACACCACGATGATGACTTTGAAATGTTATTATAAATATGAGAACTTTGTAATGCTTTTAATATCTAAATTATACATAGTCAGATATACTAATTCGTAGGCCTACTATTTCTAAAAAATTTAAATGTGCAGCACTAAAATAAATTGTAACTATTTAAAAATTTTAATTCATTTTTATATATTCTATATAATTGTATGCACTGAAAAAAATAATTATTAAAGAATTTTTTGTTTTGGAAAACAACTATATTAATTAATAAATGATATATTTATATAGGCATGTAACCTTAAGTGTTACATACTGTTTACTCAAGACAGTTTAAAAGTATTATTTGGGAAATAAATAATTTTGAACTCAAAAGGGTTTACTAACTAAATCTAGTTAATTTTTCCATTAAAATATGGAGGATCATTTTTTTTAAAACAAACATTTTTTTTCTATAAGAATAGTTCTAAAATAGCTTTTTGTTACATTAAATTTAAAGTTTCTCTACCTGCATAATTTCAAATTTGGTAAAAAAAATTTTGAGGAAGAATAAAGTGCAATATTAATATTACCCTTTGTACAATACTGATATCATTCTTCCATTCTTCCTACTGACAACTTGATTTCACATATAAGATGTCAGTTCTATTTTTATACCTTGTACCAGTTCAAGTATTTCTGATTATAAAACTGTTGAATATGTTCATTTTTGTAACCTGTGTTCAATTTTTGTTTACTATACCATTATCATAAGTACCAGATAACATTTTAAATGAGCTTTTGAAAATGTATAACAGAAGAGAATAGTTTTGAAAAATATAATGTATCTTAAAAAACTGTTTCTGAATCATTTTTTAAATTAATTTCTTTAATGAGGTTTGGAATTGAAATCATTTACAGAAACCATTTTTAAACTATGATAATTAATGTTATAAGATGATGACAATTTTTAGCATGTCCTTTTTCAAATAATGTGAGCTTGTTTTTGGATGTTCAAGCTTGATATTTCATTAATAACATGAGTATTAATGATAGCAAAGTTATGTAAATGTATATATTGTGTATATACTTTTTGTAAACTTTAACCTTCTTTTAACACTTGCTTCCATATATAATCCTACCTTTTCTTTCTGTTATTTGTGAACCTTAAACACTTGCATAAAAGGAAAAAAAAAAAGAAATGATACTTCATTGTTTTATATGACGTACATCCATTAATCTCTTCCTATTATCTTGTTTGCATTATTATGCAAATTTAAAGTTACAGAATTTACCTTTTTGGCAATACTGCTGTTGATTCAATTTATAAACCCTCTACATACTTTAAAATTAGCATGACCAAAAATTCACCATTTGAAGCCAAAATTCATAGTTTCAAATCATATCTTTAAAAAACAGCAAGTTTGACTAAGCATTGGCTGTAAAAAGTGTGTTATAAACCAAGCACTGCCTAATTCTATTATAAATGAAGTTTAACATCTTAAACTGATTTTTTTTATATCAAAATTAAAAGTTTTAATTTTGTTTTTATTTGAAGTTTTTATACATTAATAATTCAGAGTGGTCATGAATAAAACAATTTAAGCTGAATAATTTTTAAGGTTACTGCTGCTAAGTAGAATAACCTTTAATAGATGCTGGGAAAATATTTTAAATTTGTTTTTAAAAAGAATTATGTATATTATATTGTAATCACTTTATTTGATGTATAAACACTTTGATGAGGATTTTTTTTAAAACTGTTTTTTTTTTTTACACCTAAAGCTGTAGAATACTAGTTATTACTGTAATTGTGTTTAGGTTGTTTTTTTTAATTCCTGTGGCAATTAAACCATTCTTTTAACCTAATTAAACTATATAATGGATTTACTATTTGAAATCTTTAGGAAATATAATACTTCATTTCCTAATGCAGTAACCAATTTCTAACATACATAAAAGCACAGTTGTACTATAGTCTCTATAGATCTATATTTCCAGAGTTTCATTTTTTTTTTAAATTGTATCTCTTATAAAAGTTAATTTTATAAATAATATACACAGTACTACATACTGAACAAAGGAATTCAATATAAAGAATGATCTTTTTAAATTGTGATCTATCGGTAGCATTTAAAAAATTGACTTTATGGCAGCAGTAATTTGAAATTTTTATATTTTCTTTATAGCAGAACATTTAATAACTGCTTGTTCCATTGTTTGTTTTCTTTGCCATAAAGATCTTATTTCATCATTAAAATTGCCATTTGTAAAATAAACTTTTTACTTCTTTACTTATACCTAGAGATAGTAAGCTTAAATTTTGGTATCTTTACTTACATGTAAGCTGTTGTTTTTTTTTCCCTGTATTGTTTTACTTAGTATTAATTTTTTTTTACAACAGAGCAGGTCACTGCAGTTTAAAAGTACTTGCACACCCTAAGCTCTTGTTTATGTTATCTTTAGTCCTAGTATAGATGCTAATTTTTACTTTAACTCCAAAACATGTGACAACTTGTGTCTTTTTTTTTATTTACTTGGCATTAACTAAATGCATCTTTAAAAAAATAAATGTTTATTTTATTCAATAATGTCAGTTGTATTTTAGTCTGCATATTTCTGCATTCTCAAAACACTATATTTAGGCCTGTATTCCTATGTTATTACAAGGATGAGTCTTGCTACTGTACACACTAAAATGATTTTCAGGACAGTGGTACCTTTTTCAGAGATGAATTCAACTAAGCCATTGAAAACAATTATTTACAGCTAATGTAAAAAAAAAAAATCATCTTTCTGACACAGCAAACTTCAAGATTCAACAAGGAAATCTTCAATGCAATTTGTATGACTCAGTAGAGTTTCTTCCAGGCATCTCTTCGAACAAAATGAAATGTATATAGAAAATATATACTTTTAACAGTGTGTCCCGTCCCCCTGAAAAAAGTCTACCACCCCCCACCCCCCAAAAATTTCAAGTGCCCCCCCCCCTCCCCAGATGAAAAAAAGTCTGGAAGAAACACTGTGATTCAGACTCATTGCATGCATTCTTCCTCCTTCCTTAGTGCGTAGTGAAGACACAAGCAAGAACAAAGTGCATATTTGTTACCATGACAGTCTTCTCAAGCATTCTTATATATGCTATTTACATCACCCTTACTTGATAAGGGCTGTCGAAGGACAGATCTTTCTTGGACCATTGACTCAGGCTGATTACAAGTCCAGCCTTTGTTTGGGGTGTTAGATAGGATTTATATCATTGTTTATTATTTATACCATCCAAATATTTACTTTCTAGTTGGAGAATGACATGCCTATAACACATATAAAATCGTGCTATTCCTTTAGGTCTCTGAATTGTAAAATAAATACAAAATCAGTGTCGTTTTGAACAGCTCTTATGGAAGCCGTTCTCCTAATGCTGATCCTACGCTTGTTTACAGCGCGCATCGTACTCAGTTCATCAAAATGGCGTCCAGAAAGACTTTACTTTCTAGTATAAGTTGACTGGTTTAGTACTGGCGGAATCATTTGGTTGTTGAACCATCTGCTGCTGGCTGTGGGACGGATGTTTCAAATCGTCACCAGATCCAACAAACTTGATTAGTATGTGCATTCTCTTGACTGGCGTCTTCATGTTCAAGTCGAAGATGAAAATAATTATGATTTTCTAAAATGCAGAATAACTATTAAAATTTAGTTTAATTATTTTTTAAAAATACAAATGTGTTAAGACACATGTGTGCCCCCTCCCCCTCATCACAAATTTCTCAAAATATGAATTTTGATGTTTAATAATGTATATAGATCAACCGCATGGTCTGATGGTAGAGCTATGCAAAAGTCCTGGATGTTCCCAGTCTATCCAGCTCTGATAAGTATCTGATCCACTAAAATTTCAGGAGGGGACACTGTTAAAAGTATAGGCTATATTTTCTATATAAATTCAATTTCCTTCGGGAGGGGGGGGGGGGGAGGACAGTAAACTTTCTTCACTGTTTAAAAACAGTTCAGGATGAAAAAAAACTAATTTTTTTAAAGCTGTAAGGAATATCACCATTAGCATTGCATGTGTGGGGGAGGGGGGGGGGGAGTGAACCATGTAAAAGGGTGACACAAAAATATAAAGATACCAAACATTTTCTAGTTAAGTACCACATGATGGGCAGTGGTGAGGTATTCTAAGCTGCTGCACAAGGTAAGATCCACCCAGGGGTGCCACTTCTAGCGGGTAGGTATTATAACAATGGTCTAGTCATCAGCTTCATCAACATGTGTCTGTCTATGCAGTCACTTGCTGGTTGCAACACTTTTAAAATGCTGCCATTCAAACTTAATAAAATTTATTAAAACAGTTTTCTAAAACAAGAAATAACGGCTAAAATTTAGTTTCCTAACATTACTTTTTTTTTAATGCAAAAGTATGATGTCACACTATTTGAACCCCCCCCCCCCCATTTAATTTTGTTTGTTGAGTGGTAATGATGGCTTAGTAAAGGATGAGTGAAGCTAAAGATGATTTTGAGGGGAAGATATTCGGATGTCAGATTGAGAAAGCCTAAATAATACTAAATAAATTATTAATTAATGTTCTTGTTTGGAATTGTGGATCTAACTAGATAAGTCAAAGACCTAATTACAAATGAAAACTTTTGCTTTGTATGGATATTATATTTGTTTATTATTTTCATAATGCTAATGGCCATGGGCTTGTTATTAATTTATTATTCTCGCATTTTCGCATCCATCTTAAGATCTAGCCAGTGGCAGGCTACGCCTACGGCACGGAGTTTTACTTGAAAATAGTGTAGTGGTAACTTTGGTAGTTATTAGCAGTATAAAATTACACATGAGCTTCGTGGTTACAGACAAATTTCTCATCTTCAACTTCGTCTAACTCTAAGAAGAGTCTAAGACTTTCTAACTTTCTAGATCTAAGTCGTTTTAGCTCTCGACTTTAGATATAAATCTAGACCTATTGTGGTAGGACTAGAAGTTAATATTATAAATACAATTAAAAATTAATAGTAAGTCTAAAAGTAAAGTTATTGAAATTAAATTATATTTAAATTTTAACTAGATTCTCTAGAGTCTAGAGTGAGTCTAGAGATAGATCTGACTAGATTACTAGATTAGATCTAGATCTAGCTCTAGATCTAGTACTAGAAACTAGATCTAGAAATTGTTTTAGATTTAGATCTAGAATCTATCTATCTAGATCTAGTATCTTAGTAATATAGTATCTACACTAGCTACTAGATCTAGCTAGATCACTCAGAGATCTAGCTCAGCATAAGACAAGGACAAGACAGATTGGTTTGGTATTAATAATTAAAGTGCTTGTCTGCTAACCAAAAGTTAAAAGTATTGAGTTTGGACCTCAGTGTCTGCAGTACGTCCCTGAGTTCACACGCTCTGGTGGGTACCTGACTTGAGTTATGGAAAGTGAAAGCAGCTGGGTATAGTGCAGACCACACCATATGCCCAGGTCAAGAAACTTATGGACTCTCTACTTCAGTATAAGACTGTATAAGAATATAAGTATAAGGCTGAATAGATGGAGTTTTATGAGAATAGGAAATCATAACTTAACACTAAGTCACTAAGGTATTAAAAGTAAATTGATCAATTTTGAAATATACACACTAGGCCTATAGACATAATCTGTTAAGCTTAACATAAGCAGTGGCGTGCAGACCTATGTAGATGCCCGGGGCAAACTCAACCGGAAGATGCCCCATAAATACTTATATATATATATATATATATATATATATATATATATGTGACGAGCGAACATTTATCCTGCCGACAACGCCAATTGTAACGAGCCAACAGTTACCATGCTCGCAACGCCACATGTAATGAGACCTAATTGCCTGTAGTGCCACGTGTTAACGAGTTTAACCACTCATTCTAGACAACATTGACCACAGTATAGATACTCAAGATGCAGGTTCGCTATTGATCCTTTATTACATGAATCAAGAAATGCTTCATAATAACACAATAAATCAACAGGAATGCTTCTCAATAATAGTCTGAATCAACTGACCCCTAACAGTCCTTCACTAGGCTTTATATAACTGAATCCACATGTCTATAATCCTCCTTAACACAATACGGCTAACCCGTTCTATAACCGACTTGACATAGTCACACAGACTGACTGATCTAAGCGAGCGATGAAGATGGAAGAGAGCTCGCTGAAACGGGAAGAGAGAGAACGAGTCCTGCCGTGCCCTCCTATTTATGCCTTGTATCCGTACTCGTCCCCGTACTTGTATTCCTCCGTAATCGATACTTGTACTCGATCTCCGACCACCAGTTGCGTAGTTCAAACGTACAGACCGTAAAATAACATCTGCGTCCTATCCATCAAAGTTGACAGGCCGTCTGAATACCGTTTCCCAAAATAGCACGCGTAGCTTTGAGGTTGTTATCAGCCCGACCCAATAAGCCACCTGTTATCGGTTGCATCAGACCAACACCGCGTCTCGGCCTCTCGTTCGTTATCATTTGTAACTGGTAGTTAGGCCTACCCCAGTTACATCCACCCCTGCTTTTTTTGTGTGTTTTCAACCACAAACAACGCCTGGCAGGTGCACTCCTCCAAAGTCAATCGCACAGTCGTAAAAAAAAAATCTATTGTTCTACTCACTGTCCACGACGTTCCATTCGTATACGATTGACAGTTCTACCTATTTCACATATCAACTGTGTCTACATCATCTTCCTGAGACACAAAACAGTTCTAGAATTCACATCCACCCTTTCCATTTGGTGCCTTCACCAGTTCACTTCTATAGCTCTTTGAACAGTCTGTTTTCATACCAGCGCGACCATGAAAGAATTGATGGTTGCTGACAAAAAATTTCGTATTCCTTCTGTTCCTTAAACTTCTCCGCGGACCACTTATCTGATGGTCTACTGTCTCTCTGCTTCTGGAGGGACCGGGATCCTCATTGTTGCCGGTATCCTCCCCTTGCGTATCGCTGTTGTTCTGTTGATGGTGATATGGTTCCGGAATGGGTATGTGAATTTCCGTTATAACTTCCGGTTCCCTAATTGTCTTGGGTTTCTGTGTGTGTGACTGCTCTTCTTGCCTATTCCAATATTTCTTTAATTGAGCAATATTCGCCCACCGATCCGGTTTGGCGTGATCGATGGGTCTTATCTTAAAGGGGCCACCTGCTACTTTAGGCATCTCCACGACTTGCCATATCTCCTGTCCCCAGAGATCGTGGATTTTGTTTCTGCCTAACGGGTGGCTACGCAGTAATACCCTGTCATTCAGTTTGAGTGGCGGGTCCTTCGTCTGTATCGGCGGTTCCCTTCGCCGAGATTCATGTTCTAGTCTTTCCTGTACTACCCTGTACATTTCTCTAATTCTTCTCATATGTTCATTCACATATTCCAGTGCGGTGTATGAGCCAGTCATACTCTCCCTTTTTCCTAGGAACAAATCAAGAGGGAGTCGAGCCTCTCGTCCGAACAGCAACATGTATGGCGAAAAGCCGGTTGTGGCATGTGGTGTGCAGTTGTATAGATATACCAACTCTGGGAGAAAATCAGGCCAACGTTTTTTCTGTTCAGGTTCTAGCGTACGCAGCAAATCATGCATGCTGCGGTTGAACCGTTCACACTGTCCGTTTCCTTTCGGATTAAATGTGGTTGTTCTAGATTTGTTGATCCCGTAGTGGTTGCACAGTTGGTTAATTACTTCTGACTCAAAGGCCCTTCCTTGGTCAGAGTGTAATTGTCTTGGTATGCCATATTTGATGAACCAATGTTGTAATAAGACCTTTGCCACTGTTTTGGCAGTCTGATCTCGTGTGGGCACCGCCACAGTCCATTTGGTGAATACATCAGTCATTACCAACACATGTTCCGTCCCATCCGATGATTGCTCCAACGACGTAAAGTCCATAGCCACAATCTCTAGTGGTTTTGTCGCTAGTAGGTGTCCTGATGGCTGTCTCATTTTGACAACTGGCATTTTCGCATGCTGACACCTCACACAAGCCTCACAATGGCGTTTGACCTCCATTTCCATATTGGGCCAGTAACACCTCCGTCGTAATATTTTGTGGGTTCTGTCCTGACCCTGGTGTCCTGCCCTGTCATGTGCCAACCTTAGCACTTCTTCTCGTAATTGTCCCGGCACCACCACCTGGTGTATTGTGCCATCAATTTGGTCATGAATTCTCCGCATGAGAACACCATCCTTTATACTGAGACGGTTCCACTGACTCAGTATTTTCTTTGTTTCTCGACCAAATTGTTCTCTTTCCCTCCTTCCTGGGAATTTTTGTTCCTGGACGTGTTTCAATAGCGGTTGTAAGCCACTATCCGTTCTCTGGGCATCTCTTATCTTTTGGTGATTAAGGCAATTAAAATCACTACTGTCCATATGTTCGGGTTCCGTGGATATGTGCTCCACCCCGGTCTGCCCGTTTTGCATCACTTGTACCCCATGAGGGATATCTGTTGACGCTCTGACCTCACATATTCCTGTCAGTGTTTCTTCCTCATCACCCGGTCTCTCGTAAGGATTCCTTGATAAGGCGTCCGCATTGCCATTGGACCGCCCCGGGCGATACTTTATCTCTAGGTCAAAGAGTGCCAATTCTGCTGCCCATCGCTGTTCGATGGATCCCAGCCTTGCTGTACTTTGAAGTTCTTTTTCAATATCGGATAATTTCTCTTCAAGTCTTGTTTGAGACTCTTTCATTTCTTCTAGTTTGCCAACACTGTTCTGTTGTCTACTATTTTTATTTACTTCTTCCGATAACAGACACTTTAAAGATGAACATTTCTCCTGTGCTTTTGATTTGCATGAACTTTTCCTATCCAGTTTCCTGGTTAGACTTTGAATTCCTTTATTAAGTCTACCAATTTTCTTCTTATCATCATTTTTCTCTACCAACAAATTGTTCACTTGACACTTTTCAACATTCAAGTTCATTTCACAGTTCATTTTTTCCATTAGTTGTGTTTTACCTTTCTTTTTCTCCCTACTGTGTTTCTGTGTCATTTTGTTTACCAAGTCATTACCTCGCCGCTCTGTAGCCTTGACCTGCCTTACAGAGGGCGATCGTTTCACCGGACAGTACCGTGCCATATGTCCGGGTTGTGAACAAGACAAACAAATTGGTCGACCGTCTGCCGTCCATTGGAGTGATGGCTTGGCAGGACGCGGCCGTCCAACCCGTCCCTGTTTTGTCCCGTTCTTTTCCTGATTCTCAGCTGTTGACCTGCTTTCCAACCTCTCCAAACGTTGGTCAACCTTCTCTAGGTGGGCCAACAGTTGAGCCATCATGGTCTCCATCGTGTCGGCCCCTGTGGGTGGGGATTGTCTCTGTTCAGGCACAGAGACTTTGTCCACCGAACAGTTCGATTGGTCCTCATCCTCGGACCTGCGGATCGCTGAGTTCCTGACCTGAAGGAAGGTCAACTGCTGGTCTCTGTGGACCTCCTCTTTCAACTCTCTCCTTAAGATCGGGGTTGCTAGCCCCTCGATGAAATGGTCCCTCAGTAGGCGTACATCAATGTCCGGTGATTTGCCCTTTACCAAATCAAAGGCCCTGTTCATCCTGTGTGAGTACTCCATCACACTCTCCGCCTTTCTCTGCTTTAAGCCCACGAATCCCGATAGCAGTTGCACTCCCGACCGTCTCTCCCCAAAGGTCTCCATAATCAGATCCAGCACCTTATCTGGATCTGATTGGACGGTCCTATCGTGGCACTTAACCTCTGCCCTAACCGTTTCACCTATACTGCCCATCAGCAGTCTTAATCTTTCCTCTGGTGACATATGTCTCGAGGCCCAGGCCGCTTTGACCTCTTCACTGAACCTGTTGGTTAAAGTTGGGTCTCCGTCCCCGTAAAATTTGTTAATATGGGACTCTCTGGGTAGGACCACTATATGGGTCTGCTTCTCGTCCAGAGTAGACATTTTCTTCCTTAAGTACTAAAAAAAAAGAGTTCTTTCTTACCGTGTGTGTATGAAAAATTTTTCCTCGTTCCTCAATTTTCACAGTTCCTGAATGTCCGAATTCACACACACACTAAACACAGTTATGCACAAGGTTGACTATAGGTGCCTTAAACGGCAAGTCTAGTTGAATTCATCCTGATCGCAGCGCCAATTGTGACGAGCGAACATTTATCCTGCCGACAACGCCAATTGTAACGAGCCAACAGTTACCATGCTCGCAACGCCACATGTAATGAGACCTAATTGCCTGTAGTGCCACGTGTTAACGAGTTTAACCACTCATTCTAGACAACATTGACCACAGTATAGATACTCAAGATGCAGGTTCGCTATTGATCCTTTATTACATGAATCAAGAAATGCTTCATAATAACACAATAAATCAACAGGAATGCTTCTCAATAATAGTCTGAATCAACTGACCCCTAACAGTCCTTCACTAGGCTTTATATAACTGAATCCACATGTCTATAATCCTCCTTAACACAATACGGCTAACCCGTTCTATAACCGACTTGACATAGTCACACAGACTGACTGATCTAAGCGAGCGATGAAGATGGAAGAGAGCTCGCTGAAACGGGAAGAGAGAGAACGAGTCCTGCCGTGCCCTCCTATTTATGCCTTGTATCCGTACTCGTCCCCGTACTTGTATTCCTCCGTAATCGATACTTGTACTCGATCTCCGACCACCAGTTGCGTAGTTCAAACGTACAGACCGTAAAATAACATCTGCGTCCTATCCATCAAAGTTGACAGGCCGTCTGAATACCGTTTCCCAAAATAGCACGCGTAGCTTTGAGGTTGTTATCAGCCCGACCCAATAAGCCACCTGTTATCGGTTGCATCAGACCAACACCGCGTCTCGGCCTCTCGTTCGTTATCATTTGTAACTGGTAGTTAGGCCTACCCCAGTTACATATATATATATATATATATATATATATATATATATATATATATAAATATATAAAGCTTAGTTACAAAAAAAACAAATAAGTTGTGTTGGACGTTAATATACACAGAAAAGCATGTATTTAAAATATTGTACTTATCTTAATTGAGATGAACACGTTGACTACAGCCAGTTAAATCCAAATGGAATGAATGGTTGGAACTTGGGGGGGGGGGGGGGGGGGGGGGGGTTGGAAATGGGGGAGACAATTGCGGGACGTGTCGTGGTGGGGGGGGGGGGGGCTGTGATGCACTACAAAAGAGTCTCATCCGGTTTTATATTACCACCTGAGACCGCAGGGACAAAAACGTCCGTGTCTACAATTAGGGCGTCAGACACGCCTTTATTAATGGGATGTTTCTCTCTTGGCCTGTTTAGGAATTCCTATAGTGTAACTAATACAGGTGAGAGTGTGCATTGAACTAGAGATGTTTCAGATTTTTTTTCTCTAAACCACTTGGTCAAAACGTCAACTCTTTAAAGAGATGGGTGATGCTAGATACTCTCAAACTATCTTAACCTTGAATACAACAGAAGTGTACCTTGGTTTGCTAAAGCTGCCAGCTCTAAAAAAAAAACACTTCTACATCGGACAGTGTTTAAAAAATCCACTATGCTATGTCAGCCCTCCCTAGACTTGGACGCGTTTTCACAAATTTAACACCCAAGTACGCTTGTCTAGTTCAGGGGGGGGGGGGGGGAGAATAATCCACTAGCGGCTTCCATAGCCTAAAAACCCACACCGCATCCCCACATTTCATTACATCAATATGGGCTCAATAACTCTATAGATAGCTCACTATTAACTTTAAAGAAAGCTCTACTCAGAGTTAAAACACTTTAACTTTAACACTACTTAAAGCATGCTCCTCCTATTTGTAAAAATCAATATGGGCGCAATTATTCTGAATGATATCATTACAATGTATCGAAAACAAAATGTTTATTCGTATTCTTAAGTATGCTTATATAATGAATGAAAATAAATATATATTAATGGCTGCCAGTGGCGTAGCTACCGTAAATCTAGAGTAAGCAAAGCATAGGGGCCCAAGGTAAATAGGGGTCATTTTCCTTCTTTTAAAAAGTTAAAACTTTTACATTGGAATTTTGATATTTATTTTATATAAATAATTTTTTTAAAAATGAAATCAAGTTTTTTTTTTCTATTGTAGAAATAATTTAATTTCAAAAAGGCCACAAGTCCTTTCTTAGTGTACAGGCAGTGGCATTCAGTGTGTGGGAGGGCGGGCGACTAACATTATTAACATTGTTAATTTTTGCATAGGGGCCCGAAAATCCTAGTTACACCACTGAAGGCTGCCCATACAATTTAACAAAAAAAAAAGTTTGGGCGTTATTACACTACAAATGGCCATATATTTCACCAAAGATGCCCCAAAAATTTATAATAATAATATGGGCATAATTACCATTTGGATGCCCTTAAAATGGATCATAATGAAGAAGTACATTTTTTAAAAAAGCTTAAGAGATGCCCCCAGTGTTAAAAACGATGATTGGTGTAATTACTGTTGCATGTCCTTCGAGTGTAATACATGAATATAAGCATAATTACTTTCAAGATGCCCCTACAATATATAAAAACAAGATGGGCATACTTACTGTATGGATGCCTTTAAAATGTATTATAAAGTGAAGTGGGCATATTACTAAATGCTCATAAAATATATTATAATGAATATACAAATAATTACTTTAAAGATGCCCCTATAGTGCATAAAAATAAATATGATTTAATTACTCGACGGATGTCCTTGAAAATGAGTATAACGAATACGCGCATATTACTTTAAAGATGCGCTATTACAGTGCATGAGAATAATTTGGTCACAAGTACTCTAAACGATGCCCCTACACTATAGTAAATAAATATCACACGCATTTATTAAGGGAATATCATTGACTTCCATAGGACTACCCTTCACTGATGCCCGCTTTTTCTATATAAGTTTTGGTATACGGACAGTGTAATGTTAAAACGAGTGACAGACGATTGAGTGTTACAATCTTTTTCAGCGAGATCGCAAAACATATGGAAAGTTACGATGACACCATGACACGACATATCGCAACAATTTTTAAATTACTAAAAAAAAAAAAAAAAAAAAAAAAGGCTAAAAAATTTTTTTTACACCTCCGCTGGATGCCCCCCACTGGTGGATGCCCGGGGTCTGGGCCCCGTCCGCCCCCCCCCCCCTCTGCACGCCACTGAACATAAGTCATTTTTGTTATTGATGAATTTTGTTCAGGCCTTTTAACTATTTGTTTTAGATTCTAAAGAAGAAACATGTCTGAGTCAGATGATGAAGTTCAACTATCAGCACAAGCATTGGCAGCACTGCAAGAGTTTTACACAGAACAGGAGGCAGAGAAGGAAAGACTCACAGAAGCAATGTCTGGAAATGTTGACAAATTCCAACCTAAGGAAGACTGGGTGAGCACTGATGCACTAACAACCATTGGAAAACAAAAATTTTATTAATATTAAGATTTAAGCAAGAAATTATAATAACAAATACAATGCTCCTAATTTAATTAGCTTTGCCTAGTAATATGCCAGCACCTCATTATTTTAAAATCAGAATATTTAAACCTATCTATAAATTTAAATATGTAGCTTAAAGCCCTGTATTTTTAGGCAAATATAATTTTGAGCTTCTTCTTAGTGAGAAAATCCTTTTATCTTTCAAGCAACTTAGCCAATTTTGGTACGATGATAAAACTGCTGAGAGACTTGCAAAAGAGGCATTAACTGTTGCTGGAGAGGAAGGGAGGTAATTTATGTGTATGGTTATTAAAACAACTTGCCAATATTTACTTCCTTAAATTTGTTTCATTTAGGCCTACATTTAAATTGATCATTAATTTGATTATTCCAGTAGTCATTTTTCAGGCCAGACGGCATTTGTTTACACCTTGTAAGGACATGTATTCTGCAGTTGCAAATCTACTTACTCAGTATCTTTGATTGAACCCTTGTCAACAACTATTCATCACAAGACAATACAATTAGAAAATCCATTCATAGTTTTCAAAAAATCAGATTAGTTAATATTACTGTATAAAATGTTTCAAAAGTGTGAATTGTTTTACTCTACCCAAATTCTAACTGCTGTATTTCTTTTTACAGGATTGCTTGTGTTAGCTCACCTACAGTGTACAAAAAACTTCGAGAGCTCAAGTCAAACAAAATTGAGGCAAAATGTCTTGAATATGATTCAAGATTTCAAATTTACAATGAGGACTTTATTTTTTATGACTACAAAGAACCTCTTAGACTCGATGAAGCTTTAAAGAATAGTTTTGATATTGTCATCGCTGATCCACCTTTCCTGTCAGAGGAATGTCTCTGTAAAACTGCTATGACAATTAAGTTCCTAGCTAAAGAAAAAATTATTTTATGTACAGGTATATTTTATTGAAATTTTTATTTTGGTTTACTAAATTTTCTTCTGCTTTCAATTAACTCTTCAAAATGAAAGTGAAGTTCCCTTTACAGAGCTATTACTTTTTTTTCATTAAGCACTGTAAGACCAGCTCAGTGTCCTATCCCTTTACTTACTATTAGCCAAATACTTTGTTTTTGGCCCTAGTAGGAGGGTTAATCAAGTTAATGTCAAAATATAAAAAGGGGTTTTTAAGAGGTTAATGTATCGTAAGGAAAAGTTATACAAAATCAAAATATTACAATTCATCAGGGCCCAAATTGTTCTTAAATCAACTAGAGTCAATAGGGAAATTCTGGCTTTTAAAACTTTCATTTCAATCCACTCCCCACTTTTTTGTTTTCAGTCAAAAATCATCACCCTCAAATATTTGGCATGGAGAATTTTTTTTTTAAACCTCCAGTGTTAATATATACATTATGGCTTAATTGAAAGATGCAAAGTCAAAATATGCATTAATTTGATTAATCTTTAAAATATTTCAGGTGCTGTGATGGCAGATTTAGCGAAGAGATTGTTACAGGTTACCCCTTGTAAATTTGAGCCAATGCATGTCAACAGCCTACAGAATAAATTTATGTGCTACACAAACTATGAAAGTACAGGATTAAACTAATAGATTTATCATTTTGTTGTGGTCTTTCTTGGTTCCAATTGGACATGTAGCTAAAGTGTTGGAAATATGTTGATAATCATTATCCATGATTTAATAGGAGTAACCTTAGCAAAGTTGTTCACATCACATATCTAACCAGGCTGTGATTGTATTTGTAGAAGGAACAGACCAAGGAAGATACTGGTCTCGTTATGTAGTCTTTTTAATAGTACTTCTTATATCTAATCTCGCTGAATTGGAGTAGATATCCTTATTTCTATATTGAGACAATATTTCTATTAGATTTCAACCTATTAACACTTTATATTGATCTTTCTTAACTTAAATGCATTCAAATCAGATCTATAAAAGTTGCTTTTACTGTAAGGAACCACACTGATGATATGCTTAGTCTTTAGCAAAGAATGACATGTACACTTATAAATTATAGCATAGTAAAACAGGTTTCCAAAACATGATAAAATGAATTTGAATACTTAGTTTCAAGTAGCAGTTTTCTGTGTGATCATATCTCAAGGAACCCAAAATAGCAAGTGGAAACCAGGAAAAAAAAAGAACTTTCATTCTGCTGATTATCTAAATCTTGTGAGCTTATTATTTTTGCATATTTAATTTCTAGGAGAGATTGCCAGTCAATTTAATTTTAAAAAACATCTAAACCAGAAACATGAAAAAAAGCTTATTAACTTTTGTTTGACATGTTTAATACAATGGTTACAAAAAAATGTAGACATACAAAAAACATGTTTCAAGTCAAAAGAGATAAGAATGTGATGCAAATGTAGATGAAGACTTTCTTGTAGAAGTATTGTGGAGATGCAAGGCACAGCAAATGTAACAAAGAACAAAGCACATACACCTTGACATGATTACAAAATTTGTTAACAGTAGCAGTTAAGTAGCATTATCACAACAGTCAGTATTAAAAATAGTGACAGATGTTTCAAAATAACAGACTAAATTCAGAATTTCAAGATAAAAATATTAGTATATTGAGTCATATAACCAAAACAAAAATAAATTATTACTTTTGTAACAAACCTAACATAAAATTTTGGAAAACTAGAAATTGAATCCCTGAGCTGCATTGATATTTTCTGTACTAAACTGATATTGATTAGACTCTGCATCTCCTTCTGGTGCAAGATTTTCATCCTCACCCTGCAATAAATTAAAAAACAGGATAAAACACACCTATATAATCAATATTAATCCAAGGTAAAATAAATCTGAAACACTATTTGCAAGAAAGAGTTAGAAAGACTGACCTCTTCACCAAAATATTTCTCAATGATATCATAAGCCTTCTTGTAAACTTGCTGGTTCTCATGATTCTGGAGCTGTTCAATTTTATCAAGACCACCAATCTCTTCTAGCATTGTACAGATAGGCTCTACTTGACCAACCTTATCTGCTGCCTGAATATGCAAAGTTTTTTTAATATTCAACATCTACAACTATATACTCATACAGTACAGTGAAATATTCACACAAAAACTGCTGTTAATTTATCAGGACTATTAACAAAACATGGACAAATACAATAAACTTTACATAAATGCCATGAAAAAGTGATGCAAAATGTTCTCCAAGTAAAACACTAAAAAACAATTGTTACCTGCAAAATGTTGGCAATGCCATCCATCAAGACATGCAACAATTTAGTGTCCTTAGATGCTAATAGATCACAAAGTGGTTTGAGAGCTCCACACTGCACAACATAGCTGATCTGTTGTACAGTTCCTCCTGATGTCAAGTTGGTGATGGCCCAGGCAGCTTCCTTCTGGCTTTTGAAATCACCCTACAAAATGTTTTAAATTTTTGTTAATAAATTGGTTAAATTCAATCCAGACAGCTATTTCTTTAATATAAACACAACTTACTGTGCACAACACTTCAATGACTAAAGGAACAAGATTGTGATCAATAACAGCTTGAATTTGTTCAGTAGATCCAGCTGTAATGTTTGACAACATCCAACAAGCCTCCTTTTTGATGCTGGCCTTTATATGCTGCAACAACCCTGGCATCATCTGTAGTACATTTGTGTCAACAACAACCTGACAATGAGGAAAAACATGTTAGCTAAAACTTGTGCATGTGTATTGAAGAAATGAATTAAGTCTGATTTAAAATTGAGATATAAATGATTGTGAGCTTAAGTTAAATTAACCTGGGTTTGAGAGTCATCCCCAGTAACAATGTTGCCGATCGTTCTCAAGGCAGGTGTAACAACGGCAGCATCGACACTTCCCAACAACTCTACAAGCCTTGGCACAACACCTTAAACAAAATTTTTAATACAACAGTTGAGCTATATTCGCTATTAATCTCATTGGAAATGTATCTAAACTAAAAGATAACTAAAACATTCATGAAAGTACCTGGCATATCAACAACCTCTTGGATCTGATTATTAGCACCATCTGTTATATAAGAAAGGGCCCAGCATGTATCTGCAAGAACTTCCTTATCTGAATGCTGGATAAGTGTGGCAAGTGCAGGTAAGCATGCTTTGATGGCTTTCATTTTTGGTGGAGGATTTTTGTTGCGACATAAGTTGGAGAAAGTCCAAGTCAAATTACGGAGGAATGCAGGCTGGAAAAACAATTCAGGTAAATATCAGGAACATACAAAGGGTCTTATTTTGATAAGAAATATATACAAGTGTTATATAGAATAAATGTACATAAATTATATTTAAATATAGACTACATACTGGAGCACTCATGTCTACAAGTCTCATAAGAGGTTCAATGATGCCATTTGAAGTAACCATATCACGCATTTCAGATCCATCACCTGAAAATGGATTAGACAGTATAGGTTAAGTATCCATAAAATAGTTGGCTAAGTGAGAAAACAGAGGCAAGTGAAAGTTATTACAGACCTAGAATAGTAAGTGTGAAACAAAATTTTACCAGCAATATTTCCAAGAGCCCATATACACTGCTCAACTAAATTGATACTAGGTGCACCCAACAACCTAATAAAGTGTGGCACAGCACCAGATCTAACAACTGCCTGTGTTTGTTCAGAAGTTCCTGATGCGATATTGGTAAGTGCCCAGGCTGCTTCAAACTGAAGGCTTGGCCTGAAAACATTCATAAAGTTTTAATGTGCAAACTAAATACCGTCTTACATAAAAATATCCTACTATTCAACAATAATAATGGGTATGATACGATGACTGACAGGCAAATTAAAAAGAACAATCTTCAAAATTTTTACTCAAATGAATGACAACACCAAGCTGAGATTTAAATAATCTAATATACAAAAAATAAGTAATGCCTACTTGTCATTGCAATCAAGGAAAGAGACAAGTTTTTCTACAAGTCCAGCCTCAATCACTTTATCTATTGGTGGATTTTTCTCCTTAGAAAGCAGCTTTCGCACTGCAACAGTTGCATTCAAAACTTTATTGGCATCCATGCTCTTAATACTGGAGATTATTTCAGACATGGACATGACGATTTGCTGTACAGAAGTAGTAATAGAAATGAATTATGTTATGAAATCAATTTTTTTTAAATATTCAGTGCTAGACTAAAAATACACTAAGATCAAAAATAGCATGCCTTATTTTGTTCTTGTAATGGACTAGTTGGCTCATCATCAGAAAGATCAACATTTCTTCTTTTCAATAGAGTCTCTTCCTTTTTTTGCTTCCTTATTTCAACAGATGTTTCAACACGACGCCTGCGCAAATCCTGTGTTTAAAAATTAAAAACAAAATAAATTGTAGGCCTACTACTTAAGATTACTGTAGACTGTAGAGGAACAACCAACATTCAACAAAACCTGGTAAACCTGTGATAATATGTAATCTTATATTAAAACTACATTCAATAAATAATCCTAAAATATTACAGTTATTTGTCATTAGGCCTATGCAATTTAAAATAGCATTACCTCTATGTCCTTTCCTTTGTTCTTGTATGCACTTATGCGTGCATTGTGACCATGTGCATTTTCTGCCATTTTCTAAATTTTATCCTGAAACAAAATAATCATGCTCTTGATAATGATATCAATAAACAAGATATAATCTAGAAATAAAGATTATTTTAGAAAAGTAGGCCTACAGAAGGCTCAGTAAGCGTAACTCACAATTGCAAGGCGGTTAAGTTTGTATTGTTACAAGTATCTCCCAGCTATTGCCCGAGCTATGACGTATGCTGATAATTAAAGTCAATGTGAACTCAGTGAACCCGCGACCATGTAAGGATTTTTCTCCCGCTGTCGATCACACGATATTTAATTGGAACAGTTCTAACGCTTTTTTATGTTTTTTTTTTACCTTTTCTAATTAAAAATCACATTCATAAAAAAAAAGTAGATCTTGTGTTTTCCTAACATTTTTGTGTGTTTTCGGTTGTGTTTATAATAAAATACGCTCAACTGGAGGTGAACGTGAGATGGGGGTAGGGTTGCTTGGTGTCCAGTTCAAAACTGGACAGTCCAGTATTTGAGCAGACTGTCCAGGATAAAATAAATATAAATACTGGACAAGTATATGAAATAATACTCTGTTACCCCCCTTCTTCTGCTTTGCTGCATACCTGAGAAGGGAAGGATGGAAAGGTGTCCAGTATTTTCGGAAAAGGTATCTGGCAACCCTAAGGGGGGGGGGGGGGGATAAAATATGCTAAAATGGAGTTTTACCCTGCTTAGACGGCTTAGTCTATCAGCTAACTAAATCGAAGCTGTATCTAGATCTGGATTGCTAGAAAGTAGAAAGATTAGATTCTAGATCTAGATAATCTAGATTTAGACTAGATTTTAGATCAAATTCTTGAAATTTCCTGTGACATGGCTGCTGGCAAAATACAAAATTTTTGAAAATATTCAATGACCCAGCCCACTTCTTTCTTCTAGATCTATACGTAGATCTAGAATAAAATATTGGAATTAAAATTGACACTAATAAGTAGATTTTCACTTTTTAAATATTAATTATTAACATGAAATTAACATAACTACCTAAAGGATGACTATCACTTCTTGACAACTTTCTTGTGCAGGCTTAGTATTCAAAAACCGTGTGGCTATGAAGGTTTTGAATTTTAGCTCGCTTTCTAATTAGTAGATTCAGTATCGACAACTAAAATCCGTATCGATACTTTATTATTTTTAATGTCTAAATAATAAAATATTAATTAGCGTGGCAGTAGGAGATTTTCTAATTATTAAAACAAACTAATTAATAGTTTTAAACAACAAATAATTACACCAACAATCACATAAACCAATAATAAATTTTAGTCGTTCCATATACTATTGCGACTCATTTCTTGAAACTCGATTATTATGTTATATCTCAATAATTGATTGGCTGCTATTTTTATCCACTACGTTGCCACTGCTAGCCGAGGGATTGACAATTTTTACATGACATTTGCTAGTCCTAACAAAAGTATTAGTAAAATTCATAACTTTCCGTTTTAGTTTTAAAGTAATTTTTTTTAAACAGCGATACTCGGGGTACATCATGCCACCTTTGACATTAAACATAACCTGCATTAAATTCACATTGAACCACACCGATAGTCGTGATTGGGGAGAAGGGGGGGGGAGGATAACACTAGGGATTAGAAACGTTGACGAGATAACAATGCGTTGCTTTTTTTTCTGCTCGCATTGCTCTAGATAAGAATTAAATTTATCTTTACGCAGAAATTAAAATAATCCACCAAAGTAAGGTAAGAGGTGACACTACTAATTAGAAAACAAAAACAAACAATTTTATCGAGAAAATTGTGGTATGTTCAATTGAACATTGACTAATGAGTATAATTAAAATCAAGATTATATTCCCCATCCATGATGCCATTCGGCAGATAGTGGGGGGAGGGACAATAATTTAAAAACTTCCAAAATGACAACAAAAGCAATGTAATCTATAAGTTTGTTTTATAACTTATTATAGCATGATATCATCGGATATAACATTTTATGCGAAAGATTATTAATGGGTGCTGTGCAAAGTTTGCTTTCAAATTTCCCATGAAACCGGGGCACTTGAAACTTCCGCGGGGCTGGGGAGCGGCGAGCAATGTTAAAAGAATATATTTTCTATATACATTTTATATTTTTTTCTATTTCGTCCGGTGGGCAGAGTCGTAGCTAAGGGGGCGCCCCGGTCGCAGACCCTAGGGGGCGCGAAAACGGTAGAAAAAAATGTAAAAGCTAATTTTAAGCTGCAGTTTTGAATTATAAACAGTAAAAGTTAAGAAATGTAACGGCTACAAGCTTTAACATACTGATTTAATTGTTTTCTATATTGTATAACAAATACCCTTAAGAAACAGTGGTCGGGAAAAAAACGCTTTCCGTTTTTTTCCTCGATGGCGGCGCTTTTTCGCTAATTAAAATCGGAAGGATTTACACTGAGTTGGTGAGTAGATAACCTTTATCACTTATAAAAGAAAACAATTGTATTAAAGCGTATTGTACGACTGTGTAACCGTAAAGAAGTTAATGACGTTACAACTGTGTCCTAGTTGGTGGGGGTGGGGGGCGCTTTTTCGTCTACAAAAATAGCAATAATCTGTAATTGATAGGCGATTCAATTACTCTTTTAACACTTAGAAAAGAAACCAATTGTATTAATTTAAAGCGTATTGTGTAACAATAAAATAAGAAAAAAGTAGTGGGTGCGGGGCGCTTTTAAGCCAATGTAAATAGGAAGGATTTGCACTGGAACGGTGAGTTGATAAATCGTTCAACGCTTAAAATAGAAACCAATTGTATTAACGCGGAATCTACGATTTCACTAGCTAGTTTTGTTAGGAAATGACACGACACGTTCTTTGTACGATTCTCTCAACTAAGATATCAGATCCTTTTACTTGATTGCATTACATCTTGCCTAGATCCATTGTATTAAAGAGAAATACATATCACGGATTATTGCGTCACTATATGATCAGTAAAATAGCATACCGTTGGAGCGGGTGGGTGTAGTTGATAATCTTTGGCCGAAATTTTAAGAGCTAAGAAAACTATAACACGGCTTTCTATATTTAAAGTTGCCTAATAAACATGTTTACTAGAAAATCAGTATATTGTACAGAATAGACATTTTTTTATTGCCTGTTTCATAACAAGTCCTAATACTGCAATTTTCATATAGATAACTATGGTAAACTGGTACAACACTACGTCTGCTACTGCTTTGTTACTTTGTTCAACCTAACTGATAAATTAAAGCTGTGATATAGGCCCTACTAATATCGAAATTGTTCTAAATACACGACCACAATTGGACCAACAAAGCTTGCACCTTGTACAAACTGCAATCTAAAGTAGTACTTAACCTTTTTGGAGGTACCAAACTCCATCAGTTTCATATGCGCATTTACCGAACCCTTCTTAATAGCAGTGGCGTCGCTAGGTCGGGTGTCACCCGGTGCGGTACTTCTTGGTGTCACCCCCTATATATATATATATATATATATATATATATATATATATATATATATATATATATATATATATATGTGTGTGTGTGTGTGTGTGTGTGTGTGTGTTTCTGTCGGCCTAAATAGGCCTATAATTCAAATATATGCCGCATACGCGTACATGTATGTGTATATGCTATTTTTTGCCTTTATGTCACCCCCTAAATGGTGTCACCCGGTGCGATCCGCACCACCCACCTCGCCCTCGCTACGCCTCTGCTTAATAGTTCTATCATCCACACTGACAAAATCCGATTGTGATTCACATGGGTTGGGTGCGTGTCTTGACCTTCGCCGAAGCCCTGAGAGCGACTCACAGAACCTCTGGTGTTTGATCGAACCCAGGTTATGAATCGCTGCTCTAAAAACTATATTTTCTCCTTTTATTAGTTTCGGCTTCATGAGAAGCATAAGCGTATGCAACATTTCGTCAACTCACTTGATTTATAATATGAAGATCGACCCCTGATAATTTCAAACGATTTTCTTCACGACTCTTCCTCTTTCCCCGTGGACTTTACACCAGCACCTGCTTAGTAATGTTATTTGCTGTCTTTCTGTTACTATATATATTATTTCATTCTCCAACAGTTTCTTCCAGGCATCTCTTCGTGTGGGGGTGGGGGGGGGGGGCAGAGCGCCCCACCCCCAAGTCTACCGCCCCCGAACGAAATGGAATTTATATAGCCCCCCCTCCCGAAGAAAGTCTACCGCGGAGAAAAAAGTCTGGAAGAAACACTGTTCTCCACTCTCTGTAATCACCTAGCTCCGAAACATACAATAAAAGATACTTCACATTTAGCTATAGATCTTGATTGCATTCTTTTAACAATGCATTTGAATTTCACATTGGTTTAGAAAGTTAAAAAGCATTTCATTATTTTCATCGCTAATGATTCTAATCTGAACGTCATGCCACTATCATTAAACCGGTTATGACTGCTTTTTCAACCAGTTAAAATGGTTTTGCATTTGTAGTTGACATCTCCGAAACCCAAGGTTTCGCAAATGTTGTGTTCGCTGGATTCCATTTGTTTCCTCTAGCTTGTTTCATTATATAATCAACCAGTCAACGAAATACCCATGTCGTATCCCAATGTGTACAATAACTTTTTTTCTGATAACTTTCTATTGTGTATCACTTGAATAACCTTATTCTAACAAACTTATGATCCAACTAAAGACTGGCCTAAACAAATTAGCACCTGCTACAAACTACCTCCTAAACCTAAATCAGGAATATTTTAAAAATATTAATCATCTTTTTTATAAGGATAACGCATCTTGAGGGAAATTTCATTGGCGTCAAGTAAAGCTTTAGGGAACGAAAATCAAACACCGTGATTATTAAATCTTTTCCGGACTGTGAAAAGATCGTGAGACATTTTACATATTTTTAGTGTTTACTAAAGAAAACAAATTATTTTTATATCCTTATTTTCAGCGAAAATTTTTATAAAGATTTTTAAAAAATATTGGTTTTGTTTATGTATCTATTTTTAGTAATTCAGAATTTATTCATTTGACACTAAATAGGCTATGACTTAAATATTTTCTTTCAAAATGATCAGTAGCTCGCGTTCTTTCAACTCCTTTGACATCGGCAAAGGAAACAGAGTGCTCTGCACCATGCTGACTGTCTTGTGTTTCCCCATCTTAAGTCAAGTACCCACCATAGTTGTATGGACTCAAGGACCTACCACAGACTTTCCCGGTCAGCAGCTGTAATCTGAATAATTCAACTACGCCCCCCCCCCCCTCCATCACACTTAGCCTAACCACTATCGTTGCTAAAAATGTTCAAAATTTTCAAATACAAATATAAAATAAATGCTGACGAGTTAGTCTATCATGAAATATTTGCCTAAAAAATAAATTACAATTTAAAAAAAAAATATTTTAAAATTTTTATTAAAAAAACATTTTGAAAGAAATCACACAATTTAATCACACAAGTCGACTATGGGCCACGATATAGAAATAAAATAGTATGTTCGTCAAAAACTCGTATATACACGATCAAAGCGCGTTTGTATAGGTGGCGTTGACACGATTCGGGCCGTATCATGCCGTATGTGTATCATGGCGTCAAGGTTTACATGATGTAAAAATATCACCATACCGATACGTGTTATCTTGCTCTGGCACACTTTGTTACTTGATCTATAATGTAGATTCTATATTGTGCAGTCGTAATTGAACTGTCATCGGCCGCTAGTTCTACCGTCCGGTTTGACAAAATCAGATCGCAAATCATATGAATCGGGTGTGTGTCTTGCAGAGTTTCTTCCAGGCATCTCTTGGGGTGGGGGAAGCCTCCCCGAACAGTCTACCCCCCCCCCCACCCCGAACGAAATTAAATTTAAATAGAGAACATACTTTTACCAATGTCGTCTCCCCCCCCCCCTGGAAGAAACACTGGTTCTTGACCTCTGCCGAACCCCTAAGACTAGTTCACCGAAACCCTGGGGTTCAATTGAACATATTGAGAACCACTGATCTAGTGGTACTGCTCACTGAGATTTTCTTTTTTTGGGGAGAATAGCGCTAGTTAGGAGAATCCGAGAAACCCAAAACTAACAAAATGCGCATGCGTCCAAACATGTTTTCATATGCAACAAAATGGCGCATTCGTTGCTATTTACTCCTCATTTGGCAAACAATTTGTGTGAAAATAGATTTTCCTATTTTAAAAGAATGAGAGCAATCTAAATAAACTACTTTTAATTAAAAATAATTGTGTGAATAGATATATTGTTTATTAAAACCATGTCTGCAGATGAAGATACCGAGCTTAGGGATTTAGTAGCCCAAACTCTAGAAACAAATGGGACACTTGGCAAATTGAGGGTGAATAAAACTGTTTTGCATTTCTAAAGGCATTTTTTCTCTGTATATACTATATAAGTGTGTATTCGACACTTGTGGAATGAGATCTAAAAACTACGTTTGTGACAGTGACATCACTCACGTCTTCTCGTACTTCTTACTGAACTTACTCATCATTACTTGTCTTACTCTCCTATCTTACTCTATTTTTAGATTTTAGAATTTTTAGAGTTACCGAAAATACTAAAAACATCAAATCCATCAAAAGTTTAGAGAAGTCTGACAAAAATTTCACAATAAAGTGCTTATAAAATCACATTTGTTTTAGTTTTAATTTTAATAAGATTGCTACAGTACAGATTTAATTGATTTCTATGAAAGTGGTTTTCGAAGGTTGATCACAGAGTTCCTTTACAGTAAAGTACGGTAGTGTGTACAGTACACTGTACAGTTGTACAGCCAATCAATGACTGTCTTATGAAAGTGAAACTTCAGGTTATAATGTGGGCTTGATGAAAATAAATGAAATGTAGCCTTAAATGCAAAAAAAGTATTTTCAATTTCTCTGCTTTTACAACTTTTATTAGATCTAGATCTATATGGATTCTACAAATATTGAATTTCTGAATTTTTTCAGGCTTGAGTTTTACTTTTTATATTCTTTATAGCCACGTTGATGGCAAACTAGAAAAAAAAAAGCCAATAATAATGGACCCGATCTTGTCAACTCAACTATCTTCATTATAATGAAAGTTTAACACCTATCTGCACTAAATACACACAGAGAAACATCTATTCTAAAATAAGTAACATAGAAGAATACTCATATCATATCTAGAACACAGTGGCTGCTGTACAGAACTAACATACACCTAACCTGGTAGCATGAAATCACTGGACTTTATAACTGTACACAACGTATGATGACACAATGACTACAGATACTGAGGGGTCAAAATGAATTAATGGGGCAGGTTACGAAATAAAATAAAAATATCACCCATTCATCCCCTTCACTTCATTTAGGAAGTGATAACTTCAAATTAAAAAAAAAAACTCATGTCTTAAGATGGATGTAATCTGGATTTTAATTTTATAGAATCACACCCCATAGGAAAGTTGACATGCAGTACTTAAGTATTTTGGAGAAAAACAAAGATGTCGGACTTATTGTTTCTGCTCTCGAATGACGAAGCAATGTTTAAATACAATTATTCCTTCAGTTTTCACATGCAGAAATTTAGATGGATTGGCCACACACTCAATCTGTCATAAGAAGACAGGACCTCACAGGAAGCTACAGTGAAAAAGAAAAAGAGACCAACCATTGAAGACCTGGAGACATGACCTAGAAAAAGTCACCAAGAAAATTGGATGCATCTGTGGACTAGATAGATATGCCTGGAAATCTCTTGTCTTTAGCCTATATCCCAACAGGGCAACAGGCTAACCTAACTTAATACATGAGGAGTGTCATTTTCTGTAGTAGTGTATAGCCTACATACCATCCTTTTTTCTCTATTTAGGCACAATTGAGGGCAAGTGTTTTTTTAGCTCTAGAAGATCAAGAAAATGGTCAGGTAAAAATCATAATTTTCTTGTTTTTTAAGCCATTGGTAGAAAATAGTTACAATTAAGGTATCTACATGCATTTAATAATTTTTTTTTCTGCATTTACAAAAGATTTTGATTTACTTTAAAATAATTTTTAATATTTTTTTTTTTACAGAGCAAAGCTCCCTTTCTTAACAAGAACTTAAGAAACTTCCTGTCAACAAAAGAAGGTAAAACTAAAACACTAACTGAAAAAAAGACTTCATAGCTTAATTAAACAAAATTGTGGCCTTATAGAATAACAAGGTATCAGTGATTTTGATATATTTTTCTTAGCAAGTTACAATTGATTTTCTTTGCAGGAATGTTGGTCACAAGTCTGGTGCAGGAGTTTTTGGAATTCTTCAATCTAGAGTTTACATTAGCTGTATTTAAACCAGAAACAGGGCTTGTGAGTTAACATTTAAATATTTTCCTTGCTTTAGAGGGGAGGCAATAACTATGACTTTTTAAATATAGTCCTACATTATTATAATTTAGAATAAATTAAAGATTAAAAAATTAATAATAACATTGCAATGAATTCGAACAATATATGAATGTATCTTTTAAATATTTCTGAGTCATTACATATTCTGCACTAAATAAAGATTTCTGAATTGATTTAGTATATAAATATTTTTATCACAGTACTAAAACAAATTGAGTTTATCTGATGAAATGATTTCACTATTTTGTTATCTCTGATATGTATAGTCCCATATTTTATTAATTTTTTTTTCTTTTAAGTTTTTATTTAAAAATATCTAAAACAACTTATTTCTCATTTGACAGCTAATTTTAATTAGTTGCAAGCAAAAAGGTTCTGAATAATGCTTAGCTACAGCAAAATAAGAAGAAACAAATTTTTGAGTTTAAGTACAAATATTACAATATAGAGAAATGTGTTCTCCCTTTTTACAGGTAGAATCAGAAAAGAGAAGTGAGTTATTGAAAGCACTGGGCATACAGCCATCAAACATCCCACCCAACACACCGCTACTCTCTGCCTTAGTACACAGTCAACATTCATCATCAGGTGCAGGGGATGCTGTGTACATCTCAAAGGTAAGCTAATCATTTAACACATGATGCTATGATATTTATTTTGAATAGGCACTTAAGAAATGTAATTTAAAAAACTGTAATCATTTAACACATGATGCTATGATTTTTATTTTGAATAGGCGCTTAAGAAATGTATTTTAAAAAACTGTAATCATTTAACACATGATGCTATGGTATTTATTTTGAATAGGCACTTAAGAAATGTAATTAAAAAAACTGTAATCATTTAACACATGATGCTATGATATTTATTTTGAATAGGCACTTAAGAAATGTAATTAAAAAAACTGTAATCATTTAACACATGATGCTATGGTATTTATTTTGAATAGGCACTTAAGAAATGTAATTAAAAAAACTGTAATCATTTAACACATGATGCTATGATATTTATTTTGAATAGGCATTTAAGAAATGTAATTAAAAAAACTGTAATCATTTAACACATGATGCTATGATATTTATTTTGAATAGGCACTTAAGAAATGTAATTAAAAAAACTGTAATCATTTAACACATGATGCTATGATATTTATTTTGAATAGGCACTTAAGAAATGTAATTACAAAAAGTTTGTTTTAGAAGAGTATTTCAGAAACATCGGATTTCTTAGTGTAGTCATTGCTAAGCAAAAAAATGTAACATCTTTGTAAAATTGTTTTTCTAGACACAAGGAAACTAATAAGAATTAGCCTGTGATTAGTTGTAATATAAAAAAACAAGATGCACCCACCATGGGAACCTACATTGTATATTTTTGTTAATAGTTTGTCTTATTGGATATTAAAAAAATATTTTAAACATTGTTCCAGGCAAGATCACACAGGGTAATAATTTTATGCTGATTTATTAAAAAACCTTCGTTTACCAATTTTTTAAATTAAAGATGGACATACATAACAACCTTCTAAGCCAGTTTTTATTATGTTACGCGATCTAAAAAAAATGTATCATGCTTTTGATTTAAATTTGGGTCAATAATATATTTTCACACATTCTATTATTGCTTTCTTAATATTGTATATGCACACTCTAATATAAATTAATGTTTTGAAATATTTTTTTACATTCTTATTATGAAACAATAAAGTTTTAGCTGTACACAACATGGTTAACAAAACAAGTTTTATTTTTGGTCTGTTAATGCTAGCATCAGATGTGTCTAGAAATAAAATTCATGATTACCGAAAATAAAACAATTGAGGAAAACAATCTCAAACAACTGATGGACTCTAAAAGGACTGACCAGCAGATAAGATAGTACCATTAACAGCATATCAAATAAATCTAGATGACTGAAAAACAAACAAAACATTCTTAAACAATGTATGTTGGCTTTCAGGTTCTTTGATCCTTTTTAACGGAGAAGAGTGTTTTAAAAAAAACATTGTATTGTAACCTCTGTTTTAAACATTTTATAATTATATAGCAGCAGAAAAATTTCTTTTTAAAAAAAAAATTTAACTGTATGTTATTAATTTAACTAATTACCTTTTAACGTGCTTTTAAAATGTTTTCTCTTTAAGTACATATACTGATAGTACATAAAACTTTACTTTATACATCAGTTTAACTTTTTTTATAGTAAATTCAGTGATTTTATTATTTACATCACAGAAATTTGATTTTTAAAATTCATAATAAAATGACTAATTACAAGTGTTTTTAAAAGAAAGTCTTTTAGAGAAATTTCTCTTTTTGTCACATGATCAGTAATTTAAAGTGTTTTTAGTGTGTTTTAGTTGTAGACATAACATATGGGACTTTATAAAGCTTAAGTTTAGGTGCAGTTTAAACAAGAACTAATTAATTTTTTTCCCTGTAGGACTTGACTGAAAAACAAATTGAAGAAGCCAGAAAAAAATTTGATTATTATGATAAAGTGAGTTGTTTTCTCATGATTTATCTCTGAACTGTTGTTTTAATTAAATTATAACAGTGGCTTCCAATATGGGGCTATTGATTTCGTTATGTAGGATGGCATTGGTGATGAAATGTTATAGAACTATTAATTTTTAGTGTAGGATGGCAGTGGTACTATGCCATTATGAAGCATGGCAGTGATGCTATAGAACAATTACTTTCTTTATTCAGGATTGTAATGGTGCTATAAAACTATTACATTTGTATGTAGGATGGCAGTGGTGCTATACTATAGACCAATGCATTTCTGTTATGAAGCATGGCAGTGATGCTATAGAAAAATTACTTTCTTTATTCAGGATTGTAATGGTGCTTTAAACTATTACATTTGTATGTAGGATGGCAGTGGTGCTATAGAGAAAGGAGAGCTTAGAGAACTGTTTCTGGATATGTTTCCCAGTTTTCACCGCAATATGCTGGAGCGCTATGTCAATGATGAATTTGCTGCAGTGGACAGAAACTTTAGTAACTGTAAGTCTCAATCGTTTTCTTTTATTTGTTGTCTGGGTGTTGGTTAGGTCCTTATTAGTATTAATAATCTGATGTAAACAGGCATTCAGAGATGTATTTGTTGCCCATATCCTACTTGGGTTTATGGTTATGTTTCTTGGTTGTTTTTATTCTTTTGTTTTATCTTTTTTTTTAAAATGCATTAATAGCCACATGTAGGCATTCACTTGTTTATCTTTAAAATGGGTTATCTGATTTATATTTATCTGATATATAAATACATTTTTTTAGTTGTTGTGTAAAAATTAACTTTTTATTATCTCTTTTATTTTGATATGATGTTCATATTTGATGTTATATGAACAACTTTGGAAATATATCCTTTGAAATATCCATCTTTTGAAAGCACATTATTAACAATGTTCAAAACATTTTCTGTGAATAAAAATTTTGATAAAATAGAGTACACAAAATTTAATTTTCTTCTTAACAGAAGATCAACCATTTCTAATTAAAGGATCAATTAAAAGATTAATCACTATTCACTTGAGACTATTTTCACATTAACTGTGGCTGGTATTGAACCATTGCACATTTCCAAGTTAAAACTGGTACACCAAAATGGTGTCTTCCATACACTTTCTTAGGAATATTTAGAAGCTATGTGACAATAGTTTGTACTACTACAAAAGTTCACTGAATTAAAACAAAAATAGGCTACCTTTTCAAATCAAGCAAATTATTAAGAGTAATTTGCTTGCCTGACCACTGTATTTAAAGGGATTGTGTGGTCAGCATGATGGAAAGCTGCTTTTATTTTTGCTGAGTCAGATACCCTTAAATAGCTGGGTGGACTTTGTGATGTCCTATGGATTTGGATCTTTACTTTCCCCAACTAGTTAGTTACCCAAGCGAGCTGTGTAAACTCCTTGTCCTATTGACTGAAGCCTGGAAACTGAACTCTAGACAAATGTTTTTATTATTCTAGAAAATGATGTGTGGTTGAGGGTATAATCATGTGGTATTCACCTTGTATTTAAGCTCTATATTCACTGACACCAAAAGGTAATCCGTTTCTTACCCGCATGCCATCTTCTTGTTGTTTTCTCTAACAAAAATGTACATAACTGAACCTCAGTTTGTGCAGGCATGATTCAAGTTAGGCATGATATAACAAGCTGCTCACTCTTGATGTGGTTAGGGGTTGTTAGTTAGATGTGTCTCACCATTGTTAGGGATTGGAAAGATGTCTTTGACTGATGTGTAGGGGTTGTTGTGTTAGGTAGATTACCTAGCTCTTATGTGTTGGGTAGATTACCTGTCTCTCATGTGTTGGGTAGCTCTCATGTTTTGGGTAGATTACCTAGCTCTCATGTGTTAGGTAGATTACCGACTTATGTTGGGGCTGTTGAATTCACCTCACTCTTGTGTTCACAGTGTTGGATTTAACTCACTAGAATTTTTGTGGCTCATTGAATATGTATAATCATCTCACTAGATAGTGTTTGGATTATTGGATAGACATATCACACCTTTAAGTTGTATTGACTGTTATATAAAATAAATGAACTTTTCATGTGTGTAATAGTTGCTAGAAAGATATATGGGAGGTATTAGGTAAATAATTTTTTTTTTCAAGGCAGTTCTGGAATGGATTATTTTAAATTGTGTTTATATTGGTACATATTCACACAATCTACAAGTCACCAAAGCTTAATAATAAGGCTGAATTTTGTGACATGCATGGGCTGCATTATTTCAGACACTGAACTGCTTATATTAAACTGAATAGAAAGCTTAGATTTTTAATTAAGCATATGGAGATGATAGCCATTGTCGATGTTGTTTCTTTTTTTTTTAAGTTTTGAAAATGTGTAGTAAAAATACAGAGATTATCATTAGACATTGATAGTGAGTGCTTTAAAAAATTACCACTTGTGATATTTCTCTTTGAATGTATGCTCAATAACTACACACCTTCCTTAACATTTTCCTCAACTCATCTGTACTTTTAAAAATATTGTCATTGTTTCTCTCAGCACCATTCAATACTACACATTTATTAAAATAGATGGAGAACTTGCATTGGATTTTTAGTTGTGTTTAAATTATGATTTCTAGTAAGTCATTTGCCTAATTATTCAAAATACTAATCATTATTTTAAACATTCAAAAATATAAGGGACTATGTTTAACATCCCCCTCATGCACTTTTATGTATTTTGCATTATGAAATGCAGATATTGCCTGGTAAACTATGCATGGAGTTTCTATCAACTAGTTTTGAAGATGCATTATAACGATTGTTTAAAGTGAGATGAACGAGTTAGATACTTTTCTATAAGTAATTAGTTTCTGGTTTTGTAAGGGTTAAATATGTATTATTTCATTCAGTTAAATGTAGATTGTGTATTTTGGCTTATTGGCTAAACTTGACAGCATTCACTTTATTTAATCACATTTGAAATAGATTTTAATGCAGAAATTAATTATTGGTTCTTTAATATCCATAATTTATTATTAATGATTTGCCTTGTTAATTCAACAGCTCTTCAACCAATGAAATTAAATCTATTTTATTTTCAAAACTTAATTGTTAATTTAGATAATTCTAGAATTCTTTCTGTTGGTTTTAGCCATAGACTTTGATGAATTCCTGGGCATGTACAAACGTTTATTCTTGCTGTGCCGAACTGTGGTGTCAGATGATGTGGCAGGTATCATCACACCATCCCAAAAACCAGATGTCAAGGTTTGCTTTTATTTCTCCCACTTTTAAAAAAATATTATTTCTTAAATTATCCAGAGTATTCTCTTGACAAGTTTACGTTCATTATTCAGACAGTGTTTTAAAAAAGTTCCCCTTTCACACCTAATAATGCCTAGGGCAGGTGAAGTAGAGTTCAAGTTTCTTGACCTTTGTATATAAAGAGATGGTGTGGTCAGAACTATATACAGCCGCCTTTATTCAGAGACATCCTGCAGTCTGCACCAAGATCTGAACTTAAGACATTCGGGTTAGCATCCAAACGCTCTACCAGTTGACCATGCCATTCCATATAGTCAAGCTACTAAATTGTAAATCAAGACAGTTCTTGATGAGTAACAAAAGAAAAGTTCTCATGTTTAATTATTCACCATGGTGTTATATTTTACTGCATTAAAGTTACCAAAGCAAAGTGACAGCAGTGATCATGAGAGCAGGAAGTCCCCTCCCCCAGACAACGGCACATCAAACCCACTGAATGATGGGAGTGACATAGAAGAAGATTCTTTTTTTGATGACCACCCACCTGCAGCGGTCAGCTTTAGTACCTTGTCCAGGTGAGAACAAATAATTCAATTTGTTGTTAACAAGTAGGCCCCTATTCTTCGTTCTTTAACTTATATTTTACTAAACTCAATTTTAACAATGATTACGCTTGTGGTCATTTTTTGCATTTTGAATGTGAATAAATACCACAGTTATATAGTTCTCCGCGACTGCAATAACCAATTTATTAAATTTTAAAAAAATTAATTTTTCTAAAATACTTTCATTTTATTGTATTCTTTTTTTTTTATTTTAAATTTTGTTTTTCAAAATGAGAGACAATTAGATATTTTTTGTTGCTATACAATATTTCAGTTTTATCTCCGAGAGATCCAGATCCACATTTTTAAGGTCTCCACAGTTATGTTTTTTTATTTACCCATTGAGCATTTGATTCAGCATTTTTGATTATGTGAACTGTTGGCTGACAAATAATTTCCCATTATTAAAAAATAATACTTAAAACATTCAATATTATAAAGATGTTAATATTGTCTCATTATAATCAATACTTTTTTAGACTGTTATTTAATGTTATTTGGAATAAAGAATAGACTTACATATTTTTGAATTAACTATGTTAACAAAATTAATATTCAACGCTTAGCAAACAGTTTACACCATTGCATTTTGCATTGAATGCTTATACAATTAGTTTCCTTTGAATGAACTTCATTGCATTTTGCAACTTTATTTTCTGAATTTGGATCCTGAGATTTTAATTCCCCACTTGATATTTCTCTACTGCTGCTTAACGCTGTGATGGTTACATAACAGTGCAGCACTGGGGTGATCATGTAGAAAGCATGGGGTAATGTGAGCTTTCAATTTGCTAGTGTTCCAGCTGAGAGTGTGAGCGCCGCCGTCACCAGACAGGCCAACCCCTACCAGCCCCCTCACAGGTCCCAGCAGCAGAGGTAAATGGAATTTGCTGTGGCCGCCTTCATATCACCCCATTTATCACTGCGCTTTTCTTTCTATTTGCTAGTCAGGTTGTTTCACTTTTCCCCCAGTTTATTTTACTGTAACATTATATTTAAAAGTGAAATATAAAAATGCAATGTTATATTTAGTAATATAGATTAAAAAAGTATATTCTATAAAAATCTTTCAAGTCATATTGCTAGCAGAAATTATGTGTGTGTTTGAGAGACTGATATTTGCCAAAGTTCTTTTATTAAGCATTTTTTCTGCCTACCAAATGCTTTTACTTAAAGCCATACTCATTTTTTGTCTTTTCTTATTGTTTGACAAAATGTGAAGTAGAAGTATTAGATTGGAAAAAACATTTTGGCTTTTTAATAAGTAGTTCTCATTAGTCAAACCTGGATATACTTCATCACAATTTTTGTAGTCATAAATTCAGAAACAACCCATAGAAGATGGGCTTTAGAATGTAAACAATATTAATGTTATGGGTGGACAATGATAGATTACATGTACCAAAGTCTATGCAGCTGTAAATCTAGATTTAATTTTCCAGTTTCACACCTTAAGCATGTTGAAACCATTGAATGCATTTTTGACCTGCATGGGTTTTAAGTAATTTCAGCGCAAGATACTTGCGGCCCAATAATACAATAATACATTATTGATACATTATAAGTTAGATTATAATTTTACACATTTTTTTCTTGGATGGATGTTTATGAATCTAAATGATTCATTGATATGAATTTAAAAGAGCCAGTGTAACTACTATCAACTGCATGGGTTCTCTTACAGTTGTTTCAATGCTTAGCATGTTAAGGATTGTCATCTCTGCTAAATTTCTTAATACTTTTTTGCCCTTTTTTATTTATACTTTAATAATTAATACAGTGCTAAAAATTCAGTTTGAACTTTAGCATGCTCTCTTCATGTAACTTTTCATTAAACTTATTTACCTACTTTGTTTATAGAGCTCCTACATTTAAAAAAAAACAATTTTTTTAGCATTTATATGGCATTTTATTTATTGTATTTTCATTTTTCTTATTGCAGTTACAAATTCAACTTTTTTTTGCCTTTTAAATAGCCACAGTTGTATTTCATTACTTTGTGTTAAAAGCATTTGTATTTTCTTTAACTCATATATTCCTCTATTATCAATATAACTTGTAAAACACAAAATTCAACAATTTTCAACATTTATTATTCTTAAAATGGAATTTAGTCCTAAATGCTAGACATCCACAATGGCCGAATACATTTAAAAAACACAGATGTCGGCAATGATCAACATTACATCTCAGACATAGACTCAATGTGACACTGTGCTTGAATTCAGACATAGACTCAATGTGACACTGTGCTTGAATTTCTCAGTGAACTAGAGAAGAACCGTGACTTCCACACAGATACAAAGCTGAATGGGGAATCTGAGAAGGGAAAGAAGTCTGGCAGTGGTTTGAGCTCACTGAATGGCCTCCCTTCACTCGGAGCAGGGCGAGCTTCATTAGCAGGAGCTCCACCCTTAACTAGACCCAAGTCTCCTGAAAATGGTAATTAACATTTTCAGTATGTCATTTTATTTTTGAATGTACCAATAATTTGTTATTACACAAGTGTGTTATTTTGTTGCAGTAAGAGTATTTGTTGCTTAACTTAGAAAAATTACCTATTTTGAAAATGTTATTTTTTTATATTTATTTCTGATAGATTCACGGATGAATGATTCAGATCTAGACAAAAACCTGAGAGAAGTTGACAAAAGGATTGTAGAACTGGGACTTGGTAAATCACATAGTTGTTTTGTATAACTAAAAAAAGTCTTACTAGAGTTTTATACAAGTAATGGACCCTGTCCCTATTATGAATTTTATTGAAACTGAAAATTATCGTAAAATAATTTTGTATTATAGCTGTTAATTTTAATTTCAATTTAATAAAAGTATTTCATTCACTGCTCTATTTTAGATTCTCAAAATGATGAATTTGAATATGAAGACGATTTTAGCGAGTGAGTATAATTGTGGAATAAATGTTTTTAAAATTTATTTTAAAATCTCCTGACTACTATCTCTTGTTGAGATTTCTTCAGCTGTTGCTTATAAGTAGTCAGTAATTGATTATTTCCAATGCTTCTTCCTTTTCTCCTACTTTCTAAAAGCATGAGCCAAAAAAGCCCAAGAAATGTCAGAATAGACAACAAGCCAGAGAATGGCAGTGTAGCAGAGGAGATTGATGATGAGGAAATAGCAGAGGATATTTCTGTAGAAGCTGATGACTTAATGCGCAGTGAGAAAAGTGGTGTAAGAAACATTTATTTATTTCTCTTAAACCAGCCAATTAAAACAACACTGAACAAAAATCAATATCACTTTTTAGGAATCTGTTTTTCAGGATTAATTTCGGCATTAAAAAGAATAAACATTGTGGCCCACCTTAAATTAAAAATCTTAAGTTATGAAAATAGAAACTTTGATCACTTAAATGGATATATTTTGATGAATAGTGACAAAACAAGAAGCATATCAATTAAACTTCAAAAATGATGAAAAATTTTAACAGCAAAAATAATATTAATTAAATAATTATCAGCAATTTTAACAGTTAAAAAGAATTTGAATCTAATTATCTTGATATATATTGATACTAAGGCTTTACACATTTGATTACAGTTTGATGACCTGACAACAGATCGCAGCATCTCTCAAATAGACGGAGGCTTTGATTACATGGAAGATCCAATATTGCCTTAACCCCAGCCATTGTTTACTGCCCTATCACCCTCATCTGAAGACGTACTCTCAGCTAGATTTATCAGCAATAAGAAATCAACTAAGTTGGTTGAAAGCTGTTTATTTGTCTGCACATTACAGCTTTGCCTGTTATGATAAACCTCTAACAATTATAAGAAGTTAGTTTTAATTACCACTAAGATCAAAATGAACGATAATAGCTTCTGTATAGTTTGTACAAATGCTTGCGATCTTCTAGTAAATTTTAAGCTTGAATTACCCATTGAAATTTTAACCCTGTTTGTTTGATTTTAAATCCAGAGTAGTATTAACATTCAGTAATTGATTTAGTATTAAATGTTAGATATATTAGCAGCTATTTGGATGGGAATGTAGCAAAGTATGTTTAGCCAGTAATGAGCAGTAAATAAGTAATTAGGTTTTAAAAATCAGTTTAAACAGTCATTTAGTACAAATACTGTTTCAATATTTATCCACTTGTCTCATAACTTTTAAAAAAACTTAACCTTTAACCTTTAATTTATTTCATATAATAACTATGCTATTTAATACTTTTTAAATAGATCAGTTAGAATTTCTATTTTATATTTCATATATTTTTATTCTTTACATAATCACATTTTAAAAAGAGCAAGTTTAATGTGTTTCATCAACACCCAAGACTTAACAAAATGACACCATTATGAATTAAATGACGCAATATAAAAAGCAAACTCCTTAACTTGTTATGATTTGCCAAGGGAAGGTTAGACTTTTTAAAATCTGAATTCAGTTAACTTTATTCAAGTTAAAGTATGTTTATGCAGTTACAGCTAAATAGTAAAATAGACTTGTCTCAAGTGTTTTCAGTTATTTTCATCCCATTAACTTATGTTAAAATATTTTTTTAATAGCTATTACTATTATGAAATATTTTTTTTTACTGTACTTATTTTTTTATTTTTCTAATTTAAAATATTTATGTATGTAAAAAGTATTATCAATAATTTTTTTTTTGCTTAACTGCAGCCAAACAAAAGTGCACGCTCAGTGTAGGAAAAAATTACTTGTTAGGCATCGATTAAGTTTATATAATATTTCATTTACTTGTTATATTTGTAATACTGTCTTATTCCTTTTTCTTTCTATTGTTAATCAATATTACCATATTTAATTTAGCATTCCTTCAAATCAACTTAAAACTTTAAAAACTAATTTACTAAATATTTAGGATCTGTAGCAACCAGTTCATCACAAAACATTTAGGATATGTAGCAACCAGTTCATCACAAAACATTTAGGATCTGTAGCAACCAGTTCATCACAAAACATTTAGGATCTGTAGCAACCAGTTCATCACAAAACATTTAGGATCTGTAGCAACCAGTTCATCACAAAACATTTAGGATCTGTAGCAACCAGTTCATCACAAAACATTTAGGATCTGTAGCAACCAGTTCATCACAAAACATTTAGGATCTGTAGCAACCAGTTCATCACAAAACATTTAGGATCTGTAGCAACCAGTTCATCACAAAACATTTAGGATCTGTAGCAACCAGTTCATCACAAAACCTTTAGGATCTGTTATAACCAATTGATCTAACTAGATCTGTAGCCAATTAGTTTGATTTTAACTAATTTATATCAAAGAGTTTAATGTTTTTTAAATGTGAATGTTGACAAATAGGGCTTGATTTTCTTATATCCTTAAAGTCGAGAAACATTTTGCACAAATTTTCTTGTGCAACTTTTTTTCTTTAATCTTTCCAACAATTTAAAAAAAGTACATTTGCTCATGTTGATTCATTAGGTTACAAACTCAGCATAGCTGATCAACTTTTGAAGACCATCTCCATATAAAACAATTCACCAACACTTTGCATATTGCAATTGTAAGCATTGACAAGGTATCTTCAACATCACTATGAATATTTTTATTTATTTAAAATGTCTGTACATTTTCCTGTGTAAAATACAGTGCGTTTTTTTTTTGTGTTAAAAATTACCATAAACAGATTTAATGATAATGCTATTAGTACTAACATTTATGTAGGGTAAGCAAGTCTAAAAACTTTTGTACTGGTAGAAATTGTTAATACCAATGGTTGTTATTGAAAACATTCCATAACTTTGTCCATTGAAACAGTAAAAATGTTCAAATTTACAGAAAGTAGATAGTTTGTTTATAAACTACTAGCAATTTCTTTCTTTTAGCAAGTTTTTGTTATGACTTGTTATTTTCTTATCCTAGTGAACAAGAAAAATAGTTTTTTTATTGCTGTTTTGAAAACCGTAGTAGTATTCTATGCCGTCCAAAAAAATCTTATTGTAAATAACTGCATGATATATAAAACAAGCAAAAGTCAAAAATTTTAGACAGGGTACATTGATTTGCTCAATGCTGAATATTTATCTTGCATGAATGAATGAAAGACTAAACAAGAGAAAATCTTTGTTTCTACTTAACTGACTTTACTTGGTCCTTTGAAATAACTCATTTTATAACTTGTATGTATATAATAAACCAAACCTAATTAAAAAGTATTTAAAAAACTCTAGTTCTTTGTTTTTAATTTTGGTGTTGGGATTCCCGCAAACACAATTGAGGATATATGTCAACTGGTTATGCGCCATTGACTGATTTCAGCCCCAGCTTTTACTTTTTGGATTTGCATCCATAGCCTTTGTCCAAACAAGAACTATCAGGCAGCAGTTGTTCTATTTTGGGGTTGTCTCTCCTAGAAGTAGCCATGAGTTTACCTACTGGACCATGCCGCTTAAAAAAACAATTATCATGCCAGCCAATAATCTGCTATTTTACTGAATTGTTTTTTTACTAATATTAATTTACACCAGGAATGTAATTCTAAAAACTAAAATGGAAATAAATGAAATAAAACAAGAAGAGAGGGTCTAAAATTTTAATGCATCAAAATAAACCTATTATACATTGAATTGCAAACATACAAAATATTGTAATGATTTGTATAAACAAACTATGACAATCTACACAACATGTAACAGCTCACACATTTCTTTTATCTCCTCCTTGATGATGATCTGAAAAGAAAAGAAAAAAATTGCTCAGAAAAATTGTCACTTATGTTAAAAGCCACATCGTGGAAGGAATGACTGCACTCTGGTAGGTCCAGAACAAAAAATAGCTATGGGGAACTGTTAAAAAGCTTTTTTGCATTAAGAAGTATATATAAAAAAAATACTTGAATGAATTTGTTTATCTTTTATAACAACAGTTAAAATGATGTAATTAGGATACAAACTGTAGGAGTACAACTAAAAGTAAGTTGAAAATTAGGATGCAAAGATGCTGACCACTTGACCTGTAAGATTAAAAGTGATACCATAGGTTCACCACCTGGTCAGATGTCCTCTGACAAGTGTGAAAGAGTAAATCAGCCTAATTTAGGTTATAATGAAGGGCTTGCATACCTTGATCGAGATCTAACGTTGCGTTTTCCCTTGGATGTCTTACCGCGATCCCTTCTCTCCTTATAATTATCCTCATCTCCCCCCTCTTCATACTCATCTCTGCTTCTGTGACTCTTTTCTTTGTGCCTCTTCTCCTTTGACGGAAGCTCTTTCTTCTTCCGTCGGGAATCCCTATCACTCCCAGAGGAAGATCTGGACAGCTTTCTCTTGCTAGACTTTGAAGACCTGTGACTTTCATCAACTGTACTGCGGCGTGAGGATCGCTCTTTATCTCTACTCCTCTCCCGTCTAGGGTAATCATCCCTACTTACACTTCTCTTTTTTCTAGATTTGCCCTGGTCTCTATGTCTGTCACGGTCTCTGTCATCATCAGAGTAGTCTCTGTTTCTGTCGTGGTATTTGTCTCGGTCGTAAGATGGGCTTCTTCTATTTCGACTACGACTGACACTACGCCTATCTCTTTCCCTGCTCCACCTATCTTCACTTCTATCTCTCCTGCTACTTTCTTTTTCTCTAACATGTCTTTTCTCTACGCTAACACTACGTTTCCTTTTTTTCTTCCTCTCCCTGTACTTATCTGAATCATTGTCTTTCTGTTTTGATTTACTATTTGCATCTTCATTTTTCTTTGCCTTTTTCTCTACTACACTTTCATCAACTAACCTTTTGTCAGGACTACTTTTTACATCTTTAGGAATATTCTCTTCCTCCTTTAACCTAGAAGAACTGGATTTTTTCTTAACATCTTTTATTTTTAAATCTTTTTTGGCGGGTGTATTTTTATTTTCTACTGAAGAAGAAGATGATGATGAGGAAGAATAAGATGATGAAGATGAGGATGATTCTGAACTACTCTCATCACCATTTTCTTCTTCATTATCACTACTGCTGCTGCTACTAGATGATTCTGAATCGGAAGAAGAGGAATCCTCGCTACTTGACTTCTCCCTACTTTTAGATTGAATTTTATTTTTATTGCTAGAGCTATTGGCTTTCCCTTTACTATCAGCAGTTTTTATCACTTCATGTTTATTTACAGTTCTTTCTTTTTTAGTTTCTGAACTATTTTTTCTAACTTTGCTATCTTTTTCTTCTTTAATATCTTTACTCTTTACCTTCTCCCTTTTATTTTTTCTCTTATCTCTATCATCACTTGAATCACCACTAACTCGATGCTCACTAGATTTTTTGGACCTAGCCACTTCACTTTTGGAATCATTGTCTACTGAGTCATCTCTTTTAACTTTGCCTGATTTAGAGTCACTGTTTTGTCTGTCCGTCTTAACGTTTTTATGATCAGCCCTATCACTATGGCGCTTATTGCGATCCTCATCTGCCTTTTTGGATGATTTTCCTGAAGAAAGCTCTTGTTTAGACTTGGATCGGTCTGGTGTATCAACTCTGCCCCCTAGAGATTGGAGTAATATTTTTTCATTAGTACTACTTTAACCCAAAGAAAAACCCTACAGAACATTCAGATTAACACACCACGGCTCACCTCGGGGGTCCTCCTCACCATCACTGTAGGTGCGTCTCTTTGCAAAGTCTTCTTTCTTACGGCGGATCTTTTCCTCCAAGTCTGAATCAGATTCTGTATCATCATCATCTCCTGCATCGTTTTCCTCGTTATCGCTAGCATCACTGTCATAGCCCAATCCTGTCAAATGGTAACAGTCTTATAATGCAGAAACAACTATGCATATACCAAATTTCTGTCTGAATTATTTACAAAAAAAAAAAAAACAACAACATAAAATGCAAAATTATTTCGGCTTGTTTTACTCCCCAATTATAATACCAGTCCTATCCTTGGCCCTGAAATTAATCCCAACCCTAAGTCTTGCAGCAAGTCAGGAAGAAAGCAAAAACAAAATTTAAACAATACTTCATTTTCATGTTAGCAAATGTATGCCAATTTTTTTTTGTTCTCTTGATCAAAGAGATATTAAAGTAGTTTAAAACAGTACAAAGTTGAAATAAAAAAAACAAAATCATAAAAAAAAACAAAAAAAACAAATGTGATGCAACAAACATGGTAAAATTCATCTGCATTACAAAACTGTCACACTTACCCAGGGAGGTCAAAGAGGCCAAAGCCGAGGAATTGGCAAGTTGCTTTGCAGGAGCTTGGATATAATTACATAGAGTGACATTAGTGTGGAAAACAACATGACATAACAAGACACTGACTGCATGGAGCCACAGTGTGGGGGGTCACCATTGGCTCCATCACTCTGAAAGAAAGCTAAGAATTGTAAGTTGCGCTGTGGACAAAAATACCTCCCCAGTCACCTTCTAACATTGTACAGAAAAACTGTTTATGATACTTGAGTTGAGTTCTGAAAAATGAGCAACTTGTTTCCTCATTTGGCATTTAACACTGCCTAAACAGGATTAAAATACTTACCATTCTATTAAACAGTGCAGGCATAAATTATAGAAGCGAAAAAAAAAAAAAAAACACATCAAAGGAATAAAATAAACCTCATTTCAAAAGTACAATTAGCTTGCTGGGGAGAAAACCAAATTTCCCAAAATTTCAGCATAGAAAGCATTTAAGATGTTTTCAATATCAAACTATTCCAAATAATCTTTATCAGTTATTGGGAAAACTTATTAAATTTGAGCTAAAACTTTTCTATCCAGATCTGTGATGACCACTACCTTTCATTGCTTTTTTTCTAGCCCTCTGATACACTGATGTTGCTACTGCTCTGATTTCTTCATTGGTAACTTCCAGTAATGTTTCTGTCAACATTCTCTTCACTTTAAGCATCTGGAAAAGAAAGATTTTATACTGTCAGACACATTGAGCAAAGGTTCTTTTACACATACAGTCATTTAAAGACAGAGTGATGGGTTAATGTGGAACACAGACATACCAATGCCATTTCCTTTTCTTCCTCACTCATAAAACTGCTAGGTGATGGTGAACGCTTCTCTACTGGTGATTTTGATGGTGTGTCAACCTCTTTTAATTTAGGTTGTGGAATTAATATTGCTTTCTCTTCCTTTTCTTCATTCATTTCTTCTATTTTACTTGCATTTTCTTCTTCTTCATCATCAGAATCCTGAAATATAAATGAATAAGAAGGTATATAAACGAAACCAAAACCTCCAACCTTTCAATTACTAAAAGATAACCCATGATAAAAACTGTCAACAAGTTCAGAGAACTGACCTACAATACAGAACTAAGATAACAGACTAAATGTCTTGGGCTGTTTAATGTGTAGTTTTCAGTACTGTATAATTGTTTTATGATGACATAACCAGTATTTATTGTTTTACCCTGTCCCTCCTCAATATTACAATCAAGAAAACACTTTTTTTCTCTTATGATCATTTAATTCAAGTGTATAATATATCTATACGTATCAATTTATCTATCAAACTTACAAATTTGCTTTTCATTGGGTTGACGTCATCCCCTGAGTTTTTCTTTATTAAATCCCTATTCTCATTTTCTTTTAACATTGCATCTCTTTGTTGCTTTGATTGCTCTTTTTCCATTTGTTTTTGTTTTTCTCTTTCCATTTTCTCCAGCCCTTCTCTGATCCATGCAGGAAGAGCTCTCCTCTTAGCTGCATCTTAAAAGAAAAAATAACAAGTTCAATTGTATAAATCCTAGACATTTCATTAACCATAACACTATCTGTGGTGTTATCAGATGCATGTCTGAAAAGAATATAATGTAAGAGCAGACCCGCGGCATATCATACGCCGCTATTTAGTTGTTTTATTTTCTACTTTTCAGTAATTCATAATTTGTGAATTCGACAGTACCAATGATGCCACTGAAAATATTTGCTTTAAAACACTATCAGTAGGTCGTTAAGGACGATACTACCCCCACCCTCCTTTCCCCCAACCCCTACCCTACACCCCCCCGTGGAAGCAGCCTCCTCTTAGTTACCTCCCCTAAGTTTAAAATCGTTTCAAACTAAATTATCTGCCCCTAATAGCGTGAACCACAGCTGACCAGACCATGTAGGGGTGGGGTGGTAGAGAGCGCGATTACAGCTTGTTTTCTAGCGTCTCCAAGAAGAGAATTATATATATATAGATTACTGTAGGAAAAGTTCCCTTTCAGACACGAAGATCTATGAGGCTAATAAAGAGCCCATCTGTTTTTTTTTGTCTCTGAATATGAAGGGATAGTGTGGTCATCTCTATGCCCAACTGCATTTATTTTCAAAGATTGATGGACTATGGCATGCCTATGGATTTCAAGCCTAGATGAATTACTGTATTGAAAACAGTGTGCTCAAGTGCACCTACCAATACTGCCATCCTCTTCTTCAGAGACTGGATCTGTTTGTAAATGGTTGTGTCGACCAGGCCGATGATTTGCATGGTGTGAATGATGGTGAGCTACTCGGATAGGGGGATCTGGGAGGATTGCAGGTTGTGATGAGTCACTGTCTCCGGTTTGCTCATCCCAGTATTGCATAAAGTTGGCATCTTTGCCAGTCACCTCCTACAAAATACACATATATATGCAGTGACCTTCTATACAAAACCAATACATTTGTTAGTAACATCCAGTAAAAATCTTTGTTAATAACTTGCCATACAAAAAAATATGATAAAACATTGTTATTTAAATTTTTTAAAATTATAAATTAATCTAATTTTATAACTTGCATATTCTACACAGCTATGAGATGCCAGTCCCAAGTTGTTCTATTATGATAAAAAAATCCATTGGTAATTACCTGTCCCAATATGGCCCCAGCGAAAAAAGGAGGAAGTCCTTGTGCAGACATTACCTGATTAAAAAACATTGGACCACCAGGTGGAAATCCAGTCATATCACCACTAAATCCATCCTAATTAAAAGATATAGGTGAACATATTTCATGGTTAAAATTTCCACACTTAGTCATTCACATCATCAATATAAGAAGAGTATTTTTATTCTATTTGGGAAAGTAGTGTGTTTTATCTCTTGAGGTTGATGTTTTAGAATATTTAAATAAAGCATAAATAGTAAGCACAGTTTATTCATTCTATTTGGAAAAGTAACGTGTTTGATCTCTTATTGAGGCTGATGTCTTAAAATATTTAAATAAAGCATGAATTTTTGGGTACAGCATATACATTCAATTAGGAAAAGTAGTGCGTTTTATCTCTTATGGAAGTTGATACCAAAGAAAGTTTTTAAAAAAGCATGAATGTTGGGATACCTTGTTGGACACTACCTGTGATCCCATCCACATTTCCCCAGCAGGGCCTGGAGGCCACCATGATGGCTGCTGCTGTGGCACCCAGTTAGGCTGGCTAGGAAACTGTGCAGGAACTGATCCAGTACCAGCTGCAGTAGCTTTCAGTCACAAAATTTAAACATTGTAAAGTTGAGGTTTTATGTTCAAACAGTCAATAACTGTAAATAATAAGTAGGCTTACCAGCGGCGCCATCTTCTCCATCTGAAGCTATGTCCATGCTATTTTCATCTTGGTCATTCTTTGGTTTGTGTACAGTAACTTGTTCATCCTCTGGTGGTGGAGGTGGGGGTGGCGGCGGAGCAGCAACTTGGGCATCTAGAGGTGGCATGGCTGCGTCTGGACCTCCCATCATCATCATCATTGGGGGTGGAGGACCAACTGTTTCTCTCTGAGTTATCCATTGTTTTGCTAAGGCAGCCCAGTCCACTAAATAGCAGTTTGCACATTAGATTATTGATAATAAATCTTTCATTTTCAAAAGAGAAACAACTGGGAGGTTTTTTGTAAACCTATGTTAAACAGTTACAAAGGAATTATAAATTATAAATTTTAATTAGGTCTATTCTTTCCTAAAAAGAAAATTTAAAACCATATGGCAAAGATTATTTTTATATTTTTAAAAAACCATTTTAAATTTATTATATGGAGCTAGCCACCAGAACACTTCCAAAAATTAGACTAGACTACAGAAATATGTAAAAAAAAAGATAACACCATTTTCCATTACAAGTTCAGAAAGCAATTTACCTTGCTCGTGTGGTATATTCTGATAGTCTGCTTGTTGCATAGACCATGTTGTGCCATACGGATTAGCCCACATTTTCAATGTTTGGACGGCATCAAATTCTAATGAAAATATATAAATAGAAGTTAAAGTATTATTAAGTTTGGTATTTTGATTGAATCAAAGTCAAGTAAAATGTCTAGTGATGTTAATAATATTTAGACAATAGGCCCACGCCCCTATATTATAATAATTATTTTCTATAGGCCCTACAACCGTTAATAAAAAGTCAAATTTAATTTTAGTAGGCCCTTTACTCCTATGCTATAGTAGTGGCCTATAGGGATGATTGAAGATACCAATGTCTAAAAATAGACTCTTCCAAAAAATTGGTGTGTTAGGTTGTTAGTGGTATTGTAATTGTAATCTTGACTAGTTTTATTATTAGAAATTGAAATTAGGGTAAGCATATGGTAGGACTAGGGCTGGGTCAGGAATTGGGTTAGCATTGTAACTGACATTACGTCACATAAGAAAGCCATATGTTAATAATTGTTATATGACGGGATATGTGTATTTTAGATAATTACAAGTATCTATGTCAAGTAACCTAACACACACCTTTTTAAAGAAGATTCTATTTATTATCGGACACTGGTGTCAGTAGTGTCCTAGGCCTATAGATCTAGAGACCTACTGCTAGAAAGTAGAAAGATCTAGATTTAGTCTAGATCTAGTTAAGTCTAGTGATGTAGATCTAGCTCTCTAGAATTTTGGAGTGTTGATTGAAAATTTGAAATTCAGACAATTCAGACAAATAAACTGACAATCATGAATCATCCAACCAATTCCAATGATAGCACCTGAGGCCTGAGACTAATAAATAGGCCTACTTAATATATTATTTATATTGCTTATTAATATTTATATTACTATTACTAGAATAGAACTAGATCTTGTATTTGCCTACATTTTTTAACTTCCATACATTACATAATCATTACAACAATCAAGCAACATTGTAGATTCTAGAATCTAGATCTAGATCTAGATGGACATTCAGTGACAAAAGTATAAGTAAAGACAAGTTTTAAAAAGGTTGGCCAAAATCCAGACTCGAGTGAACCAAAAAAATATTAAAGAAAAAATTACTCTTTCATACATACGCGATTCGTAGTCTTCTAAAAGGATTTTAGTTTTAAATACAAGAGTATCTAGATTCTAGATCTAGTAAGTATCTACTATTTTTATTGCATTAAGAATAGATACAGTTATTGTGCTTGCTAATAATGCCAGTCTGTAGACTCAAGTCCGATTACTAAAAGCGGCCATGTAAATATTCCCAGACTACCGATGTGGTTTCCTGTTGATTACAAAACATTCGCTTTTTTCTGTTAAATCAATCGCTAGAGAATCTCTCTCTAGATTCTAGAGATTGAGACAAACATTATTATTAGAGACAAGTGTGAATTTAGGCTTACTGTAAATTGACTGAATTATTTTTCTGTTAAAAGAAAGTTATTTAAAAATGAGCTTTCAGCGAATTTGCCAGCAACGTTTGTTTCTTCCGGTAAGGTGCTTGATAAATGCAAGTCAACAGCAAGCAGGGTGCAAGTCGACTGAAACTGAAAGATGGATTCATAACCAGAATGACCCCCAAACATTCTCTGTGTTTTGGAACCTTTTTGGAAACTACCACAGCTTTAGACGATTTCACATACTCAAACCTAGAACAGAGAATACTCAACATACTAAAAGAAAATGTCCCTATTGCTTTAAATTACAGAGGTTTACTGGTAGCACATCAACTTCATCAAGAGGAGACAAGTACTAAACTTTTTTTAACTTCTCTAAATTTAACTTAAAACTAATTAATTAAAAACAAACCGCAGAACCCTAACCCAAGCCCTAACCCTAGCGCAGCTATTACAGTCACTGCCTATTTTCTGCCGGAAAATCTTTTTCCGAGTAGTCTGAAACTTAATAGACATCTTCGAGAATAGGTGTGTTAGTTTGTTGGTACTACTTGGTATTATTATTAGCCCCAATATTCTTATTATAATTTTTATTTCACTCACAGGTTTATCTTTATATATTATATATTCTATAAAAACATTATATAGGCTACATCTATATAGTATATAGATCTATAAGTGTTATGGTAAAAATATGTTTAGGCTATTTTTTTATGTTTAGGCTATTTTTTTTATGTTTAGGCTATTTTATATGTTTAGGCACTTGAAATTTGCATATATATATATATATATATATATATATATATATATATATATATATATATATATATATATATATATATATATATATATATATATATATATATATATATATATATATACATATATATATATATATATATATATATATATATATATATATATATATATATATATATATATATATATATATATATATATATATATATATATATATATATATATATATATATATATATATATATATATATATATATATATATATATATATTTATATATAAAATTCCGTTGGTGGGGGGAGGGGGGGCTTTGCCATACCAAAGAGATGCCTGGAAGAAATTCTGGCCCCCGAACGTATATTTGATAGTTAATCCGGCCCTCGGGCTGAAAAGTTTTGAGACCCCTGGCCTAGACCATCGTCTTGCCTTTTATATAAGATTTTTCCAATTCTCTCTCCTGCCACAAACCACAACCCAATTCATCATCTTTTTCTGGTCATGCCCAAGACATGGGCAGATTAAGTATTCATCTGTTTCAATTACCCCTCTCAGCAACTTGGGGGGGGGGGGGGGAATGATAATGTGATCAACACTATGCCCATGATCAAATTGGTTCCTACAAAAACAGGTTTTCAAAGTAAATAATTGGGATTGCAGAACTTTCTTGTTGCATCTTTACTTGTAAGCCCCCTATTCATCCAGCCATTCTAAATCACAAAATATGAATAATAAAGTCAAAAGCAGTGGTGTATATTGTATATCACTACCCCCATATATAACAATATAACAAATGATAAACCACCACTGCATTATGTTATTTAACATTAATATGTGCAATATCCCTAAGAACAGAATGAATTATATGCATTAGGCATAATTAGTCGGATGTATTGAAGTTTGTCAGTGTCTCTCCCAATGTGAAACCTGCTTAAGCCTTGATGTTTCCTTCTCATTTTCCTTCCAATGCTAAGAAATAAATCAATTAAAATCTACTCTATGGCTATGATCATAAGATATTAATAGACAATCTAAACTATAAAAATGTTTTTATTTTCCCATTAGTATTGGGAATTGAGGTGAAATAAGAATTTTAACTTCCTTTTTACAAAAAAATTGCTCGTATAAATCAATATATTTCTATGTCTAAATATTTTAGTATTACAGAAGAGAAATCATCTCAACGCCCTAAATCTAATTCAACAATTGACGCAGATGAAGTGAGTAAATTCTCAGCTCTGTCAGCATTGTGGTGGGATGAAGGTGGAGAATTCGAAGCTCTGCACTCACTAAATGATTTGAGAATCCCCCTAATCAGAGATGCACTTGTCTCAAAGAAAAAACTAGATCAGTATGATGTATCTAAGCCGCTGGAGGGCTTTCAGATCCTTGATGTAGGCAGTGGAGGTGGATTGTTGTCTGAGGTAATATTATTTACGCTTCACTGTGTAATTTTGTTGTTGTAGTAAATTTAGTTTTGGCATAAAAAGGGAATAGTTTCTTAGGTAGTCCCACTATAACACAATTAGAACCTCAGTGAAGTCACTGTGCTTTCTTTGATTAAAATATTGTGTTGTCGTTGCTATTGTTAATTTAATTTTTGCAGTGCAGTGGGTTTGTTGTATTAAGTACTATGATTTCCCAAAGTGTAATTTGATAATTAAACACTGAAATTTATGAGTAATAAGTATTTTATACCTAATGGTTCATAGGACAGATACATAGATTTAATCTCTATCTCCTGTGTCCTCTGACATGAAGTGATAGTTTACTCTTGATGATTGTGTTTTTAAAAATTGATTGTAGCATAGCACTTGGCCTTGTCATAGCTATTAATGTTAAGTATTGAGTGTGAAATCAAATAGTTTAATAACTACTGAAGGTAATACAATGCAGTGTAACTGTAAAGAATACATGTTTATATATATCTTTTAACAGCCTTTAGCCAGATTAGGAGCAACAGTAACAGGACTAGAAGCTTCAGATGAAAACATTAAAATAGCCCAAGCCCATTTGATACATGATCCCCAAATTAAAGACAAAATTAGCTATTACCAGTCAACAGTTGAAGATTTTGTTCTGGCCCATGAAGCCAAATTTGATGCAGTTGTAGCTTCAGAAGTATTAGAGCATGTTGCAGATGCACCAACATTTGTTTCTGCTGCTTGCAAGCTTGTGAAGGTAAAATCCATTCTTATATGGCTATGACCTTTCATTGTTTTAGTTTTTTTTATTAAATTATTAGATTAGGGGACAAAAACTTCTTATTTTTACTTAAACTTCTTGGTGGTTTTGGTAAAAGATTTACAGTAAAATATACAATGAGCTACACTAAATGTTACAATTATTTCTAAACAATATTGAAATAGCCGTAGAAACTTCCTAAAAATATTAGCTTTACATTTAACCTTTTTTTCTGATGAATAAGCTGACGATCTAATAAGTTTAACTTCTGTATTTCCTTTAACAAGCATCATAGTGGTCCTGACCCTTATATTCAAGAGTTAGTAGTAAGTTTATGTATTTTATATTTGAATAAAAATGTTTTACAAAAGTTACCCGGTGTTTTAATGTTTTTTTAGCCTGGTGGGTCCATATTTTTTACAACACTAAACAAAACTCAGCTGGCTTATGCTTTCGGGATAGTAGTAGCAGAAAATATTCTTCGGCTAGTACCACCAGGAACTCATGACTGGGAAAAATTTGTTCCACCTTCTGACCTACAAAATATGCTGGAGAAAAGTGAGTTGCTAAGGTTGTATTATTGTCTTAGACAACATTGAACCCCTAACTACAGTACAGGTTTCCATGGTGTTTTAGCATTCCATGCAAAGAATTCTGTTTTTGCGTTTAGTTAAAATAAAAAGAAATAATTATAACATACTTGACTTTTTAAAAATGTGTAAAAGTTAAAGTTTAATATATTTTTCAGGACTTGTCATTTTGTTGAATTAAACATTTTACTTATTCATTAATATAGTTTAAAAACTGTATAGCACTTAAAAAATAAGATATAGTTTATATAATTATTTACAAGTGTTACTAACATTAATTATTGTCTTTTTATGAAAAGTTTTACCATTCCTGAAGTCCAAAGTTTTTAGTTTTAAAAACAAAATAATTCTCATATTTTATTTACTTCTAGATAATTTCTCTGTGAGACTGGTTCATGGGATGTGGTATAACCCATTAGGCAAGCGTTGGTCTTGGGGAAAGGACACCAGCATTAATTATGCCATTCATGCAGTGAGATTATCCAGTGGGGATGAAGGTGACACAAAATAGAATGTTCGTCTTGAGATGATTTAACTCATTACTCTCACATAAATAAAGATGACATCTAGAAGCATTGTTTGTTCAGTTTTATCAAAATTTTATATTCTGTTTTCTCTATGTAAAACAACCCTTTAAAAGTGGTGGTCATTTGGGCAGAAGGGGGTTAAATTCTCTAAAATATCAGTGGTTTACAGCTTTTGATGAGCTTGTTATTTTTTAAGCTTTTAGTTGTTTTAGAATCACAATTTTAATATATTCTCAAAATGAAACAATGGAATATATCTAAATTAAAAGTAAATAGGCCTATAAATAGAGATATATATTGAATATTGTTATTTTGTTTTGTTTCATTTAATTAAAAAAATGTAACCCATCTTGCTCACTTTTCTTAAACTTCATTGATCAGATTATGTTGGATCATGATAGTAGATAATGTCTAAACTACCATTAAAACAACTAAATAAATATAAAAACATTTGGCACTAAAACTAAATGTAATTTTTTTATTTGAAATCTAAACATTTATACATGTTGCTTTAAAAAAATATGTCTAATAATGTTGATAAAAAGATATTGAATCAAAAAAGTAAAATCTTGTTTAAATCAAGGTAGTTCCTAAATTGCTTAGTAACTATCAATCATGACAGTAGAAAAATGTCTAAACTACCATTACAAATAAATAAAAAACATTTGGCACCAAAAGGAATGTCATTGTCAATAATTTTTAATAATAAACATAAAATTCTTTTTTTTTTTAAAGCTGCACAGTGCAATTATCTTTACTAATGAAAAGTTAAGAAATAAAGAAAAAATATTTACTAATTTTAGGTACTCTGGTATCATGACAGTACAAAAATTATCCAATCCACCGTTACTAATAAATTGATATAAATTGATATATGGCACTAGAATGTCACCTTCATTGAATTTTCCTAGTTTAAATTATTTTCGATCACTCCGCTAAACTAAAAAAAAAACCTGCGTTCAAAGCTAGGAAATAAAAACAAGTAAAAAATAATCTACTTAAATTAAGCAATGTAAAGGATATTGAACTATTTCAATACATTTTGTTCTTCTATATATATAAAAGTAGAGTAAATCTGTTGCTTCAAAAAATATGTGAATGAGAATGTGATATTCAAATAACATAAATAAATAAGACCATCACAAAACTGATGCAAAAACAATAAAAAATAAATTAGCCATTTGTAGTCCGCATGAGTGAATTAAATCATTAACAATTCACACTTGTAAATGCATGTGTTAAATTCAGCCAACTTCATAAATGAGGATTAATAATGTTTGATTAAACAGCCACAAGTGAAAAAACATAAATATCTTAAATTAGATTTGTTTAGTTTTAAAAACTTGGATACTTTGTTTAATGATTTATTCATATATGACAGGAATAAAAATTCCTTTTATAAGTTCACTTACATATTTTAACATACTATGTGAAACTTTAAATGATGTTCAATGACAGAAATCTGTATTTATAAATAATTGTATGAACAAGTCATCTTTAAATGAGACAACCCACATTTGTAATTACTGATAAGAAAAACTGTAAAATGTGAGTAATTTTACCCAGGGCAATAAAATTAAATATAAAATAAACAAACAAAAAATGTATGAGACAGATATTAGCTTTACAATGTTTCAAAGCCTGTTAAAATTGGCTGAAAGACATGGTTTGTTTAGACAGATGTTTATGCCATTAATTTAACAAAATAACTTATTTTAACACCAGACTAGTTTACTGAAAAGGGTTTTTAATAAAATCTGACCAGACTTCTGTAAAGCATTCAATACCATAACAAACATAAGCATCTACAAACCAGGTTCATACATAGACCATTGATAGTACATTTCTCTTGTATTTTCTGGATTTTCTTGTATTGTATGGAATAAAAATGGTCAATTTTGTTATAGAAAGATTGATATCTCCTATAAATATAGCAGTATTTAAAATTGTATCTGATATTCCAAGAAATATTGACATATGAATTAAATTAATAAATTAATTATTTAGAAAGATGTTTAGTTATTATTTCATTACTTGTCCAACAGAATGAATTTAAGATTCAGCATTATTTCAAATATTTAACTGATCTATAATTATAAATGCTAATTCTAAAAATGTTGATTGTTAAATCATGTGGAGGGGAGTAGAATAAATATATATATATGTAAGGTAAATAAGAAAAAGATACATGTATGGAACAAAAGTGCGTTACTTGAGTAATAAAGCTATGGTTAAATGTTGAGTCATTTAGATTAAGGAAGCAATATTTAAAAAAAAACCGTTTGATTTTCTTGAGAAATAAATTTTGGTACATCTTTGTTAAAGATTAGAGATGAAATTTTGTATACGGCAATAGTCAGACTCCTGCTTGTTAATTAATTAAGAGAAAAAATAATATTCTGTCTTAGTTTATAGTTAATCTACACCTATTGCATAAAAACGTGTGGAAGTCCAAAACTATGATATTCTAGGCAAAATCACAAACTATATTTTGATCAGGTTTGGAAAATTATTATAATTAATATAATACACAAATTGCTAAAATTATATTGAAACTTTTGGACACTAAAATACTTCTAAAGTTAATGGCAATGGTTGAAACACACTTGGGTAATTAATAACTTAGATATTTTTGATTAATTGATATTGAAAGGAATTGGTTAAATTGTTACAATTACAATTAAGATTTATGCAAATGAATAAATACCTTATAAAGGCCAGCAACCATGTTTCTGAAATGATTGATTTGCATTTATTTCAAATTGTTAATCTCCTAAGTATTGTAAAGTACATGACTTGTATTAAACACATTTTATAGGATCAATGTCAACAAGTTATCGGATACCAGCAAAATGCATTATATGTTCTCTGTAATAGTCCTCTTGAAAGTTACTTTCTGATAACCAGGAGATTGTATAACAGTTTTTCTTTTAACTTGCATCAACACCTTAACCATGACGTCAAACTGAATCTGATAATGTGAAGCACTGTTGTGATCACATTGGAATAAAACAAAATATAGCTCTCAAGCCATTGAGTTAACATGTACCATAGAAATATTCTAAACATTTGAACACTAGAGTATATAGTTGATGAGTCTGTCATGAAAGACAATGTCATTTTCCTGATTGGATCTTAGTAAATTAGGTGAGTAAAAACAAACATCTGCTGAACAGGTAAATTGTTCATTGTAAATAAAATATTTTTATAATGTTTAAGTCTGAATAAGTTTGCGTATACACATTTTTTTCCTCGCTAATGTGTCTGGCCCATTAGAAAGGATAGGTGTTTCTGGCTGTTGCTGTGTGGACAAACTGAAAATGTTTGGATGATGACCTGAAACATTCACTTTATTCAACGATGAACCCCTACTGAGAAGTGCCGGCAAAGACTCTAAACTTGAATCTTTAAACTGACACAATGGCATGATTGTTTGTGTTACCCCGCCATCACCGAAAGCCCCTTCAACATCACCTTCTTTATTCTCTGGGTTTTTTGCAAGCATTATCTGCCTCATCAGTGATTCCTTATAACCGCTATCATTATTTGACCAAACATGTTCTCGGACAATATTTTGTAAACTTCTAATCCTCTCGTTTAATTGACTGTCCAGCTCAAGAATATCAGAGCAGATTTTTCCAACCAGCTGAACTGTTTTCGAGCTCTCTTCTTTCTTCTTCTCCTCAATTCTGATAATTTGATGACGATTGACAAAGCGTTCAGATAATTTAAAACTTTCAACCATCTCTTCATGTTGCACCTTAGCTGCTTTTTTTTCTTTATCAAATGTTCCATCTTTAACCTTACTATCTGAGGCTGATTTCTTCATATCTCTCAAAACAAGACGAACCTGGCCTTCAGATCTCTTTAAGGTGGTAATTTTAAGTTTCTCTGATCTCATTTTGTTATCATTAGCATCCACGCTCAGTAGTATATCACTTCTTTTCCTAGACAACTTCATTTTTGAGCTCACCTTTTTAGGTTTTCTAATCTTTGGCTTGTCAATGTTATTTAAAAAATTGACATAAATTTGTGGCGGGACTTGTTTAGGGTAGCTCTTGTCTAAACCATTGAGGACTGACATTTGTTTAAGTGTGTTTTTGTAAGCTGTCATATTGTGCATGAATGTCGGGAGACGAATGAAGTCTTTGCGAACAACTCTCTTTATTCTGTCCACTTCATCAATGCAGATTTTCCCAGACATCAACAGGTTAAAGTCTATTTTGTCAATGTTTCTAAGAATTGAAACTGCACCTGCAAAATAATTAAGCAAAACAATTGCATTAAAACATAATGAATTTTTAAATTTTATAATAGTTATAGTAAAACAAAATAATATTATATAAATACTTAAACCAGCATTTAAAAGAAAACAACCTTCAAAATAACATTGATCATTGGCTAAACCTCCCAGGTGATTTGGATCAGACAGGCCTCGCTTAACGCGCATGACTTGCTTCCATCTGTAATCAATATTTGATGTGTAACGACCAATGTGGTCAAACAGTTCTTTAAAGTTATACTCTGCTGATTTGCATACAGTATCTAAAGAAAAAAGAATGATTTTTTAAAAGTTATATTTATTTTATAAATCACTAAGGAAAAATAGATGATACATATATTTTGATGTGTTTTGTGAAGTTTATATATCAATTATTTTTATCTTTCTCATTGTAAATTAATAAAAAAACATTTTTTAAAATAATTAAACATAGACTTCTGTTTTTAAATACTGCTTAAGTATAAACACAGAATATTAGTATCATTCTTACAGTAAGTGAAAGCTGCTCCCCAAAGAAATTTAACTCTTCCTCGTAATGCTGTATTGACTGAAGCCAACCCTTCTTCTGTGCTCTGACTTTCAAAAGAACCCATGTTGCGTAATCCAAACTTAGATCGATCTGAAAACCAGGGCTGGAGCCCATCATTGAACATACGAAACTGCATTGAGTTAATTCTTTTAATAATCAATTTATGTGGATTTCCTGGAATGTTACTAATTTCTAATTTTAGAGACGAAATTTTCTTTTTCTTTATGTAGTTAGATATTGTTCAAAATACTGGATTTTTTTGGTTTATAAAATTACAATTTAAAAAATTAAGGACTAAAAAATAAGTATTTAAAAGGATACAAAATGAGTCCCAATTTCATGGTCCATTAAACAGCAAATTCCACTCTCTCTCATATAGTTATTTTCATCAGAAGAATTGATCCATAATGAATATTTTCTGCGTTCAGGTCTGTTTGCATTAACAACTGGACCACGCCATACCATTTTAGCACTGAAAATACATATTAAAAAAATGATTTCAATACAGAATCCAGTTGAATGATTATTCAAAAACATAAGAATAATTAGTTTCTAATGATTTCTTTTTAGTAGAATCTACATTTTGAGTATTGAAATTCTTTTAATAAATATTTATGGCATAATACCTGCAAGCTAAATTGTCACACCAATGAATTTTGAGAGATTCTGATAAGGCATTTTCTTCAATGTATTGTAACAAAAGTGGTGTTGCTTCCTCTGTATTTATACGAGGACCATAAGCATGTTCTAGATAATTCTCTCCATCTCCATACTGATTCCTAACATGCTCTAAAATATACTCTGCCTCAGACAATAAATCAAATCGAATTTTGTTTTTTGCCTTGTTTGCTAATTCAGTAAGCTGAAAAGCAATATTTAATCAATTTCAATAGATTGAATGAAAAGGTTTGTTTTAAAATTTCAAAACCATCCAATAATACAACCCTAATATTTCCTTTAATATGAGGTTAATATCACAAAAATATTATTAACCTAACTATTTTAAAAGAGTCCATTGTCAGATACTGGTAAGAAAAATATTTTGAAATGAAAAATGTTGTCACTAGTACAGTAAGAAGATTTATATTGAAACTATCTGATTTTTTGTAGCAAAAAGCAATCAAATGTTATTTATTTCACCTTAAAAAATAAGTGGGAGTGACAAACTATAATGATCAATATACATTTTAAGCAACATAAATGATATTATTTGAAACAAAATAAAAGCTCACTTTTGACGGATCCTGCACTTCAAAATTAGGAGATATTCCTGTTCTAATAAATTTAGCCTTCTCTTCAGCTAAATTGATAGGTACCGACAAAGGATGTGATGTTATAACTGTTTCCTCAACTTTAAAAGTCAGGCCTGTATATTTTGGCACATAAGGAAGAACTTTAGAAGATGCTTGGCCTTTTTTCTTTTTGGTCATCTTAGTAACTTTTCACTAGAATAAAATAAATTACGTCAGAATAAAATCAATTAGGCATGTGTGTGTTGCAGTAGAAAGTACATGTTTGCAAATCTTCAGAACATAAACTGAAACTTTAACACAAATCTGGTTTTGAGGTTGAGTCAAGCAAATAATTCCTCTTGACTTGGATAATTAAAAAAAGGCAGCAAGGAGAATAAATCACAAAACAGTATGTATGTGAGAGACCTACCCTCCAGATCTAGAATTGAGTTTTGCACTAATTGACTTAATCGTAGCTAGATCTACCTCTGCTGCAAGCTACTAAAAGTGACTTAAGTCTAAAGACTTATACTGATTATACTGTAGTAAATTTATTAATTTAGGCCCCTAGTAATAGTAATAAAATAAATAGTTATTCAATTATTCGGCAGTATAAATATAGATCTAGTATTAGATCTATATAAAAAAAAAGTAAAAGTAAAAGTTTCCCTTTCATACCTGACGTTCTATGGGGCAAGTGAAATAGAGTTCACTTGTTTCTGTGACCTCGACATATGAAGAGATAGTGTGGTCAGCACTATGCCCAGCCACCTTTACTCTCCCTAATGTGAGTTAGGTACCCATCAGAGTTGGGTGGACTCAGGGACAGTCTGCTGACTTGAACCCGTTTTCGAACTCGAGACTTACGGGTTAGTAGTCCAGCTCTCTACCGCTAGACCACTCTCTCCGTCCCTTAGATCTATATATAATAATATATATAGTATATAGTTCTAGTATAACTTATAAATATTCAGTACTATTCAGACAATCTGTCAATCTGAACTTCAACTTTTTATTTTAAACTTGTCTTAGCTCTTACTTTTATCTTAGTCTCTTATTAACTACTCTTAGTCTTAACTAAAGTATTAACACTAAAACGTAAAACAGACAACAGTAACACGATTATTTTATTTATTAAAGGATATTTTACCCATTAGATTCAGGTAGATTATAATTATATAGATCTATGGATTCTATGTAGACATAGATCTATATCTATATATATATATATAATAATCCATATATATTTAAAGGCCACTTGATCTGCTTCTCAAATTTGTTATTAAAAATCATTTACACCATGATTAATCATTCAAACTAACGGTTGCTAAGGTCATTAAAAATAATAATAGCTATTTATTTACAAAACAAACAACTGCAATAACAAAATTAAGAAGTGGATATCTAAATTACATTTTTTAAAATTCTAAAATAAGCATTATAGTGCATTATAATATTGTTAATCGAAAAAGTTACATTTTAATGTAGTGAAATTTTAAATTAAACTATTAATATTTGATACACAATCCGAGCACGGAGAGTTTTTTATGCTGACATCGACAAACTATAAAACAAGATTCGAGAAATCTAATGAAAAGAAAAAAAACAACCGAAAATGTATCTTATGTTTTTTGTGTTTCTCCTAGAACTAATATTTGCTTTTATGCCGTTATTCGTCGGGGAAATAACTAAACTGGTAAGTAGATCTAAATTCATCATCATCATTATCATTCCTTTGTGGTCTGTGCCCAGCTGCTTTCGCCTCCTCTTCAACCGTTCTTCTCCATGTCCATGTCTTCCTCGGCCGGCCCACCCTCCTTTTTCCTTGGGGATTCCAGTCTCTAAAGCAGGGGTCTCCAAACTACGGCCCGCGGGCCGGATGCGGCCCGCGAGGTCCTCTCATCCGGCCCGCTAAGATCTTTTTGTCTACGGAAAAAACTTTTGTTAGTGATGGCTGAAGAACTTTACACAGAAAAAATCAAAGACATGCCTGGAAGAAACTGGCCCCCGAACTGAAATTTGATAGTTAATGCGGCCCTCGGACTGAAAAGTTTGGAGACCCATGCTCAAAAGCATGCCTTGCGATGTTTTCTTTTTCCTTTCTTAATGTGTGTCCGATCCATCCCCATTTTCGGGCCTTGACATCTGTCTCTATTGGCTGTTGCTTTAAAGTTCCCCACAGGTCTTTGTTTGATATTTTGCCTGGCCATCTTATTTTAAGTATTTAGTATAAATCTATGTCGCAAGCATTTGTTTACAAATTCCTGTAGCTTATCAGTATTTGTCTTCATGACCCTCCAAGTCTCCGAGCCATAGAGCAGCACTGCCTTGACATTTGAGTTGAAAATCCCAATTTTGCTCCGGAGTGACAGGGCCGTGGACCTCCACATCGGGCGCAGTGAGTTGAAGGCACATCTAGCCTTGTTGATACATTGATACGACATTTTTTGTCCTTGTCTGCTCCCCCGTCCTTATTGATCACTCTTCCCAGATATGTGAATGTGTTTGTTTCACGTAAATCTTCTCCATTTAGCTGTATGGGCAGGTCCAGGCTGTTATTGATTCTGATGACCTCTGTTTTATTTTTATTTATTTTTAGTCCAACTTTGGAGGCTTCTTCAGATAGCCGATTTAGTTTGGCTTGCGTATGTTGATGCTTGTGAGATAGTAGGCAGATGTCATCGGCAAAATCAAGATCCTCCAGCCTTTTGGTGAAACTCCACTGGATTCCTGTGTTGTTTTTTGTGGTTTTCAGCATGATCCAGTCGATTACCATCAAGAATATCATTGGCGATAGCATACATCCCTGTCTGACTCCCGTCGTCACCGTGAATGGTTTTGTTAGTTTTCCCTTGTGTATTACCTGACAAGTGGAGTCTTCATATAGTTTCTGTGTGATAGATATAAATTTTTTGGGTATTCCATAGTGGCTCATTAACTTCCAGATAGCATCTCTATTCACATTGTCAAACGCCTTTTCAAAGTCGACAAAAGTCATGTATAAGGGGGATTGCCACTCAGGGGAGTGTTCGATAATGATGCAATGTGGTCAGTACATGACCTGTCGTGACAAAAACCAGCTTGTTCTTGTCTCAGCTTTTTGTCCAAGGCATCTCTAAGTCTCTCTAGGATGATTCTTGTCAGCACCTTACTTGGGACTGAAAGAAGCATTATCCCTCTCCAGTTGTTGCATTGTGTCAGGTCTCCCTTCTTTGGCAGTTTTATCAGGTATCCCAGTTTCCAGTCAGATGGGATTATCTCTTCTTCCCAAATCTGCTTAAGTAGAAGATCTAGATTAGTATGATACAATATCATACGACCTACTTTAATACCGAATTCGAGTAAATTGAGGGGTCTTGATAAAATGCGAGACGTGAAAGGGCGAGGCAGTAGAGTGTAGAGTAGGGCCGGTGGCGGTAGGGTGCCAACACGGCCTGACAGTGAAAGTGCCACTTGCCATTTTCGTGTTGCATTTTACCCCCACCCAATTGAGAGCTTGGGGGGTAAATTTCGCTGATATCTGCAAAACATTTACTGCATCCAAATTCCAACGTGCTGAAGATTTACATAAACCTTCATGGGTGTTGGTAAAATGCGAAATGTCGAGTCGGTTAATTACTAATAAAATAACTACTAGTAGAGTAGTAGAAGTACTATTTACTAGTAATAATGACGAGAAGGATGCGAAAACTTCTGGTCACATGACATTTTTGTCTCACATTTTACCTCAACCCGATACTTATGATGGGTAGGGGTAAAATGTGAAGATGTATGTGAAAATTGAAAATTATACTGCACCCGATTTACAATGAACTTTGATACAGACTTCATCAAAAATGTTTTGTTTGTATTGTTATAGCTTTTGATTTTTCCATCGCTAGAAGTGCTGATGATTTATCAACTTCCTTTTGTGTCAACTTTGAATACCATACGCCATGCGTCATATTGCTGAATGATAAACATTCAAATATTATTGTTACTTCCAAAATATTTGAGTTTTAAACTCATTTAATATTTATTTCAGCTATCACGGCTAATTTATAGTGTAACCAATGAAGAGATGAACACAAGAGCAGAAATAAAGGATTTAAAAGATAAACAAGCTGGTATTAGTGTTACTGATGACTTTGCCAGTTATGCAAGGATCCAAAGAAAGGTTGACAAACTTTTACTTGTGATTAAAGAAAAAGGTAATTGATTCAACATAAAAAGCAACTATATACTCAAAAAAATAATACTCTTAGGCTGCTGAGTAAATGTAAATATAGAGGCTTACATATTTCAATCCAAATTTATTAATCAGCATTATTGGAATAAAAGTTTTTTAAAATGTGGTATAAAAAAACATAAAAAAATGTTTTATACATTATACTGAAATAGTGTGCTCTATTTGACAGGAAATGAAAGGAAGCAGCAAATCACTTACTTACGAATGGGAATTACAATTGGTATTTACTGCTTACATGTGAGTGGAGATCTTTTTAATTTTGTCTTGCTGATCTGTGAACAGTTTTGATTACCCTAGCAAATAGGCCAACAAATCAAGTGGAATTAACCTGGTTAAATGAACTAGTTCTAACATGAGAAATCAGTTTAATCCTGTTAGTCTAAGACAGAATAATCATAACAACATAAGGGGTTAGTTTAAACTGTTAGTTAAGGAATAGAGTTAAACCACCATATAATTCTGTCTCTTTAAAGAAATGGAGCTTACACTACAGAACAAAATCACTCCAGGTCTATCAATATATGTATTGTTTAGACCAATTTTTTGTTTGTTTAATCCTAGGTTATCATACTGCTTACTTTTATGATCTTTCTTCGAAATGAACCTCTGATGTTGGTTGAATCATCTTGGTTTGCACCATTTGGAAAAATAGTTGCATTTCCAACAGGTATTCCTGGTAAGTATATTTAGCAATCTATCAATATAAAAAATAAATGTCTATTTATTTGTCTTTTTATGCATTACTATACCTTTCACCTGATTGCCTTGAAACTTTGAAAAGTTGACTTGTCAGGCTTCTACAATTGATGACTAAACCTAACTAGGCGTTGAGCCCCTGCAATAGTGTAACCAGTGGCTCCCAAGACATGGAAGGTGGTTGCCATAAACTCAATGCTTTCATACAGCATGCCTTAGGGTGGTAGTGTGGACAAAGCTGTGCCAGAAAAACTAATATCCAAGAAATATAGTGCTGGTCTTATTTATATTTAAATAATACATATTTAGAAAACAGTGTTACACTTCTATAAATACACAATTAGTAACATGTTGATGAAGCCCTTATAAAATGTTTCAACACTCTGGTAAAAAGAACTAAATCTTATGTACGCTAGTTTATCATATTTGGTAGTTCCAAGTATTAAATATAACTAGTTGAGTTTTAATTATCATCATATCAGTTATATTTATAATGTAAAAATATCTTGACAGGATCTGTAGGGCTTGGCTGCTGGATGCTAGTATCAAACACAGTTATTTCCAGGTTCAGGACGTTAATTGGCATCTGAACAAATTCTTAGGCAGACTCAACTTTTGGATGGAATGAACTTTGAATGTAGAGTAACATTCTCAATGTAATTTGTAAATATTTATTGCACTGATCTGCCACATTTCAGTTTTATGCTATGTGTGTGAAATTGTTTAAGGTTTATTTAGCATGACTGTCTTGTTATGTAAATATAAAATATGGTTTAAAAAATTAATTGCTGGTAATTTTAATCTCTGTAAGTATAAATATATGACTATTTCAAGACTATTGTTCAGTTTTAATAAAATCATTGAAATACTGTCATTGTTTTATTTGCTGTAATAGCTGAAATGGCTCGTGTTGAAATGCCCTGATAAATACAGCACTAACTAAAACAAAGATGCTTAAAACAATAAAAGCAAGCTAATTAGTGTAATAATTTATTTTCATGTGAATATGTGACATTTGAACATTTATTTTACTGCCTGAAGTAGTGAAAACCAGCTGTATTATTACTAGTTTAGATTGACTAAAGACAACTGCTAATTACAAATCAATGAGAGAATAATATGCCCTAACAAAACAAATTCATTATTAATAACAGGAAAAAAACAGCATGGTTAAAAAAATTCCACTTTACCTTAAGGTCAAAAATGTATGAAATTTTTGTTGAAACACCCCCCCCCCCCCCATATTTGTGTGTATTTATTTATTGTAATCAGTTTAAATAAAAAATAAATTAACTTAATTGCATTACAAAGCTAAACAATGTCAAAACATTTCTTGTGAAATAAAGAGGCATTTATAAAATAAAATTGTATGAAATTAAAGTCATATTGGATGTATTAAAATGTATATGACTTTAGAATATAATATATAATTTAACACAGTCAGTAGCTATCCTGACTTATCTCAATAGCTACCCTGACATTTTAAAAAGTAAACTATTCATTTTAAAATCAAGTAAAACAATGTTATGATTCAGTGACATTTAAAAAAAAACTGGACAGTAACAGAACCTTTAGATTAAAAAATATGGAATAGGTTTGATCACAGATTGTCTGTTTTGAATACCACATGAAGACATTCTTTATTATTAATAAATATTAGGCAAACATTTGGAATCTTGTATTACAATTTAAAATAAAGTATATATCTATGGACAATTATCACACAGTTTTTGGTATTGCTAAGTGAATATAAAATACTCATTATAAAACCACTTCTTCAATTTCATCGTCAAAGTTGCTGACGGCTGTCACTGAAGGCTTTGAGGAAAAAGTGTTTACATTCTGTTGTCGTTGTCTTTTCGGCAAAACTTTGTTGGTAGATGCAACGTCATCATCCACTATTGCTGCCCCTCCACCATATAGGGCAGTTTTCTTCTCAGATTCAAAAACAGATTTGTTGCTTTTGCTATTTTTTGGTGGTGCATCCCAGGGGAATGTGGTGTTGGAGCTAGTTTTTTCTACCTTATTGTTGGGAGAGTCACTCAGTAAAAATGGGTCATCTGTGTGCTTGGATGTTTTTGTGGCCGTGGCCTGAGGACCAAATAAGTTTTCAAGAAGGTTGGTTGATTTTTTATCAGCTTTTGTCGTGGAGTTGGAAGTGGAAACTGGTTTAAAAGGTGAGTCGTCGTCATCAAAAAGAGATGGCTGCTTCGTTTTTGTGTTGCCACCAATTTTAGGTGGACCAAATGATGGCTGGTAACCTGCGCTGTCATTTGAAGGCCGTCGCTTCTGGTGTTGTAAATAAGGCACTGAGACATCCTCGTGGGCAGGTTTGCCTTTGTGTAGATTGTTGATGGGTTTGGTGAAAGAATACTCTTTCGGATCCCCCCGCTTAGTGGGGCTGCTCAAACCACTTCCATTTTGGAAGTTATCCTTGGGTTTCATAACAGGAGAGGCAGGCGTGAAAGGGTCATTGCTCTGTTCGTTCATAGAATTCAATTTCCTAAGCAGCTCATCCTTTTTTCTTCTTTCCTCTATCAACATTGGATCGTTTTCCAGCCTTTCTTTCTCCATTTGCAGTTTCCTCTCTTGTTCAGCTTTCTCTGCCTCCCTCTTTTCTTTTTCCAGTCTCTGCCTTTCCTGCTCCTCTTTAGCCAACCTAGATTTTTCCTCTTGTTTACGTCTTTCTTTTTCTTCTTTGTCTTTCCTTTCATTCTCCTCACGTTCTTTTCTCTCTTTTTCCTCTTTCTTCTTGTTGTTTTCATGCAATTGTCTTTTTTCTAATTCCTGTAAAAAAATGTATGTAAGTTTTAAAATTTATTTCCACAAAAAAAAAAAAATCCATTAAAAATTATTAACCATGCGCCTTATGATAATGTTGTTTATAATAAAGTTGCAAAGCCAAATAAAACTTAAATTTGATTGGATAATTATCAAACAAATTAGCTAAATAATTAAAGATGTACTTTTTATAAATTTTTTGTTTCATGTAGCGGTAGTAATTTTTAATCCTACCTTTTTCTTTCTCTCTAATTCCTCCTTCTCCTGCTTCTCCCTATTCTCTCTATCTCGCCACTTCTTATCCTCTTCTTCTCTCCTTGACTTATCTTCCTCCACTTCTCTGTCAGGGTTGTAATAGGATTCTTCTGATGGAGAAGTTGCATCTTTCTCTTTCATTTCTTCTTCCCACTGTTTTCTTTTCTTTCTCTCTTGTTCAGCTTTCAACTAGTCAGTTTTAAACACAACAGATTTAACACCATCAAACACAAATTTCCATTTAAAAATAACACTAATTTCAAGAATTTTTAAGACATGCTTTCATGTTAGTTTTTACTTTTTCACAAGTGGTCAACAATTTAATGTTTATGTTCTGCATGTACCCAGAAAGTTACAAATAAACCAACCAATTTAAACATTGTTAAAGTACCTATTCCTGCTTTAAAAAGAACAACTTAAAGCAATAAACTAATTAAACACAAAATGTTACTCTTCTGTTTGGTAAACTACTTAAAGTTTTTTTAAAGATAAAAACAATAACCTAAGTATAATTAAAACCAGGCATCTCATAAATGCCATCCCCTTCCCTGATGAAAAATGCCTCAAAGAAACACTGATTAAAACTAGCTACCTCTTTTTGTTTCATCACCTCAGCCCGCCTCTTCTCTGCATAGAACTTGGCTTTATCTCGTGGGGTCAACTCAGTGAGGGAGGTGGCCTTTTTCTTTGGCTTTCTCGAGGGGGAATTATCTGGCGAGTTGTCCATTGAGGAGTGAGTTGGTCGATTGCTATAAATATTTTTCATTTCAAGAGCTCTTTCTTTATCCTAGAGAAAAAAAAGTTATTTTAATTTTAACCAAGACATTTAAAACACTCAGGGAAATCAGTAATTGAACTAGGTTAGATAAATAAAATGTCATATGTAAAAAAAAGTATATTCTGGTAGCATGATATAATAAACATACAAAGATTTGAAAAGCAATTCTTCTGGAAAATCATTCTAAATTAACAAAAAATTACCACTCGCAGATATAGTTATAAAAATGTATATCTGCCAAAATAATAAGTTTATATAGAATAATATCTACCGATGATGATGAGATTACACTGATGCATATCAATAACTATGCTGAGTAAATATATTTAGAAGTAAATCTACAGATAAAATCATATCATTAGAACAGTGTATCTAGTCATTTAAATTCAATCACCTTCAGCTGGTTTTCCAGTTGTAAATTTTTCTCTGAAAGCTCGTCCAACTGCTTTTTCATGTCTTTCTGTCTGGCCACCTCAATCCCCAGCTCATGTCTGTGGTTTTTCTTCAGGGCTTCCAGATGTCGAGTTAGTTCCTTAAAATTGCAAAAATTCAATACAACAAGTGCATCTTATGGACTATAGGCCTGATTCTTAGTATGGGAAAGGGGGTTATAAGTCTATTCTTTTTTTCTCCACAGTATGGCATGATCTAGATATCAAAAGATAATTTCTTTTATTTCTCCATATGAAATAATATTCATAAGAAAAAGGAAATTTTTTTTACAACAGTATGGGAAAAAAAGATAATGATGTAGACACTACAGTAAGGGATGATCTAGATATCAAAAGATAATTTCTTTTATTTTTCCGTATGGAATAATATACATAAGAAAAAGGAAATTATTTTTACAACAGTATGGGGAAAAAAGATAATGATGTAGACACTACAGTAAGGGATGATCTAGATATCAAAAGATTATTTCTTTTATTTCTCCGTTTGGAATAATATACATAGGGGAAAAAAAAAAGGAAATTTTTTTTTCACAACAGTATGGGGGAAAAAAGATAATGAACTAGACACTGCAGGATGTTAGGTAAATTATTTTAAGCTGACCTTGATCTTCATATCTTTCTCTTCCACGTCCAGCTCAGCTTTTGTAAGTTTGCGACTCAGCTCGTCGCGCTGCATCAGCTCCTTCTCCTCACACATCTCCTTGTATTTGTTCATCTTCTTCTTGACTCTCTCCAGCTCATCTTCAGCGTCACGCAGGTAGCGATCAGACTTATCAAACTTCTCCTTCAGCTTCCTATTTTGCTCTCGCAATGACCTATAGAAGCAAATATTCAAACACTGCAATGACCTATAGAAGCAAATATTCAAACACTGCAATGACCTATAGAAGCAAATATTCAAACACTGCAATGACCTATAGAAGCTAATATTCAAACACTGCAATGACCTATAGAAGCAAATATTCAAACTGTAAACACTGCAATGACCTATAGAATCAAATATTCAAACACTGCAATGACCTATAGAAGCAAATATTCAAACGCTATCTTATATGACAAACTATACACTGCTACTGTAGAACTAATTCATCCATCTTGATGTTAGGCTTTTTTGGAGATATAATATTTTGTTCTAAATCAGCCAAAGAACAAGGCACACAAAAAATGTAGTTTTATCTTCTACCGGGGATGGTGTGACCTGGTGGTAGAGAGCTAGGCTGCTAAACCGAGAATTTCGAGTTCAAATACTGGTTCAAGTTAGCAGAATGTCCCTGAGTCCACCCAGCTCTGATGGGTACCTAACTTGTTAGGGAAAGCAAAGGCGGCTAGGCATAGTGCTGACCCAACTATCCCTTCATATGCCGAGGTCCTTGAAACAGATGAACTATTTCATCTACCCCATGTGTTTTGCACAAGGACGTGAAAAGATGATGATATCTTCTTACCATTATTACCCACTGATTCTATTTAATTCTACTTAGTAAATAGTTCTCTAATAAGAAAAATAAAAAAATAACAAAGGGATGGAACAGACTTGTACTGGTGGAGCTACACAAAACAAATGTAAATCAGGAAACCAAATTTATAAATTGAGCAAAAATTTCGACAACTGAGAACAATTATTTCAAGTTAAACAGTTGATAGTCCAAATAGCTTGTCATTAAAAAAATGTTTCCCCATCATCAGCGCCGTTATGGCAAGTCATATAAAGTGGCCTTGAAACACAGGTGATGCAAAACAGGAAACTATGCTAACCTGTTAACATCAAAAGCATAAGCAACAAAAACATCAAAAATACAATAGTGTTACCTTATTTCATTGTTATGTTTTTCCAATATACTGGGCAGATCATTTTCTTTCTCTTCAATTTGTTTGATAGCTTTTTCCTGTCTAAATTGCATTCTTTTGTACAGTTTGTTCTCTTGCTCCAAGTCTCGAATTTGTATTTTCATTTCCTCAACCTACAGAAAAACACACATTAAATTCAAATTTATTCTGGATATTAAGTTAATGCAAGCTACATGGATTTATTTCATCATCTCAACCTACAGAAAAACTCATTAAACTACATAATATATTCTGAGGTTATACTTTAACACTAAAATGTTTTTAATCAAATTAATAAAAAAGATTAGCTTGCATTTAAGGTGCCTTAATTAATAAATATATCTTAATTTATCCTTAAGTTTCCAAAAGTAATAAGACCTTTATTTTATATTATTAAAATAAGTTTCATCTATTTTAACAACTCAAAGATTTGAGCAAAGTTTAATTGAAGTTCAGATTTAATGTACCTTGTTCCTGAGTTCGTTAATTTTATTGCGGCTGGCAGACAGCACTCTGGCTGTGACGGAGTCATGACCTTTCTTCATGTCAGCTGGCTCGCTGGATCGGCTGTTCCCCCGTCGTTTAGCTCCCCTTCCTCTCCCTCGTCCCCCACCATACACTTTCCCCTTGCCTCGAACTGTGAAATTTTTATTAAACATTTTGAGGGTGTGCAAAATATTCATATTTTCTTATTTGAAAAATCATCATTGTTCTTTTTGTTATAGAAATTTGAATAGACTTTTAAAACAAAATTAGAATCAATCTATGCGCAGTAACCTAATGCAATTGGAAATTTTAAAAAATGGGATTTAATCGAGAAGGAAAAAAAATTGATTATGTGGTACGGAAAATATGCCTTTGAGTAAATTTAGAATCTCTTAGCAACTGTGTGAAGCAAAAAGAAATCCATTTAGCAGTTATAATGAAATATTAGAATCCGTTAAAAAATAATTAATTAGCATGTTATAAATAGTAATGGTTATAACGAGCTGTTAAAAAACAATGCATCAATAACTGTCATTTAAAATAACAATCAGGTAAGATGGCAGTTTGGTGTAACGACAGGTATAATGACAGGTGTAAAAGTTAAAGCATCAATGTTAGTGTGCTGAGGTGTCACAACAGTGTTGATAGATGTAATGTTACATTATGTGATGTCATAACAGTGTTGATAGATGTAATGTTACATTATGTGATGTCACAACTGTGTTGATAGATGTAATGTTACATTATGTGATGTCACAACTGTGTTGATAGATGTAATGTTACATTATGTGATGTCACAACTGTGTTGATAAATGTAGTGTTACATTATGTGATGTCACAACTGTGTTGATAGATGTAATGTTACATTATGTGATGTCACAACTGTGTTGATAGATGTAATGTTACATTATGTGATGTCACAACTGTGTTGATAGATGTAATGTTACATTATGTGATGTCACAACAGTGTTGATAGATGTAATGTTACATTATGTGATGTCACAACTGTGTTGATAGATGTAATGTTACATCATGTGATGTCACAACTGTGTTGATAGATGTAGTGTTACATTATGTGGTGTCACAACTGTGTTGATAGATGTAATGTGACATTATCACATCCTGGTGTGTGATGTCAAGACATCATGACAGCCAGGTAGGATGTAATACTATTGTTGTTATTTGTCATGTCAGGTGTGAGTAACACAGTACAGATCTACGTTGATGTCACAAGATCACAGGTAAGTGTGGGTCACAACATCGCCTATAGTCAAGTGTGATTAGAGGTGAGTGGATGTCACCTACCTACTCACAGACGTTCTAGGTTCTACTAGCATCCAAGGTAACAAGTAAGAGGTCAGACTAGGTTAATTCACTTCTAACCTGAACTCTAAACCCATCCCCGTAGGTTTCAGTATTAACACATAACACCTAAGGATACAGCTTCGTTTAAAACATTTCATTTATCAACTTACTAAGTGTAAAAATCACCTCACAGTGGTTGTGGTTGAGGAAATTGTTTACGTTGATCTGCTATTTGTTAAGTGCAATGGGTGAATATATTCAGTTTTCAATCAGTCTTTAAAACAACGATCGTTTTGTACGACTATTTTAATTTTATTTTATACAGGGGAGGTAACTCTAGTCATTTAGTTTATTTTCTCAAAACTCCGACACAACGAGACACAGTCAGTAGTTAATTAATTCCAAGTGCGAACACACAGCTACCTCAACCAATGCGCATGAATATGTACGGTAACGTTGTGTGCATAACACATTTACTCCCCCTTTGTTTTTTTCTATCCCACGCGTGGCCGTATCACAATAGAACTGTTCAATCATTTAACAAAGGGAAGGAACTCACAACAGGCCAAGGTTATAGATAACTTCCCTTTTTATGGATACAATACATGCATGACTGCTCCCTGCTTAATAATTCATTACTGCTTAGTTACAGGGATCTAGCTACGACAAATACGTTTGTTTATGAACCTCGCGTGTTTTAAATTCACTCAACCGTATGGATGCCCATCCAATAAGCATGTTGGTTTAAACAAAACTCATACGGGATATCAAAAGTAAACGAAATTAAATCATCCAACCTTTTCCCGATCACCGTATAGGTTTTTTTCACTGTTACCAGTGTTATACCTTTATTCTTAACATTCTACAACAAACTTTGTGGGACGTAAGACGTAGTGTTAAAACTACCCATTGCCATTGCTGTAGTTTTAGATACAAGTGTGCCACATTGGCGCTATTACTGACCAATGAACAGTGTCGTAACACGTCTACCGTCTACACACGAAGGCGCATCGGCAGAAATAAATTTTAAAAAATTGTGTCATAACACATAGGCTGTGTGTTAGAAAAAAAACCCACCACACAATGTTGTTATTCTATGAGCACATTTTAGCGGTATAGCTACACACTTAGCAACTTGGCAGACTCGCGAATTTTTCCTCTCGCTGTAACCGTCCCACCAAACCCAACTGGGAGATGAATTCTGGGTAGCGTAGCAAAAATAAAAATCGGGGCGTGTCATGATTTCATTTTAACCTCACAATAAATAGGCATACATGCCACATAAGATTATAAATTAAAATGTTCTAATCGACACTTACAAAAAAGAATATCATCAATAACTGACAATACATGTTCAATTGTCGAGCCAGGTTGTGGGGCGATTGAAAATTTTTTGCCAGGAGATATCACGTGATTAGCCATTTACAAAAAAAATCTAACATCTACACAGTGGACAAAAATATAAATGTTTGTTTCAACCTCACCCCCCCCCCTCCACGGCACCCACAACCAACCTCTAGTCCACAAACTCAACCCCTTGGCCACAGCCCCCACCCACTCCTCTAGTCTCCAACACCTTGACCACAGTCACCACGCCCTACCTCCACAGTCCCCAAAACCAACCTTAACCACAGCCCCCACCCACCACCCCCTCCACAGCATCCAACAGCACCCCACTGCCACAACCTCCACAGCACCTCACTGCCACAACCTCCATACCACAATGTTACAAACCCAACCCCTTGACCACAGCCACAACAATCACCACCACAGACCCCCCCCCCCCCCCCCCCCCCCACCACCACTCAACACTTCACACCCCAATCTCTTGACCACAGCCCCCAACCCTTCTTGACCTAATTCCCAACAACCACCGCCACAGACCCCAGCCCCTTGACCCCAGCCCCCACCTCCACACTCCCCAACCATCAAGGCATACTAGAGGCTACATAGTAATCCTGGTCACAAGACATCAACAATACGCGGCGTGGCAACCATAATATTATAATAGTGGTTTCTGTTTCGTCATGGGGGGGGGGGGAAGGAAAGGGAGTGCTGTATACGTGATCGGAGGTGGGAGTGCCCCCCCCCCCCCCTGAAAGAGACACTGCCACAGGCACACCGTGTGGTCGTTCAAAAATAGCGTCACGCTATTTTTATCCAGTATCGTCACACATCGTTACGAAATCATAAATCTTCTCCATTTCCCTCACAGATGAGTGACGTCATTCACGGGCAACCCCCCCCCCCCGGTGCTACACTAGTAGAGAGGTAACCTTTCCAAAGCTTCCCTAGGGTTTTGTTTTTGTTTTTAATATTTGATCACGTGAAGAAGGGGTGTCACGTGACCACATCTTGAGCTATGGCAACGGTTGATGCCGATACTCCCCCGTTTATCTCTTCATTGTTCCCCTTTATCGATTTAACGGTTTGTCGTGAACGGCGTCGTTATTAGCTCAGATCGGATCGATGTATCCACAGGCTCTAACACAGTGATTTACAATACCTCGATGGTCAGCAAGACATAACAATAGGGGGAGGAGGAAGGAGATCCTATGTCATCCGCAGTGTTTCTTCCAGACTATTTTCTCCGGGGGGGGGGGGGGTGCAGTTCATATTTTCGGGGCGGGGGGGGGGGGGGGGAGGGGGGCGAACTACATTCCCCCAACCCTCCCCCCAGCCACACGTCATAAAATGAGACCCGCCTCCGAACAAACACAAAGACATCACAACCCCCTTAGTCCATCGCTACAATGTTTGTTCACTTGTATACATTGACAATGGCAGTTTCTTTCCCAGGTATCTCTTCGACCCCCCCCCCCCCCCCTCCCCACCTTGAGTACATCCACTGACGACCCCCCCCCCAACAAAATTGAAATATACAAATATTTTTATAGAAAAAATATATACTTTACCCAGTGTTCCCCCCTCCAAATCCACCCAGAAATTTTAAGCGGTCCCCCTCCCCCTCAAAAATGTGTGAAAGAAACCCTGTACATTGGGCACACAGAAAACTGAAATCATTGCCAGTACAAAATCAAGTAGGCAGAGGTCAAAGTTCACTAATTTGATAGTAAAATTTCTCTTGTTTGTACACAGCATATTAAATGAAAAGTTAATGACCAAAAAACATAAACACAGAATGAGGTCTGCAGTCAGCTTTAATAATTTGTTTTAAAACCTGGTGAAGGACTACTAGATCTACATTATATTTCTTACTCATTACAAAAAATTAGTTCCCTTCTCCTATACTCCAGTAACGGCCCTTTGACTATATGCTATTGATTAATTAGCCTAAAAATATATTTACATGATATGGGCAGGTTGTTTTTACAGGGGAGTAACTCTATCTGTCACAGTTGGATAATAATTATAGACAATTAAAGGAACAACATGGTTAATAATACCTGATCATCTATTCTAATTAGGCTGTTGATTTAGCATTTTTAATATAATTAATTTCTAACTGAATTTTGTCAATCAAGGTGAGGGTGTCAACTGTGCCCAGAGCCGGCGTTAGGGGGTGGCGAACGGGGCGGTCGCCATAGGCCCCGCGCTTGAAGGGGCCCCGCGCTTCAGCAATGTCATTGTTATCTGAATTAGTTTGTAAACTTAAAAAAATTGTTGCTGAATTCAATTGGGAAAAACTAAATGGTCGAATGCCGACGTTGTTGATTGTTATAACTGAGGCCACGGTTGATGTTGGTGAGTTATCACCCACCTGAACTGGGACAGGCCGTAATTCGATACAAAAATAGTGTCACACCTCCCCTTTGTGTAGGGTACGGTCGCCTGGCATTTGACCTGAGCTGACTGGAGATGGCGGTCGAGAATTAGCCCACGACGTAAAGAGATACCCTATTGTATGCGGACCCATGAAGACGTCCTTTTAGTGAGCAGACGGGATGTCTGCAGTAGACAGTTAGTGACCTGATGAACTCTAGTCCTGATTTTCTTGTTGTAGATGTCATATAATGTCGTATATGTACAGTGTTTCATCCAGATTTTTTCCCCCGGGGGGGGGGGGGGGGGGGGGGGGGAAAGGGGCACTTGAAATTTTCGGGGGTGGGGGGTAGATTTTCTTCGGGGGGGGGGGGGGGGGGGCGGACACTGTTAAAAGTATATATTTTCTATATAAATTATATAAATTTCATTTCGTTTTCGAGGGGGGGGGGGTCCCCCCCGACGAGATGCCTGGAAGAAACTCTATATGTAGACCGGTATAACAAAATTAACATTCACTTGCGTGCAGAGGGGTGGGAGGAGGGCGACGAGGGGGGGCGCCTTAGGATCTATATCAGGCGGCATTAAACAGAGTGATTTATTATTTTTTGGAAGAAAGTTAAAACTGTTGTTATGTTGTGTCACCATAAGGATTCACCCGTTCAATAATTAAGACAATACAATTTTTGGTTTTAAAATATTGTATGAATTCTAAACAAATTTTGAAGTCTATACTGTTTTGATACATCAGACCGAGTTCGCTGTATTGTAAACTTTATTTTCCTAATTATTCGGCACGTGATTAAATTTTCTTAAGTGATTTGGTATGAATTACATAACTGTCAAAAGTGATTTAATATCTTAGCAAAGGAAAAAAAAAAAAACTACGAACATTGGGTTAATACATGGGAGAGATAAAAATCTGTTATTATAGTGGAAAGTTTGACATTAGCTTATAAACTCCAAAACATTTGTGTTATTATGTGTACATCACATTATATAGGCCCTTATACACACATATATATATATATATATATATATATATATATATATATATATAATGGAAAGGCCCCGCGCGGATGGTTGGCCCTAGGCCCCGCGTATTCCTAACGCCGGCTCTGACTGTGCCCCCATGTAATGTGGGAGGTTAGGTTGGATATGTGTAAGAGAGAGAGAGAGAATGTGTAGGGCATGTTCAAGAACAGTCAGCTGAATTTCAATCTTCAGTGTTACATAAGAAACTTGTTCAAGATCCAAGCAAAATTTGATAACAGGGAAATAAATCAGAAAAAAAAACAAACCATGAAAGTTAATACAAAATCCTTCAACTTTACCAGTGACAGCATTTTTCATTGGACACAAAGTATCAGTAGTCTGGGCGTTGAGGCTTGTAAGAATATTTGGCATGGCTAGAGTGTTACTATTGTTCCTCTCTTCCTGTGCCTCGCCATCTTTTGAATCAAACAAATCCTCTGTTCCAGACTTCTCCATACCAATTTCCTACCACATCAATTTCTCACCACTGTGTTCCAATCAAAATTTACTGGCACAACATTTCCAATAGTATATCTTGTGCAACAAGTGATGTGAATCAAAAACTTATGTTGGTTTGATACCAACACAAAATAATGGGACATGTTGATTACCCAAATGTATGAAATAATAAGTTCAAACACCACTTTTTTTTTTACAAGATATTAGGGACAATCAACAACTAAATTGTAATTTTTCTAAATTGAAAGCTTCCTAATTTGCAAGCCTTTCAATATTTGATATGATAATGAGTATCACACATAAAACACCATTGATTAAATGCTTTTTCATAAGTGTGAGATTCTTTATACTACCACACTTAGAAAAATTCTCTTAAACACAACAAAATAGTCTATAATTTTACATTAAATAAAACCATGCATCACAGTGCTATGTTTTAAAAGGCTAATCAAGTGAAGCTTGTATACAGAGTAATTAGCATACACAATTAAGAAATTCTTTTGCTTGGATACCAAAATAGTACTAAGACTTAAGTGATTGTAAAAAAAAAAACCAATGATATCATTTATATAGGAGGATATGACTCTTGGAAACCTCCATACATTAATAGTGGAACTAGAAGAAATGTTTTTGAGATAATACTGTAGCTTACATAATTATCTAAATTCAAAATAATTCTGGAAATGATGAAACTATGGTGTTGACTGTTTTAAAAAGTAAATAGGCATATACTTACATCTGTCTTGGTAGTACTGATGATGGGCACTTCTTCTTGATGAGGATTCTTTCTGGGGTGTTGGTGTTCTTTGGTCTTCATCACTTGCAAAGTCATCACTGTATTTGTCATCTTCTTTATCGCGTCTATGAGTATACTGAGCACTCATTTTTCAATGATTGTCAAAAAAAATAAATCTTTTCAATCTTGTCAACTTTTGAAAAGGCTCCTTAAGTTAAGCTGATGCCCATTTCCTGAAAAAAAACAACAACATACAGAAATATATTACCCACAATATTGGATATTGTGGTTAGGTGATAATCTTACTAATCTGTCAAAATTCAAAACTAGGCAATTGATAAAATACTTTTTAAAATGAATTTAGAATAAAGAGTCAATTTAGAATGCTACTTGTTGACAAGCCAAACCTAAGTATTAGTCCTTCGCTCACTCCCTAGGATGCAATAAATTTGTATTAGTATTTAGATCTACTATCTACAATACAGTCTTTCAAATGTGTGAAAAAAAAACCCTACTAAAATTCAGTTTAAAAAATAATAACTTTTTAAACCTTAAACACTTTCTAAGTTACCACACTGCTTTCCCCTAATATTCCTAGATCTAATAATCACAAGACAGAGTGCCAGGGCAGGAGTGATGCCATTTATTTTAATTTAATTTTGTTTAATTTAAAAGTACAACCCATAACAACTTGAAATTAATAAACAGAAATGTAGATTCTTAGGTAAAACCAAGAAATAATGTAAGATATAATTTAAATAGGGCCTAGTCAATACATATTAAATAGTAAATATAGTAGGCCTACTGAAATATTTAAAATAGCTATTTTTTACTAATACTAATGTCTATTTCACTATTTTTATTGCTAGTCTAGGAAAAAGAATCTAGATCTAGATCTAATTAATTAAAAAATAATTTTAAATATAATAGGGTTATTTTTAAGATTCTAATATAAAAAAATAAAACTTAAATAAGTCTTAATTACCCATTCCAATACGATAAATGAGCTCTGTACTTTACTACTTTTCTTATATAATTGCACAAAACATAGCCGGTGAAAATGAAATAAAATCAGGTATGCAGAAAACAGGCAGTATGAAAATTGTTTACTTGCCCCAGCAACAAGAATACTATTTACACTTTGTAGAAAACGTCATAGATTTATGCGTTCAATTTTGGAGGATCGAGCTCTTCAGCTCACCTTTAAATGACGTTTTATGCACAATAAGTAGAAAGTTGGTAGAACTTCCTTAATTGGCAGTCTAAGGAAAGTTCTGCAGCTTTCGTCTTTAATATTTATCCGTCCTCCTCAAATTGCTCCGTGCTTTCGAAATTTAAACAATAAACATGAGCGTCAAGGTGTTCATTAGTAATTCTGCTGTTAGCAACGAGGTAGCTAATTGAAAATAATTTTTAGGCCTAGAGAATGAGAGCGTAACTTAACTACTAGATCTAACTAACGGTAATCTATCGTTTTGGGTACGTAAAATCGCCCGCGACTAGTAATGTGAAACACAGGTGACTCTTTACATTTTAATAATTATTTCACATTTTGAGGAGGATTTATGTTTTGAAAAATACAAAAATGTTTCCTTGTTTCATTTATGTACCTGTTTTTAAGCAATTGAATTAAAACTTTTCAGTAATAAATGAACACCAGCGATGTTTCCAACAGATGCAACCATGCTCATTTACTATAGCAGCCATCTTGTTAAAGCTTTATTTCTATAGACATAGTCATAGCGCAAGATTCAGGCGGAAGTCACTCTATTTTACAAATGGCTGCTGTTTATATAGCAAATCTTGCTTGCAGACACTGCTGTTTAAAGTTAATTTCTGGCCTATATTGATATATTTAGCCATTGATTTAGGTTTATTATTCATTTATCTATAATATTTGACACAAACATATCACAATATACTTCTATTAAAGCCTTGACAATGAGGTAACGTTTTCGTACATTAATAGCCGCGGGTGATTTTACGTACCCAAAACGATAGATTACCTAACTAACTAGCTAGCGTAACTTACTAAAGTTACCAACTTGAACTTTGCTAACTTTTATTTAACTAACTACTTACTGTCTTACTAGATCTAAATACTAATATCGGAATCGTAATTATTAATTCATTTCATCAAATCAACATTCAATATCACCATCTCAATCTCATTATCTCAGTCTCATTAATTAATGAAGAAATTGTGATGTTCATCAAAGTACTGTGAATACTGTGATGTTCATCAAAAAAGTACTCAAAGTTCAAAGGGTCGGTTTGAAATACCTGACTGAATTGATACATAGTCACATACATACATAATCAACATTCAATATCGCCATCTCAATCTCATTATCTCAGTCTCATTAATTAATGAAGAAATCGTGATGTTCTTCAAAGTACTCAAAGGGTTGATTTGAAATACCTGACTGAATTGATACATATACTTAAGTTAATGACATTAAGGTTAAGTTAATGTCCATTTATTTTACATTGTATAGAAGAAACTAACTCACAATAAAATAATGTTTTTATTAAATTATCATATATCACATAGGCCCTCTATACCATACGCCATACAGATACAATACAATAACATTCATTAATTGGAAATCTTCCCTTCTCCATGTCTTATACTGTAGCTTCTGCACCTTTTCTCCTAATTATATTCCTCAGATGAAATATATCATAATTATTATTTATAGGTTAGGAAGAAACAACAACATGTCCAAGATATCCTGAGTGCTTTAAAAATTCCATATGATGTGGTTGATGTCCTTGATCCTCGCAATGATGAACAGCTCAAATTTATGCACTGCAATGCCAAACCAATGAAACCAAACCAGAAACCTGTGCCACCTCAAGTGTTTAATGGAGATGATTATTGTGGGGTAACTGTTGGCTTTCTTTCATTATTTATCAGAATAATGCCTGATTTTAGACTAGAGATACATTTGATAGGTGTAACCATAATTCTGGATGTGAAGTTTAACAAAAAAATAATTTGATTCTTTAAAAATTAATATTAACGTCTATTCATCTCTCTTCTAACCTTTAAAAAAAGTTTACAGATAAATCACATTTGTGTTATCTGCAATGTTATAGAAACTTTTTTTAAAAGGTATTTCAGCTTTCAAAACTATACTTTTAAAGGGAAGTAATACTGTTATTTAGATCTTCACACTAATTATAAAATACACAATTTAGAATCTCATTAAGTATTTATCGTACCAAAATTTTTGTTTGTGTTTAAGTCTCTTTGTACTTTATTAGAAAATAAAAAGAATTTAAAATATACATTTTGTAACACTTTTTTTACTTCAGTTTTAGTTTTACTATAGTTTTAAAATCAAAATGTGAAAACATTAAATTTACTTTGCATCCTCTCTATATGTTTGGTACCCAAATAGTAGGATACAACTTTGTTTAAAATATCTGACATTAAAAGCCATATAGATCTAGAATAATCTCAATTACATTGTGGTTTCTAATGATGTTTTAGGATTATTCCAAATTTGTCGAGTCATTAGAATGGGATCAGTTGTATGAATTTCTGAAACTTGAAAATCCAAACAAAACTTCCAAGGCATCAGTTGTTATCACCGGGGTAAGTTGGCTTCATTTAGCTATTTTTACTTGAATATTGTTTATACCTATTACAATTATTTTGTACTGTTATTATGGTATCTTTTTTCATGCTTAACTTCACTTTTCTGATATAAAAAATAAAAGACCTCAAGACTTATCTATATATAACTTTATTATATATATATATATATATATATATATATATATATATATATATATATATATATATATATATATATATCTATATATAACTTTATTATATATATATATATATATATATATATATATATATATATATATATATATATATATATATATATATATATATATATATATATATATATATATATATACATATATATACAAATACACTTTTCTACTGTTCATTTGTATCTTTTTACATGCTTAACTTCACTTTTCTGATATAAAAAATAAAAGACCTCAAGACTATATAGTGTTCAGGCACTAGGACTGTATTTAATTACCGCATAACTAAAATGTACGAAATATCTTATGAATGTAAACTTCTCAATGTAAACAACCTTTCAATGTTAACTCTAGGAAGATGAGGAGGAACACAAAGAAAAAACTGATCAGGTACCAATGTTTGCTGTGGCATGGTTACTGTATTTATACATTTCATTCTGTAGCTAACTGACCCCTTCATACAGTTAGCCAATTAACAATACCTCCATATTTTACATCATAGGAGCTGTATACATTTCATTCTGTAGGTAACTGATCCTATCATACAGTTAGCCAATTAACAATACCTCCATCATATTTTACTTCATAGGAGCTGTATACATTTCATTCTGTAGCTAACTGATCCCATCATACAGTTAGCCAATTAACAATACCTCCATCATATTTTACTTCATAGGAGCTGTATACATTTCATTCTGTAGGTAACTGATCCTATCATACAGTTAGCCAATTAACAATACCTCCATATTTTACATCATAGGAGCTGTATACATTTCATTCTGTAGCTAACTGACCCCTTCATACAGTTAGCCAATTAACAATATTATATTTTACTTCATGGGTTAACTCATCGACAGTTTTTTTTATTTTTAGAAAATTATTATTTTTGTTTTCATTGCAATAACAGTGGGTTTTTAAAATTTATAATGGATAACTCATTAACTGTTTTTCTATAGTTTTTTTTCTCTTTACAATAACATTGGGATTTTATTTATAATGGATAACATGTATATATACGTAGTTCTACAAATTCATATATTTTAAACTGATTATAGTGTATATTAGCTTAAACATTTTCTTTGCTCATTTGTTAGCAACACAGTTATAAATTGATTTGTTATGTGATGTTAAATACAACACTAATAATCTTCACTATCAGTATATATTCACCAGTGGTAGATAATTGTTTTCTTGTAATTGGTTTTTGTTACTTTCTTAACGTGGAACATCGTCAAAAATAAATTATTTTACTTTTAAGTTTTTCACGATTGTTTGGTACTTAAATTAAATTTAAAGGGAGTAAAGTTTGTAGAAAAAGAATAAAATTAAGTAAGAGTAATTCAAATTTTTTTTAAAAATATACAAAAATATCTTTACACAGTAAAATAAAATTACTGACCCCCATACCCTCTCTTTACTATTACTTAAAACAATTCTTACCAAAACTTTAAATTGCTTTTAGTCAGAAAAATCAGAAGGGGTTGAAAATGAAGACCAAGATAAAGAAAAAGTTGAAGAGGAGAAAAAGGAAGGGGAAGATGCAGAAAAAACAAAGGAGGATGAGCAAAAGGAGGAGGATAAATCTGATGAGAAGAAAGAAGAGAAAAAAACTGATGAGCAAAAGGAAGAAGAGGAAAAGAAAGACGATCCTTCAGCTGCATTTAAAAATCGTTTCAAGAAACCATTTGAGGATGAGGAGGAGGGACTAGATCTGAGTGCATTTGAGGAGAAAGAGGAAGAGAAAAAAGAGGTTGAAACCAAAGCTGAAGAAAATCCGGCATCCGCGTTCAGAAATAGATTTAAAAAACCGTTTGATGATGAGGAAGAAGAGGGGTTAGATTTGAGTGCTTTTGAAGAGAAAGATGAGAAGAAGGAAGAAACAAAAAAGGAAGAAGATGAAAAGAAAGATGAGCCTGCGTCTGCTTTTAAAAACAGATTTAAAAAACCATTTGATGATGAAGAGGAAGGGTTAGATTTGAGTGCTTTTGAAGAGAAAGATGAAAAAAAGGAGGAAGTGAAAAAGGAAGAAGATGAAAAGAAGGATGAACCTGCATCTGCCTTCAAGAACAGATTTAAAAAACCATTTGATGATGATGAAGAGGAGGGACTAGATTTGAGTGCTTTTGAAGAGAAAGATGAGAAAAAGGAAGAGATAAAGGAAGAAGAGAAAAAGGAAGAAAATGTGGAAAAGAAAGACGAAAAGAAGGAAATCAAAAAGGAAGATGATGAACAGAAGGATGACCCAGCATCTGCCTTTAAAAATAGATTCAAAAAACCATTTGATGATGAAGAAGAAGAAGGCCTGGATTTAAGTACATTTGAGGCAAAGGATGAGGAAAAGGGAGAAGAACAAAAAGAAGAAAAAGAAGAGAAAAAAGAAGAGCCAGTAAATGAAGCCAAAGACACAAAAACTGAGGAAAGCAAAGAGGACTCTACTCCTTCTTTTAAGAATAAGTTTAAGAAACAGTTTGATGATGAAGAGGAAGGTTTAGATCTTTCTTCTTTTGAAGAAAAGAAGGAAGCAGAAAATGCTGAAGAAAAGAAAGAAGAGGAAAAAGAGGAAAAGAAAGTAGAAGAAAAAAAGAAAGAAGAGGAAAAGGAGGAAAAGAAAGAAGAGGAAAAAGAAGAAAAGGAAGAAGAGGAAAAGGAAGAAAAGAAAGAAGAGGTAAAGGAAGAAAAGAAAGAAGAGGAAAAGGAAGAAAAGAAAGAAGAGGAAAAGGAGGAAAAGAAAGAAGAAGCAAAGAAAGTAGAAGAAGAAAAGAAAGATGACCCAGCAGATTCATTTAAGAACAGATTCAAGAAATCTTATGAAGATGATGAAGAGAAGCTAGATCTCAGTGACATCAAAGAACAAAAGACAGAAGACTCACCATCAGAGCCTGAAGTTACCAAGAGTGAAGAGGCTGGTTCTGAGAAGGCTGATGAGAAACTAGAAGAAAAGAAGGAAACGCCCATAGAAAGTGAAGAAGAAAAACCAGCATCAGATTTGCCAAGGTTTAGAAGAAGGCAGATTGAAGATGAAGAGACACCATTGTTTGAGGACACAGAGAAAAAACCTGCTAGTGAGACTTCTGATGAAAAAAATAAACAGGAAGAAAGTTCAAAGGTCGCCGATGAGAAATCTGAAGAAAATGAGAGAGAAGAAAGGAGGAGGAGAAGGAGAGAGGAGAAAGAGGCTGAGGCAGCTGGGGAAGATGACAGAGAAGCCAGGAGGCGAAGACGCAGGGAAGAGAGGGAGAAAGAAGCGCCTGTTGTTGAAGATGAAGACAGAGCTGCTAGGAGGGCAAGGCGTCGCCGAGGTGGCGATGATGCCTAGAGGGAGGTAAAATATATCCAGGCATGGAGTGATCCAGAGTTTGCAGTGGTCTTCCAGCATGAAGTACCTGATAGACATTTAACCGCTCTTGTCTTAACAGTTGAAGGAATGAATGGTCAACACTTTTATAGTTTTTGCCAGTCACGCATGTTATGAAAAATTGACTAACCGTTTTCTAGATTCTCTTACAGAAATGAGAAAACTTAGACCAACCCTAGCATGCATCAAGTTGTATTATAATTACGAAAAATTCTAACTTGTTTGCTTTTAATTTGGTTTTCTTCTTCCTGATTTTAATGTACACATTCTTGAAACCTCTCATTAATTTTATTTAATGTTTTAATGTAAATACCCTATCTTGTTATTAACTCATTAATATGTGACCCAAACAAAGCTAGAATGTAATTGTGTGTTTATTCACTAATCATTTTCTCAGGGAAAAGCTCATGATGAAGATTAATTGTTGAGAAATAAAACACAGGTACATCTCTTGGATGTTTCAGAGCATGACAAGGTAGTTGCACTTAACATATTTCAACAATGTCGTCGCAACTACCTTGGTTTGCATTTTATGTTGTACTTTGTAGATGAGTAGTTTTTTTCTGGTATATTGTTTCACTTGTATTTAAGTTTTGGTTTCTTAATTAACTACATTTGGAAAATAACCAGTGTATTCTAACGCCCATATATCCGCCTAAATATCAAGAAATGTTTACTGTTAAAATACAGTATGCATGTCGCATAAATCCAAGGCTTAGATTATGTACATGCATGCTAATACTAATAGATGCTTGTACTTAATATATGTTTAATGTATCACTTTGTACAACTGTATGCTTGATAATTATAGTAATACTGAAACATAATATTTGTATATTTAAACATTTTATACCTTATATTACAGCGCCAACATGGCTTTTAATATATTTCTTAAACTGGGTAATTGTTGGGTTAAATATTACTTTTTTTTTTTAAGCTTGAAAAATTTGATTTAGTTATCTGTAAACATTACAATTTGCTTTTGCTTTATTAAGCATGTGCAGGCTGTTTAAAATCAAACAAGTTTCAGTTTTGCCTCAGTTCATACAGTTTTATGCAACTAAATAAAAAAAGCATACACATATTTGTATAGATCTCAGTAAAGAGATCCAGCAGGATATGCTCGAACCAGCGGTTTCCAAATTTTTTTTACTGCGCTGCCCTATACAACGATCTTGGAGCCTTTCCAACCTCTGTCCTATTGATTAGTGTTAGGTGTTCTGGAGTTTAGCACCTGTATTAGACACATTAAGATTAAAGGAAGGATTAAGGAAGTAGAATTAAAGATGTATTTTTAGGCAAACAATCAAAGTTTTATAAGTGAGTTGTACTGAGAGTGAGAAATGAGCATGGCGGTGCTTTCTTTGTGTACTCACTTATATACAATGGCTTTAGTAAACAAAAAAGAAAATGTGATGCGTATTACATTAGAATCATTGATTAAATTGAACTTAAGTAGTTAAATCAAAATGAATTAAGTAGTAATGCAGCGGATAGTTTTCTATTTAAAGCCAAATGATGATTTCAAAAAAATAAAATATCTAAGATTTCTCATATTTGTATTTCAAATAATAATAAAAAAGTAAATTTCGTCGTAGTTAAAGGGAAGCAAGTAGAACAATTTTGTATTCAATGTAAAACAGCATTTCTTTCAGTATTGCAGTTTGTCTACATGTGATCCATCTAGACTTAAAAAACAGTAAATTAATTAATGAATTACATTATAGAATGACATTAAGAGTTTTTGCGCCTTCTCTAATACTAGTCAGCACCTCCCAGTTTGGAAACTGTTCTCTAAAACTACTATAATACACAAAAGGAATTCTTGATCAGGGCAACTTTCAGTGTTGTACATTTGTTATTCTGCCTTTTGTTTGTTGGTGTAGAATGGCAACTCCTGTAAATACTCTCTTTAGACCTTTTTATTTTTTAAGAATGGATTTTTTTTTTTTTGTAATATAGCTTACGATTTATTTACTTTTGGATAAAGAATTTCATTTGGAATAGGACTTGTAAGTAGAAGTCACGAACTTCTCATTCTCATATTTGCCAGCGGGTATTTTCCAATCCAAATGTGAATTTAAAATTGGAATAAATTGTAATTATAGACTACAAGAAGTAGGCTAGCGTAAAGAAAAATTTAAGCTAAATTGAGATTTTTATCTTTAAAAAGTACAGTTAGTTATAGGCCTACTTTATTTGAATCCGTAACAATATTAATATAATATTAAAATATGTAATATTAATAGACTATACCAACCCGTACGAAATTTGATTCTATTATAGAAAAAATGTTATAATTGTTGCATTTTTGAACTCTTGGTGTTTTAAATCTTTAAGCGAGGCCTAGAAATAAATAGCTTCCATGTTTTTTGTTATCAATGGAAATCATGTTCACCACAATTAAGTTAAAAAATGTATCTTTCCCTGGCTAACATTGAAACATGATTTCAAATTTAAGTGGGATAGAACGAGACTTACAAGCCCTTTAAATGGGTAGTATATTTTACTTTAAATAATTCAAAGGTATGTTTCAACTTGTTTTTAGTTGTAATCTAAGCAGCTAACAAAATTCTTGGTAATCTTGAATTTGCAGTTAAAAACATGACAGGTACCCAGCTGTGCTGCAGCATGTTGTCCTAATTGTGTATTATCTTTTGTTTCCACAGAATCCTTATTCCTATGACAATACAAACTAGTGTGATGTTCATTTGCCCTGGTAAATTTTTCTTTAATTTGTATTAAACAGTTAAAAAAACAATCACTATCCAGGTACCATACAAACCAGGCATCAGATATTTTATATTTATAAAATGATGCTGAAATTAAAATAATTTAAGTTTCATTAGTTGCATTCAAGACTAATAATTTTTGTTTTTAATTTGTAGAATACATGTGATGTTTTGAAGACTGTGTGATACTTAGAGTTGAATCTCGTCCCTGATGTACATAACCACGTCTGTTGGCGGCATTTGTTGCAGATGTTTTAGAATAGCCACCCACTTGTTTTGGATTTTTTCTCAGTCGTAGTAGTTATACATTTTTAAAGTTGTATGAACATCTAATGTATAAGATGAATACAATCATGTAATAATCTTTAGAATGAATATGTATGTAGGAATTGTTTGTGTATATACAATTAAGGTTGATTGTGTGGATGTAATGTTAAGAGAGAACTTGAATTGTTTTTAAAAATACATATACAGGTAAGTCCGTTGTCTTTGATAACTTGTGACTATCCTGAACTAAAGGAAAACTACAGGCACAAATTTTTTTTACTTTGCTAAATTTTTACTATGCTTTGTCCAGTATTTGCTGATCCTTTCAATTGCTTAAATCTCAAACTTGTAAGTAAATGGTAGATTTTTATCATCATAATAGAAAGTATTTTCCAGAATTGGTTGAGAAAATTGCTCATGTTTTTTACAATAGTATAATAATTTCATTGCCTAGTGCTTTTCCTTTAAAAGGATGGACAGGGGTGTGTAAATGTCCAGTGTTAACCATTAATTTATTTAGAATAACACATTTTAGTATTTATCAGCAATGCAAGGGCACCTAACTTCTTTCTTAAACCACTATTTCTGATACATAATGAGGGTTCAGATCACCATAACAAAATAATAGACATTCTATTTAGCTTTAAATATCTTTTATACAAGTTGTAAAACAATGAATTTCCCAATTGTTGCTTTCAATGGAAAAAATCAATTTATCTTTTTACATATATAAAGCTTTGAGCATAAGTTTACATGTTTTATCTTGAATTAAAATCATTGATCTTTGTGTCAAGCAATTTTATGACAGGTAACAAATAATTTGATTGTAGCTCTCTCCATGACTTAGTGGCTAATGTCAGCAAGCTTTGCACCCCTGGAAAATAATTATTGTAATCAAAACGTCTCATATTATTCAGTCTCATTAACTGAAAGCTATTCAATTGTTATTCAGTTTCCCAGCTAATTATTTAGTTGTGTGAAAAAACAGGTTCTAAAGATTGTTTTGTTAAATCTCTCATGCATGTTTTGTTAATATTCAAAAATAAGAAATATGATGTGATATACTTTTTACCTTAACACCATTATACAGTAAACAGTTTTGAAAACTGAAGTTTGTTTCTCCATCTTTTGCAAATGTTACTTTATCTTAAGTGAGCTCTATTCTAAAGGAATCTTTATAGTTGTACAAGATGCGTACTTAGTTATAAACCTATACATACATCTGTTATCTCAACCATAAGTGAGTACTATAATGTAAGAATAAGTATCTAGCTAGACAGTATAAAGCTAGAAGGTTTACATAATTTCTAAAATAAACTAATTATAAAATAATATTTTATTTTTATACTAAATTGCCTTTGTCTAAAATAACTTTGGTAGTAAAGTTATATGAAAAAATTAATGCCACATCCCTCATTTCAACCTCAAAATAAAATTGTTCATATTTGCTGAGTTTTTGTTTGCATTCTCTAGATGAAAGCTATTCTTCAGCTGTAACTAATGGTACTACAAAACAAGCTACTATACAGTGGTTACACAGATTTTATGACAATACTTTTATTAGAAAGTTAGACACAAGTTTTACAATTATTTTTGCTGAATGAATAATATCAGAAGCAATGCCTAACAAAGTGCAGTTCCAATAGATATACTAAACAATTTAGACAGACTAAAATTAATGTAAAAAAAAAATGTTATAACCATTTTTTCAATTGAATGATATATTTTAATGAATCTTGTTAAAATAACTTATTCATCTTAAGAAATACATTAAACAAAATATACTTTTTACATCATATAATAAGCAGCTGTGCAACCATCCTCCATTTTTGTGCTAATAAACCATAATAAAAAAGTAGGTGTTAAAATGAAAAATAAAAAAATAATGTAAGTTGTTGCAAATACATAAGCTGACCAAAGTTTGAAAGTATATATAGAGAAATATTTAAAAAAAAATATTTTGCTTATTACCCCAACCCAACTTTAAAGCTACACTGACAAAACAAATTGTTAAGCAAAAAAAAAACTTTTATTTTTCCAGTCAAGTCATATTCATCATAACTTTTTTCTTTTGTGCATTTTGATAATTGCTTATGGCCAGAATGTTGAGCTTTACATTGATATATAAAGGTTGGACTTGAAAAAGTCATCTATTGTATTTTCTGGAAATATTCTACAAAAAAAAATTAGTATGTTAACATTAAAGTATAGTAATTAAAGTAAAGTTTAAAAAATTCTCTATTTTACTCAAAATATACATTAAAGATATTGTAATAAACTGGTCATCCACTTAAGATAAGTAAGTGTTTATACACTGAAAGGAATGTTACAAATCTTAGAGTGAACTTATTAAGAAATTTTTTAAAAATTTAACAAAACAGAATTGGATACAAATATTTTAATCCTTCATTCAAAATGTGTATACATGTACAGTATATGAGCCTACAACACAATTTTACTTCAGTGTTTACAGTAGATCTTTGCTTTCATTTAATGAAAATGCATCAAGATAACACACAGCATAAAATGTCACATGTGTGTTTAGGTTGACTATGACTAACATTTTCTATTCTAATCTATGGAAGTTACATCATAACAGAGTGATAGTTTGATTTTTTCTTTTCAGAATTCTTAAATGCTGTTTTTTTTTTTTAAATGTTATTTGAGCACCAACAAAACAACAGAGAGCATAAACATTTGTAGAAAAACTGAGCTGAATTGAATAATTTTTTTATTAAAAATCTGGCAAAGACTACACAATTCTTCAATCACATTCCCAGATATAACTTTAAATATAAACCACCTAATGGTACTCAAAATAATTTTTCATAAGTGGATGACCTTATGAGCATGTAATATACATTCATGTAGTAGAGCTTACATGGAATAAAACTTCAAGTTCTTTAAATGCGATTCATCATGATTATTAGGATAAAAAACTAAATTTGAGATTCAGACTTTCTGATGATGTCATTAACTTAAAAGTTACAGCTTAAAGTTGTGTGGAATATAAAATACATGTAACAAAAATAAACCTATCAAAAAGCTTTACAACAAAGAAAATATTAACAATGAAATACAACAAAAATAATATTAAAAAAAAACAAACAAAAAAAACAACTGGGAATCAGCAGGTTTTAAAAATAAAATACTGTCATCCTTATAATAGAACACAGCAGTAATACCTTGGTACTTTTTGTTACAAATGTTTGTTATCAAAGAAAAATAAAACATCTTGTAGTTTTTGTTAGCTTGTCTACTTCAAACTGATGCCATTCTTAAATTAAGCTACATCTTTACAAGTAAAAATATATGGAAGAATGAAACAATATTGAGTTGCCAACTCAAAGTTTTTTTTTTGCTTGTCGCTGTGAGAAACAATTACACATTTACAGACTGACAAACAAATGCATACTTCCTAGACCCTTTTCATTGGTTGCTGAATGTTTAGTGCAGGCTGAATGATTTTATACTGGAAGATAAAGGCTGACTTCTTGGAATGATTTCAAGTGCTGCAGAGTGCAATAGCAGGCACAATAGGACTATCTAATACCATCTTTGTTCCTTGGGAGTCTAACAGGGCACTATACATAAAGAAATGTACATCATCACTCAAGTATACAAACAGGGATTTTTGTAACCTTCACTATGAGATCCTAACTAAAAATTTGGGTCACCCAGTGCATATGAAATATTAAAACAAAACTTTTATAAAAGTATTACTCTAAAAACAACTAGATGATTTTTATGTAAAGTTATTACTTAAATTATCAAATCATGCCATAATATTGCAACTTCAAACATTACAAATTGGAAGAACCTGTTTATATTTTATTTGTCAAGAACTGAATTAAGTAAGTGTAAAGCTATGTAAAAATATAAATTACAATTTCTGTAGAAAAACTTTTAATGCACATACTAGTAACGTTTCTCTTATATACCAGAGGAAGTTCATGTTGAAAACAGATGTATATTAAGATCAATATGAACAATAAACGAGGTATATCATATTGCAAGAAATGGAAATCAATAAGTAATGTACCTGTTCCCGTAAAGTAAAGTACCTGATACAGAAAACATTCAGTAACCAAGTCATTTAACATTGTTTAGAAAATCATTCAGAAAAAAAATGTCACCAGCCAAAGTTTTCTTCTTATAAATGAATGGTACGTATGTGGCAGCCCAAATTATAAAGACCAAGAAAGTCCCTAACTTTAATTTTAAGGTTGGCTAGTTCTATTAAATTCCTTCTCTTTTTCTGTTCAAATCTGATAAAAATTAAAACAGAGAAAGACCTACTTTTATTTTGAGGTTAGTTATTGCTATTTTTTCTATTTATATGTTCTGGTCTGATGGTTTTCAATTAGCAGCAACTTGTTGCCCCCAGCTGTCTTTACAGTAGAATGATTTCTGACTCTGCACACCCTATCTACAGGACAGTGTGCACTTATGGCCTCAAAAACCCACCCTACAAGTTTTCTAAAACTATTGACATGATCATACAATTGTAGAGAAAAATACTTCATACCAAGAACAAATGTTAGATGTATTTTTAAACAAATTTACAACAAAAAAAAAATCTAACTAAATCGACAATTCTTCCGATATTTATATGTGATTACATTTCATAACTATCACAATGAATGCCAAAGCAATAAAACAATTTTAAATTAGGACCAAAATAACCATGGTTTGGGAGTGTTTTAAAAAAATATAAATAAACACATACAAACTATTTTACCTAAGTTTGATTACATGTTGCTTCTATTGTTTACTACTTGTGAAGTGACAAACAATACTTGAAAACATTTAAACTTGGCATGGGATACACCACTACATGAATTCAAACAAAGCAACAAGAGTCTTAGTTTATCATACATGTATACAGTTCATAATAAATCCTATACTGGTACATACAAATGAACATGAATGGAAATGAAATTTTATTTTTTTAAACCTTGTTTTTTGTCTACAGTAGAAACATATAAAAAAAAAACAACTAATGCCTGATGTTAAAAAATTATTGCACAATTTTGTACCCAAAGGCTTTAAACAGATTCATGTCTGGCATGTTCTAGATTAAATCATGATTAACTGAATTCCAGGCTACTCAAAATTTGTATCAAGTAGGAATCTCATTAAAAAAAAAAAACCAAATGCAAGAACCAATTTACATTTGTATTACCCACAAGTTGTATATACAATAACATGCACTCGATTAAATAAAAAACAAAAAGCATAATCACAAAGCATCAACAAACTTTAACATTGATAGCTGGTTTTTATAACCAACCTTTAAGATACGACTAATAGTCTAGTACTGATCAAGTTGGCATTAAAAAAACAATGAAATTATTATAGGAATACTGGAAGATACATAGTCAATAACTCTTTATAAATGTTTTTTTAACTGCATTGTAGGCTTGAATATGGGCAGACATAATTTATCCATTTAACAACAAATTGAACAACATATTCGGCTGGAATTATCAATTACAAATAGACAATAATAAGTTTATTTACAAAATTTCATATTTGAAGTAAATGTTAGATTTGAAGCATAAACCATTTTTTAAGTGCTTTTTGAAATCCTTCAATTAAAAATAAGGCGGCTCCCAGTTTTCCACTTGAAGATGTCATACACCAATGTAGTTTTCTTAATAGAAGTGTATACATGAAAAGAATTCTTCTAGCCTATGTTGTCTTTAATATATAATTGGGCTATAATCTTGTTTGAACTTTAATTCTAAAATTATGCTACAAATGCAAACAGCCTTAAATAATACAAGACTTTTTTAAAAGATGAAGAAAAAGATATCGCAAATTGAAATAAAGAGAAAATAACTTGATTTAAAACAACTACCTGAAGTATCAGCTCCACTCACTTCTAAAGGCATCAAGAGTATGATCAGGAAACACATGACTGGTGAGTTCAAATTTTACACAGGGGAGGAAACAGAGTGGTTGCCTTGTAAAACAATCACTTGAATCCAAATGGAAACAAGCTCAAAATCCACATAATTGTTCACATTTAATCTGTGCCAAAGTATTTCTGTCCAAAGTGAGTGGGGGCAACGGGGTGGACTTCAGATGTCAGTATGGTCATCCCAGGGAACTCTGTCACCAACTGGTTGGCAGCTAGGATTCAAGAATGAGAAAAACGTTTTTTAGTTATGATCAACCAAAGATGCAACAGAGTAGCAAGAAATTGAGTATTCAAAAAGAAAAAGATATTCTAAAATAATATTCTGTAAAATTACATCTAATTAATTGAGAGATAGGGGAAAAATAAAAATGAGGTGATGATACTACTTACCTTGTGGTGTACAAAACAAATTTAATAAAATAATGTTGGCTTCATTGACATTGTTCTGCTGTAAGATTTTGACGGCTTTAATAACGGTGTTGCCAGTACCTGGGAAAAACAATTAACTCTTTAAAAAAATAACCCAGCTTTTTAAAAAAAATATTGCATATCACTTTTTAAATAAAAATGAATTTCAACTTAACAGAAGAAAAAGATGACTACTTACACATAATGGGATACATAAGAAGCACTTTACGCTGATGAATATCTTTTGGGAGGTTGGCATAAACAACTTTAGCATCGTGTGTGTCTTCATCGCTCTGAATTAAAATTTTACCAATCCTCAATGAGCGACAGCAATCCCTTAATCCTTGCTCCATCGCTTCACCTAAACAGGATAATGAATGGCATAGGGAAGCCCGATCTTTATATTTCAGACATAGCGCACTTCAAGACAAAGTATTAACTAATTTGATGCATTTAACAAATTCTTCCCACTTACCACTCCGAACAATGCTCACTCCACAGTTTCCTTTCTCATACCTCAATCCATCATAGACCTGACCTAAAAATAAAAAGTGCTATTTCTATAAAAATAAACGAAACACAAGTAGTTCTTACAAACTCTAAAATGCATAACTAGAGCTTTATTTTTAACTTGCCTTGGTTTGTAATTGACTTTTGAGAATTAAGGTTATAACTTGAAGACATAATCATATTATAAGCTTTATTTGATTGAAAAAAATTATTAAGCTTACTCATAACATGTTAGAAAAAGGTTTTACCTGTAGGTGTGACAACACTGCATTTGCGGTATGGAAGTTTGTTAAGTCCCTCTTCAACAATTAAGCGAATCTATTAAAAGAAATTAATTAAATGTATTTTTCTAAATTATAAATAAATAAAAAAAAATATGATAGAATGAAACATCTATTTAAAATATACTAGGACTACTATAAACAAACACAAAACGTAATCAATAATAATCAATGGTACCACTAGGCATGTGCATAGGCTCAAACTCCACAAGGTGTCACCAAAAAGCAAGTGACATCAAGGTGAAAAATTGTTAAATTGACTGTGATGATAGTCATTTTTCCAGTTAAACGGATAAGGAATATGAGTTTTAGTAATCAGAATGACACCATCAGACATTGGAGAAACAAAAACACAAATTTTACTGATTTCATGTAAACTATGTCGTATGGCCCAAGTATGCGTATGAGGGGGTGACACCATCTAACAGGTTGCAAATTATCAATCAACCATTTATGTGTGACAATGATAAATTCTTTGACACATGCTATTGCCTACTTAAGTGGAAGGGTTGCTCGAGGGGATGACACCAACTTGTAAAGATGTGAAATTGATTGCTGCTTTGAAAATTTGCGTAATCTCTTTATGTTTTTAAATGCATGATTAAAGATATTTTGGATGATATTTTATTACTACTACATGACTAAAAGCAATTCTTGGTTATTGGCATTGAGGATTAAAACTGTCAATTTTTCAATAATTTTTCAGACAGTTTTTTTTGCTTGAAAATTGAAGGTGTCTATTCTATATTCTATAGTATGTTTCTGAGTTGTTTGATACATGACCTAGTAACAGAAATGAAAATTATTAGGACTAATAGTGGCACTACCAAAAACAATAATACTGCACTCCAACATTTTGACCTAATAAACTTTTAAAATATTTACCAGGCGATCAGCGTAGAAAATGAAGTCAGTCCTTGGTGTATTTCTGAAGTATAAACAAAAATAATACAAAAAACAGCCTATTTTAACTATTTAATCTATTTATTTTTAACTATAGGCCTAAATGCATAGTGCTGACCACACTATCTCTTCATTAGTTCATATGCCGAGGTTGAACAAGTGAAGTCTACTTCACTTGCCCCATAGACAGTCAGGTTTGAAAGGGAAACTTTATAGGCCTAAATATTAAATTTAATTAAATGATATTTAGGCCCCTGCCCCTAATGCTTTTTACTTTTTTTTTAGCTTAACACTACACACTGCTACAGGCAGGCTGCCGCTACACTGCGGCTAGAGCAAGTTCTACAGGCACAGGTAAATCTTAAAGTATAAATAATAGCCTATAGAAATAGATTCTAGTCTAGATCTAAAAAATTGTCACATTCATTGTCGATTGTGAATCATTTCAATTTCAGGTAATCTATCGTTTTGGGTACGTAAAATCGCCCGCGGCTATTTATGTACGAAAACGTTACCACATTGTCAAGGCTTTAATAGAAGTATATTCATGTCATACTTTTGTGTCAAATATTATAGATAAATGAATAATAAACCTAAATCAATGGCTAAATATATCGATATAGGCCAGAAATTAACTTTAAACAGCAGTGTCTGAGAGCAAGATTTGCTATATAAACAGCAGCCATTTGTAAAATAGAGTGACTTCCCCCTGAATCTGGCGCTAAAAGCTTATAAAAATAAAACTTAGACAAGATGGCTGCTATAGTAAATGAGCATGATTGCATCTGTTGGAAACATCGCTAGTCTTCATTTATTACGGAAAAGTTTTAATTCAATTGTTTAAAAACAGGTACATAAATGAATCAAGGAAACATTTTTGAATTTTTAAAAACATAAATCCTCCTCAAAATGTGAAATAATTATTAAAATTTAAGGAGTCACCTGTTTTTCACATTACAAATCGCGGGCGATTTTACGTACCCAAAACGATAGATTACCCAATTTCAATCAATGAACAATGAAGTAATGAAGTTCGTTAGTATCAAAGTCAGAGTAATAAAGATTTATTATTCACCAATTGATGGCTAATTAATTAGTAATTACTGGATCAATTTTAAAAAAATAGTCATTCTTACTTCAATAAAATGTGTAAAATGTAACAAATAATGATTCTAGATTCTAGAATCAAGAAATCTAGATTTACGACTTCTAAGTTCTAGATTAACTCACTTGTCGCGGATTACGGTTAGCAGCTCTCGAACTCCATCGGTGATTTTTAATTTTATAAAATTTGGACCAAAATCCAAATCTTTATATTCAATTTCAGATTCAGTTACTTTCAAATCGTCCAAAACTTTAGATGATGGTATGACATCAGGTTCCATTGTTTGTAAACAAATCAATTTCTTTCCGTCTTCCTCGTGGTGCTCCGGCATGATTAACTGCGTGTAACGTCGCACTCTTGAATCAGCGCACACTGTGGCGATTTAAAGTTGTTTTTTTAGGTCACAGAATTAGTTATTTTTAGGCCATTTTAGGGCGGTGCCAAAATAATTTTCACACGTCTTTTATTAAAAAGTTAGAATATAGTAAAAGTTAGTTGAATGAATGAAATATATGCTCCAAAACGTGTTATTAAAATAAAGAGATTTTCTTTTGTGTTTATGCCATATGAAAATGATAAACTACTAGATCTAGATTTAGTTAATATTCCTTTAACTTTAAGGCATTTGATACAAACAGTGTTTCTTCCAGACTTTTTTCTTCCGGGGGGGGGGGGGGGGGGCACTTGAAATTTTTAGGGGGGGGGGCGGTCACCATTTGGGGGGGGGGGGGCGGACACTAATAAAAGTGTATGTTTACTATATAAAATCCATCTCGTTCGGGGGGGGGGGGGGGGCGTAGACTTTCTTCGGAGGAGGGGGGGGGGGAACGGGGACGCTCCCCTCCCCCCAAGAGATGCCTGGAAGAAACTCTGGATACAAATATGCTTATTACAAAACGAAATTCAAAATGAAATTTTCCTCAAAAAATTGGAAAATGTAGGCTTTATTAAAAACGTGCATACAATTAAATATCTTATTTAGATCTAGTGTCTAGATCTATATCAAGTATTTTATTTTTTCGGGGAACGAACTTGAAATTTTCAGAGGGGGGGGGGGTATTTTTGTTAAAGTATGCCTAGATGCTATATATTTTGTTTATAAATTATATATTCGTTCATTTTGTCAACTTATATATATATATATATATATATATATATATATATATATATATATATATATATATATATATATATATATAGTCGGCAAGATAAAAAAAAAAATTTTTTGTTTGGCTTGTTTTACATCTCAATAGTCGAGTAAAAGAAGGAGTCCGAAGGAGGAGGAACCGAGATCAAACAAACAAACATAGCCGAGTACTCAATTTACAACTTTGCAAGCAGAGTTTCTTCCAGGCATCTCTTCGAAAAAATTCTACCGCCCCCCCGAACGAAATAAAATTTATATAATTTATATAGAAAATATATACTTTTAAATATACCACCCCCCACGAAAATTTCAAAAGCGCCCCCCCCCCCCCCCCCGAGAAAAAGGTCTGGAAGAAACACTGTTTGCAAACTTTGGCAATGTTATGCCATATGTCATATCTTTATAGGATTCAAATATCTAAAGATTTACAATTTCCTCTAAACTGTTATATAGAGGGATCCGTATAGTTTTTCTCATGATTTATTTTGTCTGCCAGCACGTGTGTGCAACGGGTTCACCTTTCAGGATCGTGTCAGATGAGCTGTCCATTGAGGCGATACCAATGTCTAAATCCTTCATATTTTTACTATTTGCCAAATGATCGCATCTACCACCACCTACAGTTGCTTCTAGGTGTCTCTTCGAGAGTGGGGGGGCACTTCCCATCAAAGCACGCAGTCAATTTTTTAAAGAATATATATATATATATATATATATATATATATATATATATATATATATATATATTATATATATATATATATATCGTTACCGGTGCCGCACCCCCTCCCCGAAGGGGTAGCAGAAAAGTCCGCCACCCCAGAAGTTACAAGTGACCCCCCCTCCTACCCCGGAGAAAAATTTTCTGAAAGAAAAACTCCCTGTTAGTACTTATCTCAAACCAATGCCATCAATATTTTCTAAAGCGTGTTAAGAACTCTTGCTATTAAGATTGCGGATGCCAAATTTGTTTATATATCTGAAACAGCAATAAAAGTCATAACTACTAGACTTAAAATCATTGTTCCTTTCAGACTTTCTTTCTCCGGGGGGGGGCAGTTGATATTTTCGAGGGGGGGGGGGGGCGGGACACTAGTAAAAGTATATGTTTACTATATACATTCCATCTCGTTCGGGGGGGTGGGGGCGGTAGACTTTCTTTGGGGGGGGGGGGGGGGGGGCAGAGCCTGCCTTGAAGAAACTTAAAAAAAATAAAACATGCTACACAATGTCTGATTCTGATTTCGGACTTAAATTGCCAATAATGGTAACAAAGCTATAAAATCAAATATACCACAACATAATTTTCTGTAATAAGTATTAATAAAAAAAAAAGTAGAATCTAGTCACTTTGGTTTGTGAAAAATAAAAAATCTAAAATTTAAGTAGTCTTACTTAGAAATTATATAAACAATTACCATCTATATAATTTGCCTATTCTTCTACTGAGCGTTATTAAAATTTAAGGACTAGGCCCTTTTGATTTTATCATTTCATCGCTTCCCAACCATATCGCGTCAAAATGGCGGACGGGCAAACCCAGAGTTCTACAACAGCGCAACAAGCCAGAAAAGGTAGTCTAGTTTAAAATGTTACTTATATTTCTACAAATTGTTAATAAACCAATAAACATTTCAATGAATTAAAAAAACAACAACTAATGAATCTTCTTCAGTGGCCTAGATCTATCTTTATTTACTACAATGACACCACCAAATCTTAAAACCCAGCTTGACTAGACTAGACTTGTTGATAACAAGATATCATCGGATATATTAATAAAATATTTTAAATAGGCCTAGATCTAGATTCTAGACTATATTCATCATCACTCAGATCGTGATTGGGAGACTAGACTCATCATAATAATTAGTCTATTGTCTATGATTATGAGAATAGGCCAAGGACAGGTCTAATAACTTTAATAAGTAATAGGTTTAATTATGGATTTTTTAAAATAAAATATTCTGTTATTTCAAATACACTATTAAGTTCCTTACCCCTTAAGAGAACATTTGACACCACATTTAAATATCTAGCTTACTCAGTTGACGAGAAAAGAGAGAATTTTAAAATTTGTCTAGAATGGAAAATGAATGACAAAACCCACGTTCTCGATCCCTGCCGGCATGGCATGACGTCGTGAACTGGTGTGCACAAGTTTTTTAAGGGGTGTGTCAACTTAGGTTATTTACTCACCGGAAAATAACAAAAAAAAAAACCAACTGATTTATAATAAAGCTAGATCTAGTTATTTATTAAATTGGTAAAGGAAAATGTACATTACAAATTCTACTCTACATGTTATTCATACCATTTTTTTATGAAATAATGAACACTTGCATAACTCAAATTACCATAAAAAATATTTTTATTTCAAATTCTAATTTTATTAAATATGCTTAAAATAATATGATTGTTATGATAGTCTATAAATACAAGAAATAGGCCTAACTCAATTCACATTATATTGAGTCAACAGTGTGGAAGCTGAAGTTCATACACGGTATTAGTGTCTTTTTTTTTTTACATTACATTTTTTTTCATATTGAAAACGTGACGTGTAATTTTTTTTTTAATAAAATCTCCAAACATCGTCACTCGCGTGATTGCTTGCTTATGTTTACTATCCCGCGGGTGAAAAATCCCACCACGGTCGAGGGGTCACTGTGCGGTCAGCAGGCCTGTAGTACACGTCATAGAATGAACACGCGTACTCGAGATCGTCGGTGTCTTCACTTCTCTCTCTCTCTTTCCCCCCCCCCCCCCTTCTTCAAGCAAATTATAATAGAGTAGAGCCGAATGGATACAAAACTAACGTTACTAAGACTAATTTTAAAACTTAGCTTAATTTTTTTTGTCTACTCTCTTAAAAGATAAAGCAAATGTAGTTTAATGTAGTAAGGTAAAGTAATTTAAATATTCAATATCAACTTGAAGTCGATCTATCTTGATAAAATCTGTCAAGAAAAAAAAACGATAAAAGATCTCCACCCTGAACTTAAACCAATTGTAATTTTAACAGACGAAAATGATGCTCGCGCACATTTTTTTTTAACTAGATCTACGTCTAGCTTTAAAAATAATAAACACATAAACGCTTAAAATGCCCGTAAACAGATTATTTAGCGCCAAAAAAAAAAAGGCCGCTGAACAAGCATTGTTTAAAATACGCAGCAATGAAAAAGGCTAACGGCCTATCAAATAACTCTAAAAATCGCCCGAAATTAGGCCTAGCTCTGAAAAAGGCCACTGAACGAGCATCACTGATTATATAAACGAATAGGCCACGCAGCGTTGACGAGGTTAACCACCGGTCACGAATTAAATTCAACGCAGCTAGTGTCGGCCCACAGTGAAGAAAAAAAATCAATATAGGCCATATTTTAATAAAATTACTAATACAATAATAATTTCCACAATTTTACTTTTTCTGCACACGCTGCAGTTGAATTATAATTAAAATACTAGACTTAAAGGTTCATTCCGCAAAAAACAAAAACTAGTTGTTTCTGTGAGGTAACTAGCGTAACAATGACGTCACGATAGTAAACAACGCGGACAGAAATTTCTGCATTGGTACCTCATCCTCATATTCGATTTTTAAAAAATGTATCAACATATCTGTAATTAATCATTATAAATATCTCAATTATATATTTCTGCATTTGTACCAGGGGGTTTCGACCATGTACTGGGCCGTTTAAGGCGGCAGTTCAGTTTTTCCCAAGAGTACTCGACAAAAATAGCGTGTATTAATTAAAACCACGTATCTCGTGAATATTTCGAACATTTTAAGGCATGGCGTCCATTTAGTTAGCATCTCACATTAAAATAATGATGAGATTTTGCGATATTAGCAGTTTTTTTCATTTGTCGTGTAACGGACCCCTAAAAAAAACGAAAAAAAAACGCAAAAAACGACGAGTGACGTTTCAGGGTCAGAGGTCATCCCGCCATCTCAGCCAGGAGACGATCTAATAAGTAATACATTAATTAATTAATATAGATTTTCAGATTGATGTGTTTGCGCAATCATGTGACAACGTAGATCTAGATTTAGTTGAATACTGTTGAAGCTACTCATCATCATGAGTAGTAGATCTAGATCTACTTTAACTTACTTTAGGCTCTTTCTAAGTATAAACTATAAAAACTTCAATGCTTAAGATTACTTAAGAACTAAATTATAAGATTGTTTATATAAAATGTATACTCATCACAGGCCTTAGGTCTAGTAGTAATATTAATTTTAGAAATAGTTGGGCCTGTAATACTGACTATACATAATAATAACTTATTATTTTTGGTAATTTTCGTCTTAATTTACTTTATCCATAGTCATATTCACATACTCCGTGCTAGATTACGGAATTATCATCCTATCCTATATATTAGTCTATAACAAAAATTATATTCCAAACAAAACTATAAACAATTTTTAAAGGTCACATTTTTAATAAGGCTTATGTTAGAATATGGAAGAAGATTACCATGATTACTATTTTCAACATTGGAAAATAAGGCTGATTATTATTTGGCCTATTACTGATTATTATAAATTAATGGGTATTGAACAGTGAAGGCAAAGACCATCCTATATTTATTTTTGAAAAATAAAAATCTAAATACATGTCATTAGTTAAGCATCAATGAAATAGTATTTATTATTATTATGTTTGATATTTCAAATTTTGCGTTTTTCACCTACTTGTTTTTCCTCTTTAAATTTCAGGTCGGACACAGGCAGTAGTATCCTTTCATGAAAAATATGATTTTGTTTTTATTATAATTATAACTTAATAAAGTAAAACAAAAAAAACCAACAAAGAACCAGTGTCCTTATAAATAAACTAAACAGACGGTATTGCAAACTATACTATTACATTTAATTATTTGTTAATGAGCTAGCCTGATGTTTGAAGTTGAATGTATCATTATTTGCAATATTAAATATTAGTTATATAATTTATGAGTGTAAATATTTAAAAATATATCGTTGCTATGTTTCTCCTCCCCACAAATACGGAGGACTACAGCTTTAAGTTATGGCTAGGGTGCGGCTTATTTGGGTGGTGATATTTCTGGTAGGTTTAATAAAGAGGTATTGAAGTATGAGGCTTGTTATACCTTAACTACACTTCAGAGGTCTTCACTGCCATATCAAATTTTACTATTTCTAAATGGCTGGTACTTTGCATTCTTTTTTGTGTGTGAGATTTTGCTCTTTGTCTTCAAAGGTAAACATTGTATTATAGGTTTAAAAAATAAGCATTTACTAGAAAAAATATATTATATTACCATTTATCACCTTTATAAAAATATCAAAATTTCTACTGTAGGATGATTAAAATTAATTTCTGTACAAATTTCGTCATTATTTAAACTATTAAAAAATCTGTTATTTCAGGAGAAACATTGCCATATGCTACCAATGTCCTTGCAGCAGAAGTCATTTTGCTCTTCTTGTTAGCAATTGTAGAAGTGTTGCGTTTATTTTTTGGTAAGTTGTTTATTCAATTTTAACATGAGATAATTTTAGATAAGTTTTTACATTTATCATGTTGATTGATTTCAGTATCTTAATTTGTATTTATAGGTATTTTTAAAATGATATTTGACCTTTCTCTTTTTCTCAGTGAAGCCAATGTACTAATACATTTTTTATCGCAGTTAACTATGAAAAAAAAATTACTGAGACTATTTTTTTAAAAAGAAAATGTAAAAAATATTTTGACCATAGTATATCATCTAAGTAGATATGAGATATTCATCTGAAATATATAAGGTCAAAAAAGCAAAATTTTTCAAATCCACACTTTCTTCTAGGTCGAAGAGGTAATTTAACAGAACAAATCATGGGTGTTCTAGTTTGTGTGATACTCAGCATTGCCTCAATATTTGGAGTGCTCTTCTTCCTATTGTGGCAAACATATGTTCTACGTGTGGAGATCATCCTCACAGCAATTCAGTTATTTTTTATTGGCATGGAACTTATCTTTGGTATCATATCCATCATTACATTTGCCAAGTAAGGTTTTTATATTTTGTATGGTTATATGATATTAATTAATTAAATAGTCATCAAGACAATTTATCATGATCATATTTTAAGCCATTGAAATTGCCAGGGGCATTTAAATAAAACATACAGCTGTTTAGTCACAACAAAATGTCATCTTGTGTACACTAAGTATATTAAATCATATACTTTTTTCCACAGCAATGATTATATTTTCACCTAAGTAAAGTTGCACATTTGTTAAATATTGTTTTACTGCTGTTTTTGTTCATGTTTTTTAAAAGTTACTTGATAAGTTTCCCACAGCTGAACATGATATTTTCTGTTTAAAACTTTGAATAAGATAAACTGTAATATTTAACAAACATTTATTCTACTCTGTATCAATAATTTTAAAATCAGTTTTAATATAATTTATATGGTTAATTTTTTTCCCAGTTATATAACCAAATGTAAATTAAAATAAGTAAAAAAAATAAAAAAAATATATTTCTCTATATTTTAATTCAGCCCTTTGCAGATAAAATACTATATGCCTGACTGACAGAATGCTGTTTAATTTCAGGGGTGCACCATAGACTCATCATACAGTTTTCATGGAGAAGTTGTATGAAAACCTGAACTCCACTCCACAATTAGTTCATGTATAAATAACCTTGTCAAATGTAAATAATTTATATTACACACCAGAGTAAAATTCCCATTCTCTGATTCTTGTAAAATATTTGTATTATATTTTTGTGTATGCTTAATTTTATGACAGTATTTTGGTTGTAAGAAGCTATTATGTGATATTTTGTTAGTTACTGGTACTATTCTAAAAAAATAGGAATCATCTAAAAGTAAAACAGGCTCTTTCATACAGTTTCTACTTTAATAGTTCTGCTGACTGCACCTATTTATGTGCAATTACAGAAGGGGGGTGGGGGGTGTTGCCAAATATGGTAATCAAGGTTGTAGTAGTAAACTGGTTTTGGCCTTACAACCCAGAGAACATGCAGGTAAAGCAACAGAAAAGTAAACTTGGTGTATTGTATTTTTTAATTCCACACTTGAAGTAAAACTCAAATTAGGGATTATTTGATCCTACAGTTCAAGTAAATCTTAATTTTCTTATATAATCAATGATTAGTATACATCTGAATGCTGGATTGAAGTTAAGTTCAATTTGATGGTGTGATGCTGTTCTGGTGAGAGTATAGATCTTGCAGCATTGCTTTTGTCATATCATTCTCAATTTTTATTTATTTTTGTCACCGATTATAATCCCATTGACCTCCCTTAGTGATTGTTAGCTTTAAAATAAAACTGTATGTGCCTTTGTAGGAAAGAAATATATATTGTATGTACTGATCTTATTGGTTTGTTTTTATTATATGTTTCCCAAAATTGAACAGTATGTTATTCAGCTCTTCATGGTGATCATTTCATTTGTGAAGCTGCAGTGTTTCGTTGGGAGGGGAGGCGGGGGGGGGGGGGGGGAGTCATTTAAGAGACAGATGTGATATGTGGTTTTATTAGCAAATAGTCTGTGCTATGTGTTTCACAGGCGAATCTGTTCTATGTTGGTTTTTACAGGCAATTAGCCTAAGCTATGTGGTGTTTTTTAAAAGCAGATGGTCTGCATAGTTTGGGCAAACACTCTAGTAAAGGCAGTATCTTCAAGGGTTTAACTTATATAATTCTTACACAACTATATTTAACACTGTTAGTTACATATTTAAAAAAAAAAAAACTACTTTTTTTCACATACATATTGATAATGTAATATATGGGATGACATGATCGAAGTGTAGAGCATATGACTACTAACATGAAAGTCTAGAAATTAAGTCTATAGAATGTCCTTAAGTCCATCCGGCTGTGGTGGATAACCTACCCGACTCGGCTGGGCATAGCGCTGACCACACTATCCCCTCATATGCCAAGGTCACTGAAAGAGGTGAACTCGATTCCACCTGCCCCATGGACCGTTAAGTTCAAAAGGGTAATATTTATTGATAATATAAATATAATGAAAACATTTCAACGATTGATATGCTATACATTTCTGCCTCAAAATAGAAGCAAAAAAAAAAAAAAAAACTTTAAAAAGTGCTTAAAACAAACACTTGAGTAGTCATGACAAAAAGTCATCAACATTTTTTCTTGTGATGAAATAACTTTATTTCTGCTCAGTTCAAAAGAAAAGGCTACAAGATGATAGATATTATAAGATATCGTGTACCCACGTGACTTTTGTACGTGTTCTGTCCTCAATTTAATTATGTTAGCTCTTAATCTGATGTAATACTAAGGATCGCGTTAACCACAGAACTTTTGCTTCCAAGTCATCAGTCATGAGATGTCTGTTTGCTGTCTGACTGATGTTGCTGGTCAGTGACCTGTCGCTCAAACAACTTGACCAAAGCCTGGACGCTAGGGTTTTCGTCCAAATGGGATGACTGCGCAACCGCTACCTCTCGAACCGGGAGTTCGCGTGCCTCTGACCCATTTCGCGCTCTGCTGTTTGGCCTACTCCGGGTCCGCGGGCCGAAAGGTGTCTGTTCTTGGATGTTACTTTCATCAGCTGTATCCGACGGGTCGTAGGAAATATTGACGGTTTCAGAGCAGTTGGATATTTCATTAAATGGCTTAACTTCCACACACGGTATTCTTTTCCGAGACAAGTTGTAAAGTTTATTATTTTCATTTGATACGTGTTGGGAATTCGGTAATTTATTAAAATCGCGAGTGACCTCCCTTGAGCTAATTTTATCTTGTTGAAGTGCTTCGGGAATTCGCGTTTGATGTGAAGCAATCAACGAGCGACATTGCATTGTTCTGGCCTTGACGTCTGTGCCAACTGGACAAGAGTAGGTGTGTATCTGGGAGAGGGACGGAGATTCATCGGGCACCAGCAGCCTCTGAGCAGCGTGGTAACCACTGCAGTTGTAGTTGTTTTGGTTGTTGAGGATCCAGTGCGTGTGGTAGGCCTGGTTGGCCTCGTTGTACGTCTGCTGCAGGGTGCGGTATAGGGAGGAGAGGCTCGCTGGCTCGGTAACCGGTTCACCCGGCCTGGTCCTGTCCTGGCCTCTGTTCAAACCCCGCTCGTTCATGACGTGAGGGCTTTTGTTTATTTTTGACGTGAGATCTAAGAGTGTTGTACTCAAACCCTCGCCCGTGTCGTTCAGCGAGTTTTCATTCACCCATGACGCAGCCCCGCCTGTTTTTTCATCAATTGGAGAAGTGCTACCACCACGCGAAGGTGCACGTTTCTCCACTACCACGTGATTGACCACGTTCACGTCATAGTTGGGGGGCGTGGTTGTGGCTGGGGCGGAATCTTGTGAGTTGTTGGCACCGCAGGACGGTTCCTCGCATACCGGATCTGCCGGCTCGTCCTGTTCCTGCTGACCGGAAATGACGAGACGAGCTGTTTGTTTAGCGTCATCGCAGCTGTGACGTCTACAGGTAGCCTGGGTTGGGATCCCGCTGTAGTTGACATGCGCGGCAGCCCCGTGTAACCTCTGCGGAATCTTCTTCGTGACTTTAGGATGCAGTGGGCGGTTAGAATTCAGCGTTTCCTGGTTACCGTGTGCTAGGCTGACGGCACGTTTGCCAGCGGTGTTGTTGTTGTCTGGCTTGAGTTTAGTCACACCGACGCTCCGCTGGTCTAGAGTGGCGCTGTTGTTCTTCTCGCGCGCGGGGATGTTTCTGTTGAGCGACATCCGGGTCACCTCGCCCGGAGCTTGATCCCCGTGTTTCTTTTTAGAATACACAAAAGCGGAAGTGACGTATTTCTTGCTGGCAAACGACCGCAGGGGTCTTGGGCGTATCACAGATCTTGCGCCGAAGGTGGATTGTTGTACCCCGGAAAGGCGGGCCGGCGGTTTCAACCCTCTCTCGATTGGTTTCGGTTCGTTGGCTATTGAAGTCTGATGCTGCTCGGTCAAGCAAGAGGCTAACTGAGACGGACTCACACAGGGGTTGACATTCCTCAGGTGAGAGGGTGTGCCACTTCGTGAGAGTACCTGATGAGGTGTGCCACTGCGTGGGAGGACATCTTTCAAACTTAACGACTGCGCGTTCTTTAAACCTGGGACAGTGGACTGCAGCTCCTGACCTGAGCGACCTTCAGTCCACTCTCTAGCCGGCAGTTCAAGTGGACGATGTTTGTTCGATAGAAAGACCGGCCTGGGGTTGTTTTTGCCAGCTAGCCGGTTCAAACTACTCGTTCGCCTACACGCCATTTGGTTCGATCGACTGCCAACGGGTGAGAAGGTCTTCACTTTTCCGTACCTTGGGATTCTGCATTGGGTGATTTTTTTAATCACTTTAGGATCCTTATGAAGATTGATTCGGATTGGTTCGCTTACATTTTCCCAAGATCTACCCGATAGCAGGTTCCGGTTGTGAAGTGGTTGTTTCTCAACTTTTGGCGAGCATCGAGAACTCTGGGCGTGTGTTGATTTAGCGGAGGACACTCTTTCTGTCGGGTCGATGCCTCGCTCCGACAGACTCAAGAGGTCGTCCTCCAACTTATCCACAGCCATGATGTCTTTTATCATTACTTTCGCCTCGCTTTTGATACGACTGAACGGGTTATCTTTGTTCAGGAGTTGTATTGCCAACTGGTGTGGATCAGCCGAGAGGCGAGGTTTGTTCGCTGACTGTGGCGGGTTGAGGTTCGAATCCTTTCTGTCAGAACCGTCAAACAACTGGACGAACTTGCCAATTTTCCGGCTGATTTCGTGATCGTCGTCAGAGGTGTACTCAGCCTTGCGTTTCTTGCTGAGGAGCGATTGCAGCTCGTTAACGAGGTGAAGGGCGTCGGCGTTCGATGCTTGCGACAAGTGAATTTGCGGACTGGTCCTGAGTTTGTTTTTACTTGTCGTTTGGTAGCTTTGAACGCTGCTGTTGAGCGCCACGGTACTTTCCTTATGGGGCCCAGTCTTGTCACGACACACCCCTAGCTTGATGTGTCGCGTGTCTAGATCAACTTGACGAGTGTCGGCGTTGAATCGATGAGTGTCGGCGTTGATGTGGCGCGATTCGGCGTCGTTGTGGCGAGCCTCGGCGTTGTTATGGCGGGACTCGGCGTTGTTATGGCGAGCCTCTGCGTTGTTAAGACGGGACTCGGCGTTGTTAAGACGGGACTCGACGTTGTTGAGAGAAGATTCAAGTTTGTCGCCGTTAACACTCGGAGATTTCCGATGCGATTTGATGACGTTACTCTGGGAG